TTATCGAAACACTGAAATGGTTGTGTTCGCGTCGTTGTGCGACTCAAGGTCGTCAGTGCGCGTGTATGTATAAATACAAAATATGAAACCGTCAAAATTAAAACGACATTTAAACACACTTCATTCTGAGTATTCTGATAAGCATATTAACTTTTTTACTGATAAGAAAAATAAATTGATGCTGCTCAAAAAAAAATTGAAAAATGCACTCTTTCCTCACCAGTAAATGAAAACCTCACTTTGACATCTTTTGAAATTTCCAAATTAATAGCTGAGACTGGGTAACCTAATTAGGCTGGAGAAAAATTAATACTTTCCGCTTTAAAAATTGTCGTAAATAATTTATGCGGAATAAAGGAAAAAAGTTTGTTTTCAGCGATCCCATTATCAAATAATACATTTAAACGGAGAATTGGTGATTGCGCGAAACATTTAGAAAAAGAACTAGTTGCTAAAGTAAAAAAAAGTAAATTTTTTTCCTCGCAAATAAATAAAAGCACAGATATTGAGGATAATGCAAATCTAATATGTTTTATCAGATATATTGACGAAGACACCATACAAGAAAATTTTTTGTTTTGTAAAAGGCGCCGACAAGAACGATCTCAGATGAGATTTTTAAAGCGACAAATGATTTTGTCACTAGTCAGGGTATTGATTGGATGAAGTGTGTTGGTCTAAGTAGCAACGGAGCACGTGCAATGGCAGGTTGTCATAAAGGTTTATTTAAACAAATTCAAGAATTAGCAGTTAATTGTGTATGAGTGCACTGTAGTATCGACAAATAAGCTTTGGTGATAAAACGCTTGCCTTTAAATTCAAACATGACTTTGGAAGAATGTGTCAAAGTTTGTAAACTACATAAAATCTCGTCCATTAAATAGCAGACTTTTTATCGAATTATGCGAGGAAATGGTGAATGATCATAAACACCTCTTTTTATATTGTAATTCACGTTGGCTTTCAAAAGGAAACATTTTAAAACGTCTGTTTGAGCTAAAAGATGAAGTCTAGGCATTTCTGAATGAACATCCACCATCTAAAAAAGATGCTATTTTTCCATTAGTGATGAGCAAAACAAGAACAAGACCAAGACTGTCAAAGTCTTGGTCATAGTCTTGTTCTAGATAGCTTGGTCTTGGTCTTGCTTTGCTAACTCAGTCTTGGTCTTGGTCTTGGTCTTGCAAATCTAGTCTTGTTCTTGTTCTTGGTCTTGCTTATTTAGTCTTGTTCTTGTTCTTGGTCTTGCCCATAAAATCTTGTTCTTGTTGTGAGTCTTGTCACAATACTCTTGCAAAATCTTGCATTCATTTATATTTGTAAAAATTTTCTACTTAAAAGGTTTAAATAACGAAGTTATCTACTTCAGTTTGTAAATTCAAATTTAATTTATATGCCATAGGATTTTTAAGTTAGAACTTAATATTAGCATAAACAATATGGATGATTTTTTTATGAATAGTTTGGGGTATTAAAAAAAAATAAACAAATAAATTAAATTATAAAAAAATAAGACGTTATTGAAACAAAGTATTTTTTCACTTTAAACTGATGGCGTAATATTGTCCGAATGGTAACGCAGCGGATGTGCGGTCGGGGAGGACGCGATTTCGATTCTCCTAGTCGGATANCGCAGCGGATGTGCGGTCGGAGGGGACGCGATTTCGATTCTCCTAGTCGGATAATTTTTTTTGCATTTTAATTATTTTTTTTCATTGAATAATGAACATGAATATATTTATTTTATGAGTTTACCAGTCGCCGGTTTTATGTATCGATTTTTAAAACCGGTTTTAAATAATAATCGCTTTCTGTTCATAGACACAGTTTTTAAAAATTATTGGTTTTGATTAACAAAACCGAAAAAAACTGTTATAACCAGTTTTTATAAAACCAGTTTCAGTCTCCGCTTTAGAAGAAAACAAAAATTTTATCTAATTTTATCATAATGTTTGAAGCACGGAATATTTATTTTTAATCTTCTTTAATTATTTAAAATTAATTAATTACAATTGAATGACAATAAATTTTGAAACATGATTGTAAAATTTTAAGTTAATCGGTAACATCAGCTCATAGGTAATATTTAATTTGAACAATACGCGTAATGAATAAAAATCAAAGTAAAATTTAATATTGTCGAATCTGTCATTAATAATCTTAACGATTTTAACCAACAACAATTTTTTTTTTTTTTTTTGCAAGAGTGCAATACTCTTGCAGTTTTATTCTTGTTGTTGCAAGATTCTTGCATTTTGAGTCTTGGTCTTGGTCTTGTTCTTGCAAGTCTAGTCTTGTTCTTGTTCTTGGTCTTGCTAAAAAAGTCTTGGTCTTGTTCTTGTCAATTGAGTACAGTCTTGATGTTGGTCTTGCTGATATTATTACAGTCTTGGTCTTGTTTTTGGTCTCGTAGAAATGCAAGACCAAGCCAAGACTGCAAGAACAAGAGTAATTCTGCTCATCACTATTTTCCATTTAAAGATAGATTCCACGATTTCGAATGGTTAATAATAGTAGCTTATTTTTGCGACATATTTGCTAGATTCAATGAATTGAATTTAAATTTGCAAGGCTTTGGTTTAAATATTTTCAAAGTATCGGAAAAGGTCACTGCAATAATTAAAAAAATGATTCTGTGGAAACAACGACTTTCAAAAGAAAATTTAAAATCTTTTGAAACATTACATAAATTTATTGAAAACCATTTAAACTGCAATGAAGAAGTTTTACCACTGGAAACGCTATCAGTTTCATTTCAAGAACATCTTTCGATGCTAATAAATAGTTTTAAAGATTACTTTCCGGATATTATCTCAAAAAATATATGGATTAAAGATCCCTTTTCTGTCAAAATTGAAAAGGAAGAAATGCTTAATCTTAATGAATAAGAAGTTGATAATTTAATTGAAATTTCACGCGACACCGATCTTAAAAAAGTGTTTGAAACTGCACCACTAATTAATTTTTGGTTGCGCTGTCAAAAGGGGTATCCAAGAATAAGCGAAAAAGCTATACAATTCTTAATGCCTTTTTTCTCCACTTATACGTGTGAAGCTGCGTTCTCAACCTTGGTGTACTTAAAAAATAAGTATCGGAACAGATTGGATGTCGAACCAAATTTGGGAATAAATTTAACATAATTTCATCCTAATTTGAAATTATTGCATTAAGGCCAAAATGTGTAAAATAAAGTTTAGCTCATTTACCAAAGTTTTACATGAATATAATGGATATTTTTTAAATTTGTTTTTGTTATATAATTATTTTGCAATTTTTGTGCATGAAAGAAACAGACAAATAACATGATTTTTATTAAAAATAAAATTTGTTTTGTAAATAAATGTTTTTTTTTCATAAGGTGGGTCGCGAAAATTTTTTTTTATTTCGTACCGGGCCGCGGTCAAAAAAGTTTGGGAAACGCTGGTATATAGTATTTTATTTTCATGTAGAATAAATGCAAAAAATTTAATGTTGAAAATTACGTAGTTTATGACTTTTCCATAATATGTAAATGATAAATTTTGAAACTCTATAAGCGGTGATAAAATTATATTCTCTTATTATTGCCAAAAAATCACAGTAAAAAAATGGTCAGAAACAAGGTGTGATAGTATTAAAGCAATAAAGTTTCATGTCACATTCAAGAAATTATTGATGCATTAGATGAAATATTATATAATACACATGATCCGCTAATTAAAAATCACACTAATTCATTAAATTTAGAGTTTATAACAATAGAAATCCTTATGAGTTTATATATTTGGTATACAGTATTTGTATACTGCAGCATAGTAGTCGAAGAATCAACAATATCTATTATAATACGCAAATTGTAAATTTTGTAAATTCTATAAGTAGCGTTAAAATTATTTCTCCATCATAAAATGTTCACCAGACATTTTAATTGCCTAAAGGAAAATAATATGCAAATTTGAAAAAAATTCGTTCAGTCACTTTTGTGTAATGAGATGATATAATTGGCTATTTTAAGCAAACCACGCGTGTTAAAGACCGTAAAACGATACAAAAAAAATTATAAATCTATTCAAATATGATATGGGTTAAAAGAACATTACTAAAAGTTTCTAAAAAGAAAAAAAAAATTTTAATTAAAAAAATTTTTGACCTTCAAATTTTGCTATTAAAATACTGCAAAATTAAAAAAATCAAAATTTCGATGTTCAAAAAAATTCAAAATTTATAAACTTAAGAATGAAATTGAAGTACTATTTAATATGAGTAAAACAGTGCTAGTTCCACAGTGATAGCTTATTTGGATGAGAAGATATAGGTTCTACAACATAGGCTGTTTTTTCATGTTTTTAATTATAAAAAATGCGATATCTGGTAAAAAAACAATAAAAAAAAATATATATATTATTTTTGTTGTCAATGACCTTTAAGAAGTCTATGATATAAATTTCATAATTTTTTTAACTATACCAGCACACACATTAGGTGATTTCACATGAATGACCCATTATGTATTGGACTATGAATTAATGAAAGAGCAACTTATAAGTATTTTACATTTTAAAATAACTATCTTTTTTAAGAATTCATAGATTTGTACAGATTTTCATATGAGCTACTAAAAACAATAGTATTTCTTTTGAAATACTTTTTTAAAAAAACGTACTTAAAGTTATTCAAACTTAAAGTAATTTGTTACTAAAATCGATTTGTTACTCTAAAAATCTATAACATACTATTACTACTAGACACAATTATCTTTGTTTTGATTTGCTTCTTTAAAAGCCAAATAATAATCCAGCTACTTGCAGATCTTACAATATTATTATTTTACTTCGTGATACAAAGAAGTTAAAAAACTATTTAAGCTATAATGAAAATTATGTAACTACGAGATTTTTGGTAAAATGTCCAAGTATATATATTTTTAACTTATTTAATATAATTTTTTTTTCGTTATAGGTTATATCTTTAAATTTTGATGTCAGCTCGATTAAAAGTTTTTCTTTAAATGCTTCAAATAATAAAATTGTTGAGTACAGTTTAAAAAACAATAAAGCTTTACCTTATCCTATTTTGAATTTAATAACAGAATCTATTTCTGAAACAAATTTATACATCTTTATGGACACTCGTAAAAAAAATCTTTGTTTAACACTAAATTGTCATATTGATGAGGATATTAATATAGAGCAGTTAAAAAATATGTATAGTTTGTTAGTAACACACATAAATGAAAAGAATTTTATACCCGAAGAAAACAATGACTTGAATTTCATAGCGAAAAAAAATTTTAATTCATTAACTGCTCAAGGTTTATTTATGTGTGAACAAATATTTGAAGACATTGAAAAAATTGAGAATACATTAATCGATCAAAAAAAACAATCGACTGCTTTAAAACAAGAAATAGCTATTCTCAAGCTAGAAAATTCTAAGCAAAATTGTATAATTCAATTATTAAAAGAAAATGTCCGCGAAACTCATGAGTTTGATCAATCATCTGAGACACAAGGTCATAACCTTGCTGAATCAGAGTTAATAGAAGGGAAATCACTTATTGTTGAAGAAATAAATCAATTAGAAGGTTATATTTATACGAATATTGAAGAATCCAATTTAAGTGAACTAATTAATATTTTAATTAGAACAATATTGGAAAAAGAAGAATATTTAGTATATCAAAACAAACAACAATTACATGATGTCGAAAACTATAATTTTCAACTACTTAAAGAAATCGAAGAGCTTAAACAATGGCAACATCACCAAGAACATGAAAATGAAAAACTTCTTAATGAGCTGGAAGACTATAAAAAGTCGAATACATTTTTTTCCATAAAAGAACAAGAGATTTTAAAGCTTAAAGAACATTTTATTAAAATACAAGCTCAATCTGATGATTATCTTAAAGAATTAACCTCGTGTAAGTTATTAATGCACGAATGTCAAGATAAACTAGAGGAAAAAGAACTTAGATACAATGATGCAGTAGAGCTTCATACTATCGTACAGTCGAATCTTGCTGAACAGATTGATAAGTACGATAATCTTCATTTGATGTATAACAAAGACAAAAAAAAGTGGCAAAATGATGAAATTAAAAAAAAGAAGCTGATCACGGGTATTAATTCTCAACTTGAAGAAAAAGAAAAATTAATAGAAGTTTTGAAAGAAAACAATTTTAAACTTACACAAGAACTAACTTTATCAGAAAATATTGTTGAAAACTATAAGCAAAAAATTAATTGTTTAGAAGAAGAATTGAACGATAAAAATATCAAGATTCAAGAACTACAAAATTCAAACATTAAACATAAACAACAAGATGCATCCTTTTCACAATTAACAAGTGTAGTAAAAAATTTAAGTATTATTGATGATCGGTTGAATATTTTTCAAAACTATCTGATTACTTTTAAAAATAAAATTAATGAATACGAAAATGTAATTAATGGCATACAAAACTTAGTTGATCAAAAATGTAGTGAAGAAAATTTAGAAGAGCGTCATATTCATATTTTAAGTAAAAGTAAGTGTTAAAAAGAGTTAATAGTTAGTTATTTAACTTTAAGAGTTAGTTATTTTCCCCTGTGGACAGGGGATAAGAATACTTTCACAGCCCTTCTGCTAGTCGTAGGAGTCAACTAATGAGGTTGCGTCAGGTCGACAGCCGGCGTAAAATTGTTGTCAAATAGTATGAGGTGTTCTAAACAAAACTTAGGCGGATTTTCCCATCTCGGATGAATGCGGGGACAACAGGTGAGAGGGAATAAAGTAGTTAAAAACGGAGAAGGCCTAAGGAATAAAGTGTTCGATACTAGCTGGACAACTTGTGCGGTAGCTGTTTCACCAGTCATATGTATAGGTCTACCTAACGCTTGTATTGTCAACAGTGTAGAGACATCACCACTTAACTCTAGGCTGGACTCGTGTATAAGGAAGAAAGATAGATACAAAGTAAGAATGATACTTGGAATTTTGGAACATTAACTGGTAGAAGTAGAGAATTAGTAGGAGTATTGAAGAGGAGAAAAGTGAACATTTGTTGTGTGCATGAAACTAAGTGGAAAGAAGAGAAATCGAGGGAAATAGGTGAGGGTTATAAAATAATATACTCAGGTAAGTCTAGTACAAAGAATGGTGTAATAATGGATGAGGAGATGAAAAGTAAAGTAGTAAAAGTGCTGAATGTAATAATTGCCTATGCACCACAAGTAGGATATGATGAAATAGACAAGGAAGTGTTTTGGTGAAAGATGGATGAGGTGATGCAAGGGGTACCTAGCAACAAGTATGCGGTGACCACAGTAAGGGTAATACTTATTTTAGAAAGAGGGAAGAACATTATATAACTTATAAAAGTGGGAGGAATAGATCACAGATTAATCATTTTATCTGAAAGAAAGAGAGCGTAAAGCGAGTAAAAGATTGTAAAGTTCTACCAGGTGAAAGTCCAACTATAAAATCCTAGTTTCAATACGTATATACGTATTATACGTATTTTTCAAGTTTTGAAGGCCCCCTGTATTAAAGAAAATTGTTCAATTTAAATAAAAAATATGTTAAATGAAAGAGGTATGTATAAAGTATTAAAAAAAAAATTTGTGATGATACATACATTAATCAAAAAGTTATCGCAATTTTAAGTTGAAAGTTTAAAATCGAAAATTTTATCACAAAAATAGCATTTTTTTAACTACGGCAGCCGTTTGCATATAGAAGGTAAGGTGTTAAGAAAAAATTTTTTTTTTTCATTTTATAGTACATGACATAAGCTTCAATTTGATGTACGTTTAAAGGATGCAGCATTTCCGCAACATTTTCAAAAGTTAAGTTTTGGTAAAAAATATGCTATTTTAAATATCCCCTGTAAGCAGATAAAATGTTAGATTTAAAAAAAAAATTATATCAATTGAAAGGGAAATATCTAAGGTTTCAATAAAATAAAATTAAGTTGTTTTGTTAGTTTTTAAAAAAGTTATAGAAGTTTTAAGAAAAATGTATAAAAATTACCGCTTAAATGACAAAAAAAAATGTACCGATTTGAAAAATTGTAATTTTTTAGGGGACTTCCTCCATTTACGAGGAACAAGGGAAATTTTTTCAATTTTTAAGGGTAATGTCATCAACTAGATACGATTTGTGATCTTTTGACATATTGTTCATCAAAATCGGTCCAGTGAGAGCTGAGAAAAAGTGGTAACAGACACAAAAAAAAAAAAAAAAACATCATAGTAAAATTAATACCTTCTCAGCTTCGCATCGAAGCTAAAATAGGTTAAATATATCATTTTCCTGTTTTTAACATTTTAAAAATCAATATCAATATTAATTCAAAATAATTTTTTTTTTGTTGTTTTTAGCTTCGATGCAAAGCTGAGTAGGTATTAATTTTACTATGATGTGTTTTTTTTTTTGTGTCTGTTACCACTTTTTCTCAGCTCTCACCGAACGGATTTCTTTCAACGATATGTCAAAAGATCACAAATCGTATCTAGTCGAAGACATTACCCTCAAAAATTGAAAAAATTTCTCTCGTTTCCCGTAAATGGAGGAAATCTCCAAAAAAATTACAAATTTAAAAATCGATACTTTTTGAAATTTTTTTTTACTTAAAACTGCCATAACTTTTTCAAAAATGAACAAATCAATATAATTTTTTTTTTATAGATGCTTTACCTATCATTTGGTATATTTTTTTTATAAATTTAACCCTTTACCAGTCCACAGGAGGGGATTCAAAATGACAACTTTTTCACAAAAAAATAATTTTTTCAACTTGACTTTTGAAAATGTTCCGGAAAGTCTGACACTTTTACTTGTATATATATCTTAAATTAAAGCTAATGTAATATAATTTATTAAGGAAAAAAAAATTTCGGACTTTATTTTGTCTTCACGGTGAAAATGGCTACCGTATGCTAGTTTTGTGTTAAAATTCTCGATTTTATATTTTACATTTTTAACTTTAAAATGTTATAACTTTTTGAAAAATGTATGGATCAATACAATTTTTTTATAAGTAATAATATTAATATACTTCTTTCATTCGACATACTTTTTTTTTAAATCGAACCATTTTCCTTAATACAGAGGGGGGTTTAAAACATAAAAATGCATATAGAAAGTAGAACTTTTTCAACTTAATTTTTGAAAGTGTTCCGGAAATATTGAGACTTTTATATATATCTGAAATTAAATCTTATGTAATATACTTAAATATTAAAAAAAAAAAATTTTGGACTTTATTTTGTCTTCAAGGTGAAAATTTGTGTTAAAATTCTTGATTTTATTTTTTAATTTTTAACTTTTTAATGCTATAACTTATTGAAATGTGTATGGATCAACACAATTTTTTTAAAAAAAAAAAATATTTTTTAATAATCCCTTTTTCATTTGACATACTGTATCTTAATCAGGATATTAATAAGGAACTAGCAGACCATGTAACTTTTGGAATAATCCACCAATTTATTAAAATTAAACACTATCTAAAGATTTGCATCGAAGCATTTTTTTTTTTGATAGTGATTTTAATCACTGTCAAATATCATTATACTTGATCCAACTATCCCACGACACCACTGTGCCGCGACTCCTCTGAACTGTTTTTGGTTTGGGTTGTTTTTTAATTATAAGTAATAATATTAAAACTTAGAACGGATAAAAAAAGTCTAATTGCACATTTGAAAACAGCACGAAAAGTATATTTTGGTTTTTGATGAAAGTTCCTTGTAGTCCAGTATATAAGTTATAACCTTGTTATAAAAAAATTTTATTTAAAAGTATTGCATCAAGTTAAAATTATTGAAATATACTACTACAACTACTTTATTATTTTTATCTCAGTAAAAATTAAAACATTAAATATTGAATATCAATTTTATACTAAATTTAATTACTATAATTATTACTTATTCAAATATAATAATTCTAAATCAAATAAATAATCGGGATAAAATTTTATAAAAAATAAAGGTATTTATTTATATATATATATAGGCAAAGAAGCTGCTTTTAAAGAAGAAATAAATTGTCTAAAACAAAAATTGGAAGCAAAAGATCATCAAATCACTATAGTGGAAACTATAGCACAATCTCAACTTAGAGCTGCCACCAATACAAACATTAGTTTGGAAAAATATAAAAAGTATCAAGTACGTTTACTCATTATTTCAATTTTCCTTTTTTTTTTGCTGCCCATTTATCATTTTTATTAATATTCTTTTGTTACTTATCAATTTTGTTACAATGAAAAAAAATACTTTAATAAATTAGTTTTTTTTTATAATTTAATTTAAATTAAAATATATTGTGGATTTCTTTTCGCTAAAGTACAATATACTTATACTTATCAACCGAGAAACTTACAACATGAAATCCTCAATATGAGCATTTAGAGAATTTCTAACATTTTCAATTTTTATAAAAAATATTTGAGGAGAGAAACTAAGTAAATCCTCTAATTATTTTTTCAAATTACACTAGTGGAATTGTATAAATATATAAATGGTTTACCATTACTTAATTTTTGAATGTCAAAGACTTGTTTTTTCTAAAAACTTTTACGTAGTTAATTAATATTCTAAAAATATTAATAATTTTATAATGAAAAAGAAACGATTAGAATTTTTTTAATTTGTTTATACAGTGTACAAATTTAAACGAGCTTTTATCATCGCACTAAAAAATAATGACTAGTAAAATATTCATCAGTTTGCACACTTCTTAATCAAGTTTCAAGATGATTCAAATTAACATTAATGTTTTTTTTTTAAAATAAGAATTTCTGTAAAATTCTAAAAACCTCTTTTTCAGTCAATATGAAAAATTCTTGTTAAAATAGCAAGAACCTTTAAGAAATTTTATTTTAATGAAATTTTCCTATTATGAAGACTTTTAAAAATGTTGTACTTTAAATAATAATTTAATTATTTAAGATTAGATTAATTAACAATACTTTATTTGGGAGGTAAAAGAGTGAGCAGACACTAATCGAATATTTTACTCTACAAAAATTAATTACTACGCCAGTAAGTTGTGATAAACGTTGGAGTTGAGTAAGTCATAATTAATTTTTAAAACTTATATAGCAAGAGTAGAGGAGAGTTTTAATAAATTTGTTATTCTTTATTATTTTTAATACTAGTAATATTACATAGGAGATTGAATTAAGAAATACAAAAGCTAAACTGGAAACATTAGAAAAAAAATGTCTACAGGACACGAATATTTGCAAATATTACAAAAGTGATACTCAGGTAAAGTGTTAATTATGATAAATTTGTTGGCTCTAATAAAATCAGTGGCGCTAGTAGAATTTTTTTTTAAACACATGTTAAAAGTTTTTTTCAATACAATATGTTCAAAACTAACCGAATGTTAAAAAATATGGGTCATATAAGGCCAGTGGTGTTTTGGCGTGTATACGAGTGTAAAGGGCATATATCCACTAACAATTTTGCTAATTTACATATACTCCAGATAAATAATACTTATGGCTTGTTTATATTTAAAGGTGTGTTCAAAAATCAGCGTACACCTTAAAATAAAATAAAATATTTTTTTGAGAAAACACCACTCTCCAAAGTTCAAGAATTGCTCTCATTTAGAACAGAATAAGGGTGGCATAAACCACTGAGTACAATAAAATATATGCTTAGCATGATGTTTAAAGATAATATATTTAAGATTAAATCCAGTGCTCGAATTGGGGGGGGTGCGCAGGGGGACGTAGCTCCTCAACTTTTTTTTCAATTTTTTTGCGCACCCCAACTACTTTTTTTTATTGAGACGGGAGGACGGTGGAAAATACCACCTCTTTTTTTAAATATTAGTATGATAATGAAATATGATTTATTAATAAATACTAAATAAAGTAATGAGTAAAAAAAAAAAGGTCTTCAAAATACTAGGGACGCAGTTTTCAAATTGTTAAGTTGAGCTCCCCTACTTATTTTTGGCCAATTCGAGCACTGATTAAATCTAAATAACATTTAGATTGAATCTTCCTCTCGGTAACGTGAATTGGGAATACTTTCAAGATACTATAGTATCATTTATCAATCCATGTAAACGAAACTATTATTTTTAATCGAAAAATTAATTTTATAGAAATGAGTAATCAACATTTCTAACTTCAATAACTGTATTAAAGTTACTAAGGTAGACATTTTCTGAATTTTGGAAATACGTTACATCAAACACACTTTACAAGTTCACAGTACCGCCTCTGAGATTGCGTGGACTAGAGTGAAAACATTTTAATCCTAAACTGTAGAATTTAATTTTTCAACATAGTAGGTTACGACACAACTCGCGTAACACAAACGCCGAGTGTACTAGATATCATATTACTCAAATACTTTAACACTGTTAAAAGTTAATAATTGCGTTACCAAGAATTCGCATTTGTTGACACAAATTACTTTTAAATATTATTTAATTATACAATTAACTTGGAATGTCATAAAATTTATATGCTCTTTTTACAAATTTCAGATTGAATGTTTAACTGAATTGGTTAAAAAATATAGAGTTAAAAATCAAATTTTAACTAAGTTATGCATTGATCGTCTTGAGAAAATAAAATTACTAAAAAACCTCGAAAGTCAAATGAGTTTACAAAACAACCAACGATTATGTTTGAAAAAAAATTGAAAATTTAATAAAATCATCTTACAATTATTAATGAAAAATAGAGCACCAAAAAGATATTTAATTTTTGTTACTGTAGTAATTTAAAGGAACATAATTTATTTTTAAGTTACAATTTATAGTTAACATTTTTAATACAATAAAAAACATAATATTTATATGTATTGCAGTATTTAGTAAGAAAACTAATATTATCAAACTAGAAAACCAAGTTCTTTATAAATTTTGTATGGAAATGGAACAAGCCCTATTCTTTACTACTAAATAATACCTACCTACCTAATTAAACATTAGAAAGTTATAAAAGTCAGTTTTGCAATGCTATAATTCAATAATTTTAACATTTCGACCAAAGTTACTCGGTGGTACTAATCTCTATTAATTATGATCAGAATTATAATAACTTAAAAATAATCAGAAATATTTTTCTAAAAATAAAAAAAAAAACTTAGGTCGTATCCCATACTTCAAAACCATTTAATTGTTTTTCTCAATATAGGTTATAACGCAATTTTCTTTCTTGGATTTATATAAATAAAATAATTGAGCCTTAGCAACTGACAATATGTATTAAGAATTTTCAACAATTCTATATTTACTGTACTAGAATTATTTACAGTGAAATTATCAACTATAATACTGTCTAAGCAACAAATATAGACAACAATACATACATGTTTATAAAGTATGTTATTATAAAGATCAATTGACATTGTAATAGCGTGCAATGTTAAATTTTTTTACTTCAAACATATTTTTAGTAGCTTAGTTCTTAAAAATATAATCATTTATAGCTGAAAAAGAAACAAAAATTATCTAAAACTTAAACACACCAAAAATAAAAAAATTAAAAAACCAACTTGAGAATTTTCTTTGATTATCTTATCATTTAATCAATATTTATACAAAAGTAACTTAATTTTTAAATGATAAATGTGAACATATATATATATACATATTATATATGTATATATACTTAATTATTTATTTATACTTATAATAAATGTATATATACATACATTTTTTTTTTAGAAATCAAACCTATTAACTTAATTATAATTCAGTATCTCCAAGATTGATTATTGTAAATATTTATACTATTATTTACTTATAAATAGGTAAAATCAATAAAAAAAAAAAAACATTTATTGTGTTGTAATTTGTTACAATAATTAAAAAAAACATTGAGTGGTCGAGTTAATTTTAAATATTTCAATCAACTGTTAGTTAGGAGTTTAAAAACTTATTCCACAAGGAACATGCACAAAACTTAATTGATAGTGAGTGACTTAAGACTTGGAACAAGTACACAGAAAAATTTATTAGGAATCACGTGTTTTTTAAATTTAAAAAAACCATTTATGTCCAAGTCACTCAGTAGCAAAAAAGCTTTGATGGCATATTTGTATAAAAAATTACATTTTGAAATCAAAATTCTATCAAACGGGAGACATCGAGTACATGCGCACTATGTAAAAATTATATAAAATTAAGAGACTTGTTCAATTGTACATTTAGTCAGTTTACACATCATCATCGTCTTCATCTACACCATCAATGTCATCTTCATCTTCTTCTGAACAAACTATAAAAATAGAAAACAAATATTTAAAATAAATTACTAAGATGTAATTTGATGACTATTATTACCATCAGCTTCATCTAGATCATCTTCACCTTCTGCTAATTCTTCTTCATCATCTTCTTCTCCTTCGACTTCTTCTTCTTCATCAAGGTCTTCTTCTCCATTCTCCTCTTTTTTCTGTTTCTTCACCTCATCAGACTTATCCTAAGGAAAAAAGTAAATTAATTTTTCCATGTATACTAAAACACATCTAGTATTTATAGTAAAAATAAATCTATAATATATAGCTCAGTCAGTACCATTTCTTTCTATTCTGTTACTGGGATTTTACTTTATTACAATAGTGAAGATTATAATTTTTTTTCGTATTCAATACAAGTATTAAGTTACAAAGGAGAACATAAAAAATACATTTTAAATAAAAATTATTTACAATTATTCATAACAAAAACTATTAGTTTAATAGTAGAAATTTAAAATTTAACCATATTAAAATATTGCAAAGATTAAATACTATACATAAGTTGAATACAGACACATTCATGATTATTTAAAAAGCTATTATTTAATAATTCCGTTATTTGAAATAAAATAATAATAATAATGCTGCATTTAATTAAGAAAAATGATAAACCAATTTGAAATGTAAATTCGATTTTAATTATTTGGTTTCATTATTACATACTAAGATCTATACAATAATAACGCACTTTCTTCTGAAGTTAGTGATGACTTCATTATATAACACGAAAAAAAATATTAAGCAGTTTATCAGTCAATTATCTTATAGAAAATAACGATAGAAATATTCATCGAAATCTTACAGGAATGACAACTTTTTAAATGTAAATTTCCCAACGCCAAAATGAGTGGAGTAGATGAATATGAAGGAGGGGGTTACCGGTAAACAACCGTGGTGCCGGTCTGCCGAAAATGTTCAGCGCGGGACGCCACGAAATCTTTCAAGTTACAAATACTCATACATCTATTCATGTTAAAAAAATTATAACGAATTGCTAGTTGATTAAATTTGGTCAACATACTCATATTTTACTGAAAAATTAACATCACATAAATGACTAGTTAGATAGTATGAATACACGCCGACCGTACACGGTGCCGGGGTTAAAATGGCGGGTATGACAGCTTACCGGTAGCCGGTAGGACGCCGGTTGTGTAACGACAAACAGAAAAGCTCATTCATTCAAAATAGGCCAATAATCGTAGAACACAGTCTAGATACTATTTAATTATAAAATTATCTTCTAAATTATTTTACTTACATCTGCCGGCCTTTTGGTTCCTTTAATGTCGGCCTTGGGGTCTACGTCGTCGTTTTCTGCGATTTTTTCTACAGCAACATCGTTTTTCGCTTCTTTAGTACTCATTTTTGGTTGAAATTTATAATAAAATACAATTAAATTACAACTGCGCCTGAGCTTGTTGAAATAAAAATTATAAAAGCAGGAACCTGTAATATTTCAACACTTATCGTGTAAAAACGACGAATCGAAATTACACGCGAGTCGGCACGGGAAACAGACAGAACATACGTACAGTCAGGCTAACGTATAACGAATACGGACCTGGCTGGCGGTGTTCTTTGTTTGTGAAGATGGCGCGTGTTGGTGGGGCTGTCCAACGTCAAATTTTTATTTGTTCATTCTTAATGTTTTAATAATTTTAAAATTACAGAAATTTTTTCTAAAATCTTAAATAATTTTTAAAATTTCTTTTTTATGTGTATTTTACTTTTAAAATAATAATATATTAAATTAAAAAATAAACGAGAGGGGTTTGAGATTAAAACCGACGAGCACTGACAATGGTGATGAGATTAAAACGGACAACAGCGCTAATGACGGACGCTTTTAACGTTAATATTGAACAACAATAATATGCCACAGAAGACGTTTTTGAACCAATCATAAACATATATTGTATTTTTATTTATTTTTTAATTATAAAAACAAGAATACTTTAAAATTCTTTATTGTTTAATTATATAAGAATTAGCTTTTTAAGTATCACCAAATAATTATAGAACGGTTCCTAAATAAATCATACATTTTCTACTCTCAAATAAATATCAAAACCGTCATAAAAATAGAACACATATTGACAATCCAAATTTTAAAAATTCCCATTTTTAAATTATAATGTAATAACAATTAAAGTTTTTTATTAGCATTATTATTTTAAAAATAAGACAGATTCGTTAATAATTAATGGATTAATTGATTTGTATAAAGCGGATAAAAGTTTACTATCACTTTTATTTAAAAAAAAACTAATTGTTAAAAAAACATTTCGATAAGATTGTGCAAGTGTGTATAATGAATTTTATCAAAATACGTAACTCAAGATAAAGAGAACTTAATTTTCATATTAAACAGTTTTGATCAAACAAATCATCAAATAATGTAACTCGTGATTTTTCATTTAAATCGTAGTTTAAAATTGTAAAATAAAAAAATATTACCAAATTACATTAAAAAACAAATATTTTCAAAAATTTATGTCAATTTTTAATAAATACCAACATTTTGTTGTTTTCATAACTCACTGAGAAACTTTTGAATTTTTTGCTAATTTTATGATAGAGTTACAATAGAGAAATATATTGACTAAAAAATTACTATTAAGAATATTCATTATTTAATTATAAGTATGATTATATTAAATAACTCAATACAAATTCGTCAATCGCTCAACGTAGTTAGAGCCTTAATGTTTGTAAATCAGTAAGTCAACATTAGTAGGTCTCTAGAAAAATTTATCGGATCAAACTGAAAAAAAGTTAAAATTTTCATTGATCAAGAGGTATTCTGGCCCCTAACCCCTAATTTTATTAACATTTTGAACGTTTCATAGTTTGTTCGCACCGGCGCCTCAGATATCATTCCAGTAACGGTTTCAACATTTTGTTCACATCAAACATCGATTTTCCAAAGAGTTTCTAAAAACTAAGCGTCGGTAATTGAAAAAATAAAAAACAAGGTAGATGCTTCCATGATCTTATAATGATTATTAACGTTATATTTTTTTTTTACATATAAAATTCGTAGGTGACAAATAGCATGATTGTAAAATATAACATATTTACTAGAGACACATTTGTTTACCTATTGTTGATACTGTGGTAAAGACACATATATAAATCTCAATGAAGATTTATTCTTTTCAAGTAATTACTTTTTTACATCTAACCATATTGTGGAAATAAAACTACATAGACCAGATAAAATAACATAAGTCAAAGAAATAATATGTGCACAAGTGTAAACCACTGAAATTAATATTGCAAGTTTAGGCATGATATTTGTAGATCATATACTTAGTGAAGTAAATTATGAAAAGTACTTAGTTTTAACTGGAAATTTTTAATCCTATCCCATGAAGTCGATTAAAATTTTTCTTATAAATGGATATTTATACTTCAAGTATATTTAAAGAGGTATTTCAATTAACAAATGTTTTATTTTGTTAAATAGAAAAATGTTCTTGTTCTAAAACATTAATACTAAAATAAATTAGACTGCGCGAGAAAATGGTAAAAAGGATCAATCCACCTTTACATCGACCATGATTATTTATAATAATCATGATATAGACATAAGAATAACAATTAAAGTAGTCTCCATTTTTAAATAACTTGCGTTATTTACAGATGCGAGTAAATTTTAATTTTTATATGTACGTATAATGTTTATATATATATATATATATATAGAGAGAGAGAGAGAGAGATAGTGATCTACAACGTTTTAACAAATCTAATAACTTTTATCTATCAAATATATTTCTTTTTAACTTTAATGCGATGCTAAGAAGGTATTAATTTTACTATGTTGTGTTTATATATTTTTTTGTGTCTGTTGCCACATTTTCTCAGTTCTACTGAACTAATTTTTTTCAACGATACGTCAAATTATCACAAATGGTATCTAAAAATAAAGACATTCCCCTAAAATGTTTGCTAGAAATTCCTCATTTCCTCATAAATATAAGAAATCCACCAAAAAGTACAATTATTAAAATCAATAAATTTAAACATTTTTATTAATTAATACTATCATAACTTTTTGAAAAATGGATGAATCAAAATAAATTTTTAATAAGTACTTTATACATATCTATTTCATTAAATATATTTTTTTAAAACGGACCATTTTCCTTTATACATGGAAAGTTCAAAATTTGAAACATACATAGTAGAACTTTTTCAACTTAACTTTTGGAGGTGTTCTGGATATACTCTAGATATAACTCTAAACATATGTTAATGTCTTCTTTATGCAAATAATCACCGAAGTTAAACATAAAAATTTATTTTAGTGTAAAAAAGCCATGTAAAGTTACTACTTCAATTTTTTTCAATTATTTATATCTATACTTTAGATCAAACAATATATTTGTATTGCTTTTAATGATCATTTATTACGTTGATTAAAAAGGAGTTGTATTTTTCAAAAATATGTTCCAGGTATCTATGGTTTACTTTAAAGTACAACTAATATTATAATTAATTCATGAGAGTCAGAATAATCAAATTTCCCGACAAACACCATATGTAGAAATTTGTCAAATCAATGGTGAAGGGGGGAGATAAATTTATTTATCACATTACTTGCAATCACTTATTTCTTTCACTACTTCCTACATTTAGGTATAACAAACAAATTATTTATTATTTAAGTACCTAAAATAGGATACCATTATTCGCTGCAATAGATTTAATCTCTTCATTATATGTAATGTTTATTTTAAAAAATCAACAACTTCTGTATTTATTAATTATGGTTCAAAATTACTTTAGTTAAACCATAAATCTTTGAATTAAAGAGCATTTTCAACAAAAATTAACTATTTAATAATCCAATAATTTATTGCTTATATATTTAACATTAAAATGTTACAAGTATATTTATAATCGATTTATGTAAAAATTTTCAATAAACATAAAACTTACTAATCAATAATTATCAAAACTTCTACTTCAAAAATAAGATAATATTAATTTGCGATTAAAGGTACAAAAAAATAATTCCTTAAAAACATTAATTATGTAGTTACGTTATTATTATTTGTATTACTTAAATAAAAATTTAAAAATGTACATATTGAGTTTTCTGCAAAATATTTTATTCAGAGATGGACTTTATATTTTTTACAAAATATACATTTTATCTCAAAAACATTTTCATTAAAGAAGAAGCTATATAAAAAATAATACTAAAACATAAAGATATATTATTTCATTATAAAAGTTGTTTAATTAAATGAAAATTATGGCTATATACACAATCCCCTACAGTATACTACCACATTATTTACAACTTTTTCCAATAATTCTTAGGTTCCATTAAAGCGTGTTGTCTTGAATAAGGTTTCAAAGACCATCAGAAAAGTTTAACAAAAATTTGGGGGTTAAATTTACATAATTATTTGGCACCTACTTCAAAAATTTAAGCGTAATTTTTTGACCAAAGCCTCCCTTATTCTTATATCAACTTTGGATATAGTTTTACCAAATATTGAGAAAAAAAAATGTTTTGCCCCCAATCTAGACAAATTTTTGTAGACAACCTTATTTTTATGTTCAATAATTTAAGGATTTGCTGTAAAAAAGAGGTAACTCCATTTTGAGGTCATTCATATTATATTATTATAGCTCAAGAATTATCATTTATTAATGTTTATTTTTAGAAAACGGTTTGTAGAAATGTTTGGTACAAGTTTAGAGGGTATATGAGAATGATATACTGAAATAATCTTTATACATAATAATTTATCTTGAACCCCTAACTTATTATAAGTAACCAAATATGACCTCTTCTATGGATGGAAAATAAATGGCCCACTTTAGAAACCAACTGCTGACCCTTTGATTAGAATCTAAAAGTTTATTCTTGTTATGAAATCATCAAAATAATAAATCCAATCAATTTTAATGTTATGAATAATTATGTATTTAATAAAAAAAACTTTTTTGAATATATTAATTGATATTTAGTAAAACATTTTAAGTTGAAATCATTTAATAAAGTATAGTATTTTAACATAAAACAAAAATCTTTTTTGTAACAAATATTAGTTATAAAGTAAGATTATTAACTAATGAACAAGATAGACCAGTATTATCAGGTTCAACATTCAACTGTACAACCTTGCTATCTTTAATAAGCATTGAATAACGTTTTGATCGGATCCCTCCTAATGGTGGCAAATCAATAGCTAAATCAAGAGCTTTAGTTAACTCTGCATTTGGATCAGCTAACAAACGTACCTAAAAAAAATTTTATGTTAAATTTTTAATTTAAAGTTTTTGAATTTTTGCATACTTTTCCTTCTGCATTTTGATTTTGAGCCCATGCAGCCATGACAAAAGGATCATTGACTGAAATACATACTATTTCATCAACTCCTTTTTTTTTTAAATCATCAGCTGAAGCTACATAACCAGGTAAATGTGTCTACAAAATAATGAAAAAAAAATTAAAATTAAATCGTTTTTTTTTTTAATACTTCAAACTGAAATAAAATGTACCTTAGAACACCCAGGAGTAAATGCACCAGGAACAGCAAATAACACTACAGTTTTTCCTTTACACAGTTCAAAAATATTTATTTTGTTATCAGGTTTGTTTTCTGTTAGTTCAACATTTGGAATGATATCTCCAACCTATTATAATGTTAAGTAGCATCATTTTTTTATTAATATATTTTATAAAAATTATGAAATAAAAAAAAAAGTCATGATAAAAATAGGATGGCTTTGAATTTTATTATTATCAGTTAAAAACAATATAAATTGCTGGAATTTAATTAATTAATTATATAGAATATTTTAGCATATTATACAACAAATTAGTGTTCAATAAGAGTAGATTTCACAAATTCTAAAAAAAAAAAAAAAACTGGTTAAATTAATCTTTTTAATTTTAATTTTTTTTTAATACTATTCTGGAACAACTTATGGTATTCCAAAAGATATAATTTGAGAATAAGATGGTATTTCATAGGGTTTATTAATTTTAATACTTAGAATATTATATGGCAGGATGAGTTACTACTGCAATTCAAAATTAATCTTTAAAATAAATTGCTCAACATTTCTAAAAATTAAAAAATTACAGATCATATAAAATTACAAAACCTAAAATTTTTATAAAGGTTTGTTACTCATAAATGCCTCAGTTATTTATGAAGTAACAAAATCTAGTAAGTCATATTTTACCAGTATTATTGGTAAAGTAAAGAAATTTTTAGTTTTGCATTTAAATGTGTAAACTTAAAAAAAATTGTCAAATAATTAAAAGAAGATTTGACTTAAATAAACTAATTATGTATATACTTCAGTATACTGACGGTAAAATTCAAAGCATAATGATTGATTAATTAACCAACTTAATTGATGGGCATAATTTAAAAAAAATATACAATAGTAATTTTGACATCTTAATTTTCCAATAATTTTAATATTCAACACATTCTTATATCAATATTATTTAAAAATTTCTAGTCTATTGTATTTTAACACTTTACAATTTATTAAAATATAAATAATTATAATTTGTTCTTTAAACTACTTCAAATATTATTCTAATGAAAAATGAAAATAAAATTATTACAAGTTCTTATAATCTTTTTAAATATTAAAAAATGTATCAAGTTTCTAATCACTTACTTTGACAGGCATGTTTGAATAATTATTGGTGCTTATAAGTCGTTTAAAAACCGAATTCACTGGATGACTCTGTAATGATTTATGAAGAGCTTCGTAAATAGGTCTAAAGTGAAACATTGGTAAAATTATCTTTCTCAGAAAAATAAAAGTGTAAATAAATAATAAAGTTGTTGGGTATTTCTATTCTTCTATTCAATATTTCAAAATAAGATATTATTTTTAACCTCAAGTGTATAATTAGTAAATTTTATATGCCGGCGTTGACTTATAAAATATTCAATATTATCGACGTAATAATGACCTCTGTTTTTTTACGCTAATCCACAGATAAGTATCAAGACAAGAAACTGATAAAACCAAAATGTTAACCGTAAATTAATATTCCAGTATCGTTATGCTAAATTATTCGCCAAGATATTGCAGGTTATTATATTCTGTTATCTCCTTAACTAAATTACCGATTTTAGGATAAATTAGTAATATAAAGTTCTCGAAAAGCGGAATTACAATATTTGATTATTGATAATAAAATATTCAATTTAAATATGCAACTAAGTTTTAGGTATCAATTTGAAAAATAACATATTTTTCACAAAAATATTTTATTTCGAACATTTTCATTACAATTTTTTTAATAAAAAAATGTATTTATTCTGATACTTTTTTAAATTACAGAATATATCGTTAAAAAAATAAGTTTTTAAACATTTAATACTTACTGTAAATTTATTTGAAATGTTCAGTCGATGATATCCCAAAATTACCAATGTTGGTAGTATTATCGACACGAGTTGATTTAGACCAGTAGCGCAACTAGCGGGAAAGTTGGCAAAGTAATATTTTGTTGTTTGGGGGTGGGGGGGGGTGTTAAAAATCTGGTGCCTCTATTTGTTTTTTGTTTACTTGAAGGACACATAAGGCATAACCTTCATTTTCCAAAAAATGATGCAATTTTTTATTTATAACTAGGTATTAAATTAAAAAACAAATAAATATTAGCTATGTTAATTATATGAAAAATCACAACATTATTTACTCTATACGAACATTTTTTAAATTTGTTTTATTTTTGTTTATATAAAAATAATGAACTGATTTTTTCAGCATCCATATAAAATTTCAAATTTGTTTTACAATAACGTGGTTTTTATTATATTATTCTATAATAAAATAATTAATACTAATAATTTTTATTTATTAATTTTATTTTCTCTATCAATAATTTATTGATAAAGAAAATAAAACTATATATATGTGTGTATATATATAAATGTAATACATGCGTTTTCAAATTTTTTAACTCTAGAGTTAATCAATTTAAAATGGTAAAATTAGAGCCTTATTCGAATAAATATTTTATTCACTTTTTAAATTTATAATTAATAAATAAGAAAATATATGTTCATGTCTGATATACTATATTTTTATTTAACTAGTTTAAAACTTCATCAAAAATTAATGCGGAAAAGCTAAACTGGGCTATTATTCCAATAAAAATTCAATATTTGAGTGATATAATGTCTCAACTAGAATAGTTGGGTCCTTTTTATAATATAATTATTCTGTAGATTACACAATTTATTAGTATGCATTTATAGCTAATATTTTAACACGTTATCAAATAGCTAAGATAAACCATTTCAGTATAAAAAAGCGCATTTTGTAAAAATGTACAATTAGATCCTTAATTTAATTAGTAATATATTTGTCTGCCAAGTATCAAGGATTTTTACGTATTTGAACTTGTATATGACGATGGTTAATAAAATTCATGCTTAATTATACTGTTACCATTGTCGTTAAAATATAATTACAATACTATGCTCATAGATATAATCTACAAGTACAATTTATTATGATAGTATAGACACCGTGCATCAGACTAATAAGAGTGCTCTGGCGGACAATGAGATAACAAGTACCAAGGAATTCATTGTGTTTACGTAGCGGGGTCTTAGGTTTTTAATATCTTCTTTTCCAGGAAAAGGTTTACTCAAGTAGTTTGATATTAGTGTGGACAAGGCTTCATATTCGCACATTATGTGAAAAGAGTCTTCCTCTTCTACTCCACACTTCCTGCACTTGGTGATTCCGATACCCCCATTGCGTAAAGATGTTTAAACAAGTGACCATGTCCTGTTAGTAGACCAGTCAGTGCTTCTTTGATGTCTAGTCGTGCTATTAAGATCACCTAGCAGTAGACCGGGGGTCTTAATGAACATTTTAGATTGTCTAAGTACTACTCAGTACTTCCAGATTTTCGTGTGTTGTTCTCTGCACCAATTCTTGGGTAGCGCTTTGTGCGATTGTTCAGTGAGTCCTACCACTGGTTCTGGTCAAACATAGATGTTCTCTGCTCCTTTCCTAGTTAGAAAGTCAGCTTTTCATTTCCAGTGACACCGTTGTGTCCTGGTATTCACGCTAGTATAACTTTTTTAAACCTCGATAGTGATTCTTAAGTTCCTTTGCATTCGAGGACAAGCTTTGAATTAACCTGGTCGTTACAGAGTGCTTTTAGAGCCGCTTGACTATCACTTAAGATAGTTATCTTCCTTTTCTTATATACCAGCAGGTTCTGAGCCCCTACCAGTATCGCCATCACCTCTGCTTAGAAAACAGAGAGTGTTATGTCCATTGCATTCTGATATTAATTCGAGGCTTTAGACCCCAAATGCCAGCACCTACCTTTCCTATTTTTTTGAATCCATCTGTATATATTACAAATCCTCCTTTCTCAGTCAGTTGGTTAATGTTCTATTCTCTACGTATAGTGATTTTCACTTTGTAGAGAATGTTATTCTTAAGAACCGGTTTGATATAGTCCAAGGGGCGTTCCACAAAGCCTTAGTCAATCTCTTATTGTTTTACCGTTTTCTGTTTTGTCGCTCTCAAAAATCCAAGTACCTAAGTTATGGAATCTTAGTACTGTGGCTTTGGCATGAGCTTTGACCTTTAGATGCAGCGGAGGTAATCCTATTAGTGCCTTTAATGCGACCGCTGGTGTAGTTCTTATTGCTACAGTGATGGTTATGGCAGCCATTCTCTGTATGCGACTAAGTTCATTCCTAGCTATAACAAATACTGTTCTGGTACACCAGACTAGGGCACCATACAATATCATAGGTTTAATCACTGAAGTGTACAGCTAATACATAACTCTTGGTTTAAAACCCCATGTCTTTCTCTGTTGTAAGTCCACAGTGTGGTAGGTATGCCCAGGCCTACCGGTCTCAACTAATCAGTCATGACCGGCTATGAGCAGTGGTATGTGTTGCCACCCCCACTGAATTATCTAGGGTCCACCGGGTTGTTAAGCCCGTGTTCCTTACAGATCCCACTGTGGGAATAACATGTATTTACTCAATAGGATAAATGTTTTAATTTATTATATGTATAATAATGTAATGTATTATGTTTTACGAAAATGTAATGCCAGATTTTTATATAAATGTATATCTTTTAAAAAAAGTCGTACTGTTTTAATATTACATTATTTTATTTGATTTCTAACTATTAAGAAAAAATGAATACTTGTTTTATTGCCAATTTTGATTATTAATTAAAATATTTAACCATGAGTACAACTGACAAAACTTCAGGTAATCATCATACAAATAAAAAAAATATCTCAACAATTTTTTAATGAATCGACTGTACATTTTTAACTCAAGTTAAAATTTAATTACTTTAAAAGAAAAGTTAAGTAAGTGTTTGCATAATCATAAACTATTAAGTTATAATTATCTTATGTTCACTTAAATTGACTGGAATGTAGGTGTATTGCAACAAATTATTTGGGAGCTCTACTTACATAATTTTTTCTCTTTCTTTAAAAAAATATTTCTATACAACAATAAATGCATATTATTTTATTTTCAGGGGGCCATGACAGAATTTTAGGAGACTAAGCCCTCTCAAGTCTCTCCTGTTTGCAACCAATCATAAGATCAAATTCAGACTGGATTTATTTAGTTTCATAATCCACCTACACCATGAAATTATACTAAGTCACATATTTTTATTTGTTTTCATATAAGACTAATTGAAGTGATAATTTTAGAGAATGGGATACCGAATGCCCTTATAAAACATCTGTTTAATGCCGAATCCTATTATTAGTGACACGTATCCCCTATATTTTTTACCAATAAACAAATAAGAACACAATAACTAACAAAATGTTAGAGGTTATAATAATAAACGCTAATAAGGAGAAGCAAAAAACACTTCAGTCCATTAATTAAAATCGCTCCTTTCCTAAAAAAAAAAAAATTAAGGGCTCACCAATTTTATAACAGGGATTGTTTTAGTTGAAACCCCTCTTCCTTACCCTAAAATACCTGTTATTTCGAAAGTCTGAGGGTTAGTTATTTATATGGCTACAATACTTATCCACTCCGAAATTTGATAATTTTATTAATCAATTTTGCGAATTATTGACATTCAGAGTAAATTTCATTCGAAGCAATCAATTAATTGTCCTATTCGTAGTAATTATCTTCGAAGTAAAACTCAAATTTTTGTAATTAGGTATTTGCAGCAATTGTTATCGGAATAAATATATTTAGAGGATTTTCTTAAAAATGTCAGAGGAATGATTAGTTCATAGCAATTTCCATAACACGTACTTAGCTACGGGTATACAATAAGTTTTAGAAAATATTTGTATTTTAGCTTGTAAACTATAAATCGAAATATTTGATAATTTATCTAATTTATAGAATATATTTGATAAATTTTCATGCTAAACTAATTAATAAATATAGGACCAAATGAAACTAACGATATTATTAGTACTTGTAGTCGGCACTTCGACAAATGATAAAAGTGATCCAACATAGATAACTGTAGTTGTATGCAACACACGTTATTATTTCTGTGATAAAAAAATGATTTTATTACTGTTATTTATTACTGTATTATTGGTTAAATAAAATATATTCATAATTGGCAATACGAAGTTACATCATAATTCAAATTTTATAAATTCTAAAATTAGAGTTTCGATTTAGTACGTTATTAAAAATGTCAAAGAAAAAAAATAAAAATTCTGTAAGTTATTGAACATTTAAAACTTAAATACTGACTATTGCTTTTAAGACTTAAAATTACTTTTGACAATCTTTCTTATCATGGAAAAGTGCCATGAAATTATGAATATTTTGATTTAATTTACTGTATTTTTTTTAATAAATTATGAAATAGTTACATTTCCTAGTACAGTCATTATTTTAGCTATCACAAATTTTTTTTTAAGTACTCACTTATAATCAATTAAAATCACAATTCATGATATTTTACTATCACTGAATTCTGTTAATAATTTTACACCTAACGATGCATATTTCATCTAAGAAAGTAAACAAACTTTTTTTTCAAAAATATTTTACATCAAAAAATATATATGATTTATTAAAAATGGTCAAATATTTATGTTATCTCAAAATTATATTTTTTTGACGTTGTCTTATGTCAAAATAAAGTGATTACAGTTTGAAAATTGTTTATTGTAGAATAATAAAAGTAAAGAAATTGACAAACAATCATCTATGAATCCTACAAAGAAAAAATTGACTAGTAGACAACGAAAAGCACTCACAAAAATTTTGGAAAAAAAACAAAAGAGTTTTAAGGTAACTAGTTAATGATATAGTTATACTTATCTAATTTCATAGCTATGTTTGTTATTAAAATTATCATAATAAATCAAAAATAAAAGTATAGATAAATATTTTATCAAGGCATCAATGGAATAATTTATGTATCATTAAATAAATGAATAGATTTTATTCAAAGGGGTCAAATCATAAAAGGTAATTTATCAGAAGACGATAACAAAATATTTTTACATGGTGGTCAATAGATCTTCTCAAATTCAAATTATAATAAAAAATTTATTGATACCTTTAAATGCAGAAAAAATGTTATATAAAATTTGCATTGACAACCTTCTCATGAAATCGCCTAAACATATCAAAAGTAAATATTATTTTGATTTTTATTTTTTACTGTAGCATATTAAAAGAAAAATATGCAAGTTGAACTTAAAATAGATTATAAAAAAAATATTTTATGATACATTATAATTGAAGATATTAGTGTAATAACTTAGCTGGTAAATTTTTTTTGCTCTAAAATTTTTTTATAGATTTTATTTAAAAAAAAACGTGTTTATTTTAACCACATACTACTTTTGCAATGTAAAAATTTATCCTAGTAAACTTCACATGCTTGTTAAATTATTGACGGATAAGTAGTATATCTACATTGTTCAGTACATATACTAAATATTATAATAAGTATATTAAATAATTATATTATATATACTAAATTATAAATAAGTGTATAAATAGAATTTCTTCAATGATTAATTTGGGTTTAATTATATTGTTTGCTATGTCCAGTTCATACGTATATATAATATAGTTACAATATACACATTACGTGGCTACTTATATTATTATAGCAATGGTATTATAATATGACTACGTAAGGCATTTATTATCATTAATTTCATCCGTGCTGTATTTTCAGTAAATTCCTAAAGCATACACAAAGCATCATATTACCAAAGTGTATCAGTCAAACCAAACTTAAATTTTGTTAGTTTTTAATTTTTATGACTATTATTACTTTTTAGAAGATGGAAGACACACACAGTGCTACTTTGAATAATGTAATGCTTAAAAATTTTAATATATAATAAATCTTATATAAAATTAACGATCATTAATTTTTACATTTTAATAAAAAGATTGTTTTTAACATTATATAAATGTTTAATAACAATTATTTATAAGTAGTAATGTTAAATATAATAATTTAAATTTAAAAAAAAAATGTATTTTTTACTAGTGCTACTAAAACATGTATTTTAAAAAGGTTCATGATAATGATAAATTTTTACCCCAAGTAAATGAAATATTGGAAAAATTTTAAGATTAACTAAAAAATAATTCTTTTTAGTAAAGTTATTAAAAATAGACTTAACTAGAATAAGGGTTGTTTTAATTCTTAATCATCAATAATAGATATTTATTTTACTGAAATTGATTTTTTATAAAATAAAAATTTTCATTTGTGCTAGAAACCTATTTTATTTTTAGAGATCTGAAATGTTAAATGAACTTAAAAGTTTAGAGCTTTCAGCAACATCATTATCATTAATGACATCAATTAGTCAAACTCAAACAACTGGCTTAAGAAATGCTGTAAATAAAAAGGTATGTGTGTCAAGTAATTTTAATTTATAAATTTTAAAATTTCTTTATGAAACAGAAAAAATCATCTAAAACATCAGAAAAATGTGATTCCAAAATTGTTGAAAATGAAGAAGATGCACACATAGAAAGTCAAAATATTTGAAATTGTTTTACGATATACAAATGTTAATTTGGTGGCCATAATAGTTTCACTTCATCATGAGCTGTCTGGGGTAACCATATTAAATATTCCTCTAACAAATCTAAAAACATTGTTAAATATTCTTATAAAACTCATAAAACAAATATATATGTATATGTTTTTTATTAACAACTTACACTTAGTATTATTTTTCCATCTTTCTTTAATCTTTTTGGGCGAATCATCATGGTTTTTTTGTAATATTTGTGTGATGAAATAAAATGATTCTTTTAAACTGTAAACAATCATTATATTTATTTAATACCAAAAATACCCATTAGCTATATTGAACTTACAATCTCATCCAAGGTTTTAATATTAATTCAGGTTTTGACAATAAATTTTGAGTAAAATTTGACAATTTTGGAAATATTTCACCATTAAGTATAAAGAATGCTAACCAATAATATTTTTTATCCATTTCTGGAAGCTCAATTTCAGCTTGTGGGAGTTTCCAACCAGCATGCCCTAATTTACAATATAAATAAAATATAAAATAACCAAAAAATTTGAGTATTTCAAAGTAATGTGGATTATAGGGTTGGATTCAACAAGGTACAATTTAAAATTTAATGATAATACACTGAAATAACTTAAGGCTAATCTAAAAAAATATCTATGCTGAATAGATTTATTTATCTATTAATCTATTTATCTTTTATTAAATATAAGTGATTTTAAAAATTTATAAACATTTACCACATTTGATAGAATATTTTTTAATATAGTTCATGTTTGTGTAAATATAAACTAAAAAAAAATTAATTGTATTTTTCTGATTGAATTTTTTAAAACTAGTATGTATTCTATCTCACTCATAGAGGTTGTACTTTACTTAATATCAGTTTTAGAAAAATTAAAAGAATATACCAAGTACTTTTTTTTTCTTTATTAATTGGATATATAATAATTATGAACTATTATATATTTATTAACATAAATACACTTCTTAAATAAAAAAAATTATGAATGACGTAAGCTATAAAATTACCATAGGTAGCATTGACAGTACATAAAATCTTCTCAGTGTTTTTGCAGTACCTAGGCTTTGGTTCATCTAATATTTTTAAGGTTTTACATAACTTAGTAGCATATATTGGCAACCATTCTGGTTCAATTGCAGTAATTCCTGAATTTAAAGTTTAGGAAATACTATCTTAGTAAAAATATAGTTTTTCACAATGAATATATATCAATTTAATTTTAAATAAATTAATAGTAAATTTTTTTTTTAAAGAATGATACATTTTATTTGTTATTAATTTACAGTTCAAAAACTTTTGAATAAAAAGTTACCTTTAATATACATTTTGTTTTCCACTTCAAACATTTCTTGATATACTATCCAATCTGGCTTAACTCTCTTCATTACACTACTATTGTGGATATAAACAATATCTGCTATATTAGGTGTATAGTATGCTGCTTTATTTGGTCTAATACCATTCCTTTTTAATTCTTCAGGTGACAGTTTCTTAGCAACTTTATCGACCATACCAGATAATATTATTTGTCTCATTTGTTTAACCTAAAAATACATTGAAAAAAAAAAATATAATAGCAGTACAGTAGCTAGGATTTTTGCTGTAAGAGCTAAGAGCTCTTTTTGGTTTATTATATACTGTTACAAGTCATATATTGTTTATAGTAGCATATGGCAAATTAGGGGTTATAGGACCTTTTGATCTTTGACTACTACGTCACTAGCTGTTAATAAAACAGTGCACTAAAAATTTTTATATTTGTTATACTTGAATAGATGTTGGTGGTTCCATTTCATAGTCAGAATCTAATTTTAAAGAAGGAACATTCATATTCAACTGATTTCGCAATTGATTAATAAGTTTCCATGCTTCTAAAATAGATTTCTGATGTAATCCAGTTTTCAAACAATAGTCATAAAGTCCATTAAATCCAACTGTTTTCATGACATGTGTAGCTCCTCCCATTGAACGTAAAATAACCATTGGATCGCCTAAACATAATGATACCAAATTAAATATTCTAAATGTATTACTATAATCTAAGATAGTAAAATATAGTTAAATTATCAAGCATTATTATTGTTTATAATACTTACTATACATTGAAATATTTAAATAAATTTTATTTTCCTAATTAGCAAATTTATTAAAGTTAAGTTATTCTTTTATTGATTTTTGAGGTGAACATAAAGGAAGATTAAGAAACCTAATACAACAAATAATTGAACATCATTGTTATAAAATTTAAAAAGGTGTAGCTATGAAATCTTATTTTTATCTTCTTAAAAATAAAACCGTAGCACAATGAGATTGTTGTGACAAGTATAGATGATATCTGACATTAAAATCACTATCATAAAAAAGCTTTGATGCAAATCTGTAGTTAGTGTTTAATTTTAAGAAATTGGTGGATTATTCCAAAAGCAAGATTAATTATTATTTTTTGTTCTACTTCCACTGCCATTTGCACATAGATAATAGGTCGTCGGTACAAATTTTTTTTTTTGAACTTTTAGTACATTCTCAAAAGTTAAGTTGAAAAATTAAAATTTTTGTGCAAAAGTTGCTATTTTGAATCTCCACTGTGGGCAGATTAAAAGGTCAGATTTTCAAAAAATTTATATCAAATGAAAGTAAAATATCTAAGATTTCAATATAAAAAAGAATTATTTTTATTTATTCATTTTTCAATAAGTTATGGCAATTTTTAGAAAAAAAAGTTTAAAAAATGTCGAATTTACCGAATTTAATAATCGTAATTTTTTGAGGAATTTTCACTATTTACACAGGAAATTTTTATACAAGTTTTCACAATTTCAAAAAAGTTTTTCATAGCTTTGAGGACGCAAAATACTTAAAATAAGTTAGATTCATGTAAATTTTATATTTATTGATGGATTCATTACTATGGCAAACCCTTATAAGGTATTTAAAAAAGAAATAAAATTTGAACACAAAATAGCATTATTTTAACTACAGCAGTTGTTTGAAAGTATAAGATAAGTTGTCGGGACAAATTTTTTTTTTTTAGTTAATAGTATGTAACATATTTAAATTTATATTAATTTGACATATATTTAAAGGATGCAGTATTTTTGGAACATTTTCAAAAGTTAAGTTGAAAAAGTTGAGTTTTGTAAAAAAGTTGCTATTTTTAATCCCCCTGGGAGCAAGTTAAGTATCAGATTTTCAAAAAAATGATATCAAATTATAGGAAAATTACTAAGGTTTAAATAAAAAAAAAAAAAAATTATTTTGATTTGTTCAATTTTCAATAAGTTATGACAATTTTTAGGAAAAAAAGTCGAAATTTACACATTTTAAAAATTGTAATTTTTTGGGGGTTTTCCACCATTTATGGGGAACGAGACAAAAATTTTCAATTTTTGAGGTTAATGTTTTGTGATCTTTTGACGTATTATTGAGAAAAATCAGTCCAGTGAGAGCTGAGATATAGTAGTAATTGATACAAAAAAAAAAAATAATAAACACATCATGGTAAAATTAAAACCTTTTCAGCTTCGCATTGAAGCTAAAAAATAATAGAATTTTATAATTAAGATATTAAACTATTCTAAAAGAAAAGCCAACTTCATAAATAGTTAAAATAAAATTTCTTATATAATACAAGTATTACAGTAATTACCCAAGCGTAAGTTTTCACCATTGTTAACCCATGAAAATTTAGTTTTTTTCCATGTTTCATCATTATCTCCAGGTAAAAATTCTGGAACTGACATCGCACATATTATATATAACATATATTGCAATAAACTGCGATCTTTACTGAAACATAACATTTTGGCATATTGGGGAGATAATGGAAAAGCAGCCATACTTTTGCCTAATGGTGTAATGTTGTTTATTTCTAGTAGAAAAATTAAAAAAATAGTCTTTAATTATTTGTTTAACTAATAATTTGAAAAATCATAACATTACCAGTGATATTTGTGTCAGCTTCCAAAGCTCCAAGTAAACTTAATCTTTTCTCAGCTTCAATAATAGTTTGTCTATTGGGTGGCGTTGGAAATGGAAAATTAACTATTTTATCTATTTTCATAGCTTTCATTTGTAAGATAACATTATCAATTGGAGTAGTTTGAATTTCAGGTAAATTCCATTCTGGAAATTCATCATTAAATAAAGCTGAAGAAAATAACCTAAAATTATACCAATAGGAGTTAATATATAAATATATAAAAGTAATAAGAAATATTTTAAGAGCAACATATCAACCAAAATTGAGATTTTGCAACTATTACTTTATTTGAACCAAAATATAAAATATATTTTAATGTGAAAGTGGTATACTATTATTATATTAATGGAGAATGGAAACTTAATTTTGCTCTATTGAAAATTAAAAAATTGATTGAATCCTCGATTTGTGTTTACCTATAACAATGACCAGGTGATGTTCTTCCAGCACGCCCTGCTCTTTGATTTGCAGATGCTTTACTTTCCCAAACTATTGAAAACCTTGAAATACTAGTTAAAGGATCATATTCTCTAATTTTTGTTTTTCCACTATCAACAACATATTTTACATTTGGTATAGTTAAAGATAGTTCAGCAACATTTGTACTTACAACACATAGTCTACAACCATCAGGAGGAGGTTCAAAAATCTATTAAAACAAAAAAAATTTTCATCTTCAAATTTTATAAAATAAATAAAATGTCTGACAGTGATTAAAATAAAAATCATAAGAAACCTTTCGATACAAATTTGTAGTTAGTGTTTAATTTTAAGAAATTGGTGGATTATTCCAAAAGAAAAAGAAAATCCTATTTCTTTATTTATATTCTCATTACAAAATTTAAGATATAATACATGAATAAATATTTAATAAATTTATTCAACTTTTACGGCCATTTGCACATAAAAGACAGAATATTGAGAAAATTTTTTTTTTTAACTTATAATACGTAAAATAAGTTTTAATTTAATGTATATATTTAAAAGATGTGGTAATTCCAAAACATTTTCAAAATTTCTGTGCCTGTGGCTAGATAAAAAGTCAAGTTTTCAAAAAAAAGATATCAAGTAAAAGAGAAATACTAAAGGTTTTTAGATAAAAAAAATTATATTGATTCATTCATTTAAAAAAAAAACCAGCACAGTGGGGACGTAGCATAGTTTGGTCCAGTATAGATGATATCTGACAGTAATTAAAATTAATTTCCTAAAAAAACACTTTGATGCAAATCTGTAGTTAGTGCTTAATTTTAAGAAATTGGTTGATTATTCCAAAAGCAACATGATTTCCTATTTTCTGATTTATATCCTAATTACAAGTTTTATGATTTATAAGTGTAATATATGAATAAATATTTATTATAGCAATTAAATATAGCATGAAATTGATATTTAATAATTTAATATTGTAATTTTTTACAAAATTGTTATTATTTTTGATAACTTTGATGTCTGTTTTTACCATAAAATCAAAGTAAAGTCCGAATTTTTTTTTCCCATAATAAAGTATATTACATAAGCTTTAATTTAAGATATATATATATATATATAAAAGTGTCAGTATTTACAGAACACTATCAAAAGTTAATTTTTTGTAAAAAAATGTACAAAATGATAGGTAAAAACGTCATGAATATAATAAAATTTAATGATTTTAAAAATTGTAAGTTTTTTGGGGATTTCCCTATTTACAGAGAGTGAGAGAATTTTTGTAACTTTAAGGGTAATATCTTCAAGTTGATAAGATTTGTGATCTTTTGATGTATCGTTGAGTGAAATCTGTCAAGTGAGAGCTGAGAAAAAGTGACGTAAGGCATAAAACATCATTATAAAATTAATACTTTCTCAGTTTCGTATCTTAGCTAAAAATATAAGTATGTTTTGATATAATTGTCAAAAAATACACACATTTTTCTGTTTATGTGCTGGTAACATTGAATATAAAGGCAATACCCAAAGAGGGCAATAACTAGATCTAATAAATTTGTTAGGTATTTCCTCTACATCATCATCAGTAGAATTATCTGAAAGTATTAAATCATCCTCTGAATGAATTTCAATATCGTAATCATCTAAGTTGATATCAGGAAGTGAAGTTATAATTTTTTTTTTTATTTTTGCTTTTTTACTAGAATTTTGTTTTCCTCCAGGCACATTTTCATTATAAGGAAATGTTTTACGGAGTTTAGATACTAGTTGTTTCACTTCAAGCTTTCCTAAAATTATATATTATTTATTATATAAATGTATATAAATATATTATTTGCTATAAATAATATGGTTCAATTAAAGCAAGATTATTGGTGTTTTTTATTGTTAAATGAATATATTATTGACAATTACATTTATATGAAAGACATTTAAAATATTTATTAATAAAATATTTCATTTTTCAACATTAAAATTTAATACTAATCATAATTAAATTAAATATTAATAAAAAAAGGTGTTAATTATAGTTTGGTGTAGAATATATTTGTTCAAGAGAATTTAAAAAAAATAAACAAAAAACAAGTTTTTAATTGATATAATGAGATAAACAAGGATTATTTATTTATTTACTTATTTAATTAATAAATCATTTTTTTTTAATCATTATAGAATGTAATAAGTACTAAATAGAGGAAAATAAAATGATACAATTATTTAAAAACTAGTATTATCTTACTTTATTAAGTTTAATAAGAATATAAAATTTAACAAATGTATTATTTACCTGTAACAAAAACTAAAATTGCTCCAGCTGGTAATTTTGTATGAATTTTAGATATTTTATTAAAAGCTTCAGTTAAATAATCAGTTGGAGTTTGTCTATTAAAATGTATTGTTACTGGATATTGTCTTGAACTTAACTAAATAAATCAAATTATGAATTATAAAATCAAGTGGAAATAAAAAATAAAAAATTTGATTATTACAATAACTATATAATAAATATACTATTATACTTCAATAATGGGAGGTGGTATTAAAAAAAGCTTTTCATTTTTAGAAAAATCATCAATTTTTAAAGTTGCTGACATGATAATCAATTTAAGTGGATTTTTTCGTTTACTTCTCAAACGGACTATACGAGATAATATTCCAATAAGTATATCAGTATATATACGTCGTTCATGTGCTTCATCTAGTAAAATTGCTGAGTACTTATTTAATAAGAAATCCTAAAAATCAAATCAATTAGAATAAAAAATCATAATTGACTCACTAATTCTAATTACTCTTTGGATTTCTTTAATTAATACACCATCAGTCATGAATTTAATTTTTGTATTCAGCCCTGTATTTCCTTCAAAACGTATTAAGTATGAAACAACTTCAGATGATTCATTAAGTTCTTCAGCAACACGTTGTGATACTGAAATAGCAGCAATACGTCTGGGTTCAGTTACTCCAATTATTTGATTTTCACTATAATAACAAATAGATATACAATAAATTAAAATCGTATAAGCTACAAACAAATTTGATACCTTGAATATCCAGCTTCATACAAAAATTGTGGTAGCTGAGTAGTCTTACCACTACCAGTTTCTCCAACAATTATAACTACATCGTTGTCATTGATAGCCTCCATGATAACTTGTTCTTCACCAATAATTGGAAGTTTTGATCTAGATTCTTCAATTTCTTTAGTACGATTAACCAATAAAGGTTTTTTTTTTGTAAATATGTTTTTTACAGTATTCATTTTAATTTTTAGCTAGAATGTAAGATGAAAAAATAATAATACAAATTTATATTTATAAAATTATTTTATTAAGTCACATTTAAATTCAAATTCGATTTTAATTCAAATAAATACTTAAAGTTAGTAAATTTTTTATTCAGAAAAAGTTGTAGTGTTTCAATTTCATGATTCATTATAAATAAACAAAAAGTATTATACGATATTTCAGAGCACGTGATGTAGAATACAATTTGTGATAACAAAAACTAGATCAACGATTCATATAGTCGAGTAACAGCTGATATATAAAGTGGTGTATTAATAATATTACTTTCATTATCATGTGCGAACAAAAATTGACAAATTATCATATTTAATTATAAAAATATTTGTAAGTGTTGCCATTGAATATTACATTTTATGTCAATTACAACATATAATTACTATTGAATTTAAAATATTTATCAATTCCTAATGTTTTACACATTTAAACAAACATCTAACAATTTGTTTAAAATATTTTGGTTATTATATTGAATAATTAATTATCAACTTAATTTATCTTATTATTTATAACTTATGAATATAGTCTAATGGAAAGTGATATTGGTATTTCGAGTAATTTAGGGTAAGGATATCAGATTATAACTCCCATTTTTGAATATGTATATGAATCATTGTTTTTTTGGTTTATTAGCGGAGGCTTATTATTGAGATATGCTAGTCAAAATTCTTTAGATGAAAGCTCTCAAAAACAAACACCAAGGTCGAATAGAACTGAGCGAACTCCTTACAGAAATAATTCTCATATAGTTCGTGCATTTGAAGTATTACAGTCCTTACGAAAGTAATATGTATCAGAAAATTTTTAATTTGAAGAACAATTGATGGAAATTGTATTTTTCAATTTTAGAGATGAAGTACTATGTGATATTAAGTTAGAAACAGATGATGGTACAATTGTTTGTGGACATAAAATAATTTTAGCTTCAACTAGTCCATACTTCCATGCAATGTTTTCCAGCTTTGGAGAGAGCAATAAAAATCATGTTATTATCAGAGAACTAGATTCTAATGCATTAAAGTTATTAATCGATTTTATTTACACAGCTCAAATTATGGTAACTGAAGAAAATGTTCAAGTAATTAAAAAATTAAGTAATTTTAATTTATTTCATTATTTGAAATATTCAAAATTTTAAGGTATTACTACCTGCTGCTAACCTTTTACAACTACATGATGTTCAAGATGCATGTTGTGATTTTTTACAATCCCAACTGCATCCTACAAACTGTCTTGGAATTAAGGCATTTGCTGATCTCCACAGTTGTATGGAATTGTTATCAAGTTCTGAATCATATATACAACAGCATTTTTCGTATGTGTTGATTAAGTATATATTTTTAAATTGAACTAATAAATCTGTATTAATAATAGAGAGGTTGTCGAAGGAGATGAATTTCTTTCATTATCTTCTGAGCAAGTTGTTAAATTGATATCAAGTGATGAGCTTACTGTTCCTTCTGAGGAAAAGGTAAAAAGTGAATTTAATAAAAACTATAGTAGTTAATCATTAAATAAATTAAATGTATTATTATATTTAGATATTAAATAGTTAAAATTAAATTTATTATATAGATATATAAAGAATATTTGAGAAGTATTTTATTATTTTATCAAAATGAGTCAATCCAAAAATAAACATTTCTGCTATTTGTATTTTTGAATATAATATAAATAACTGGGCACCCACATAATATAGTTTTGAATCTGTTAAACAATTAGTAAAATAATGTCTTAAGAAGTCAAAATATTATGACTGATTTATATTTTCTGAAATTCTTTTATGTTATTTTTAATTTTTATATCTATAATATTACTCTTATACCAAAAGTTTTAAGTGTATGAAACCACCAACTAGGATAATACACATAAACCCCACCATAGTCTTCTACATGTATGGCTTAAATATCAAATTATTAAAATAATTTAATAAATTAAAAAGTTAATTATATTTTTTTAATTAAATAATTAATTAGTAACATAGTTATTTTGATCAAATTTATAAAATACAACTTAACCATGATATAATATAATCAACATGAGCAGTCGTGAAAGAATAAGAATTATGTATTTTGAATACTTTTGGTTTTTAATCTACAAAAAACACAAAAGTTTATTTTACTAATAACTACAAAACTCTTGGTAATTTTTTACATGTAAATATGCTAATGTTAATATTTCTATAATACAGAAAGAATTGAAACATGTATGGAAAGATTAGTATGTAGATATTTTATATAGTTATTATGGATTTTATTTTTTTTATCTTAAATCTACAATTTGGGAAAAATATACTTAAATACATATTTTTTTTTGTTTTAATTATCAATTAAGTAATATTTTAAAGACAAATCCTAAAGATGAAAATACTTGGTTATTTAACTCTGATAGATTATTCCTCAAATGTAGATAAAGGCAAAACTTTTCTCTTAATAATTAAAAATACAAATAATAGTAAAAAATACTTTAACAAAATAAGTAAGAAAGGTAAATTTTTACATCTGAATATTGGTGACTAAAAAGAAAACTAATTAACTAATTAATTAGTTAAAAATAATAATAAAATTTTATATTTGTTTCATTTATCTTCACTTATAAAATTGATTAAAAAATAATGTTTTTATATTTTTGAAGTATATTTATGCAAAAACCTAAAACCTAAAGAAAATATAACCATCATCAAAACATTTTTTAAAATTTTTATTAATTTTCAATATTTATTAGGTTTTTGAATGTGTTATATGTTGGGTCAACAATAGTCCTAATACACGAAAAGAATATTTACCAAAACTTATGGAACATGTTCGTTTACCACTGGCTTCTAAAGATTATTTATTAAAAAGAGTTGAAGAAGAACCCCTTTTAAAAAATAGTTTACAATGTAAGTAAATTTTTTTTTATTGCATAAAGCATAAAAATAGTTTTTTGATTTAATACATATACACTTTTGACTATTCCAGGTAAAGATTTCATTATAGAAGCATTGAATTTTCATCTTTTGAAGTCTGAACAACCTGGTACTATTCCCAAAACAATTCGTACAAAGCCTAGACAGCCAGTAGGTTTACCTAAAGTATGTTATTATTTTATTAAAATATCAGATTTACTTCGTGAATGTTTTCAAACTTTTATTTTAGAGTTACAAAGTATCAATTTTTCAACTGATATTTTGTAACTTTAAAATAGTTATTATTCTCTTAATTTTTTATGTATCGAAAAATTTATTAAATTTTTATTTTAAATCAAATATACTTGGGATACTATGATCATTAATGTAACACAACTACATTTAATAATTACACAAACTACCATATTCTAAAAGAAAAAACTTTTAAAAACATTTATTCTCCATAAAGTAAATCATGTTATTTTTATATAGAGTGATTATTTTATCACTAGTTACTTGATTTCTCTTAAAAAATTTTTTGTGAATATTATTTTGGTGATTGTTAGTTTCTTATTTAACAACTTAAAGTAATAACCGGAGGTAAGATGCAGGTGCTGCTATTTATATCATATTTCTTAACCTCTCTTGTCCTCCCACCTAGGTATAAAAATGTTAATAACACTTGAAATACTGATCTAAAAGTTTTTATTGACCAGCTATTTTCTCAATTACATAATTTTCTATTTTATAAGCTTAATACATTTTTATGTTGCCATAAAAAAAATTTAGTTGTCACCCTTATATAAAGGATAAAAATAAAACTTATTTTATAACAGATAAATATAAATGCATATGTAACTATTAGACGACATAACAAAAAGAACAAAAAATCATTATTTTTATTGAAATAGAAAGGCTAACGTTAAAATAGATACTCTATATATATTTGTATATTATCATTTTATTCAGTAGTTATTCATAGTACAGAAAACATTCTTATAATTTGATGCAATTTTCTTGAGCACAGTAAAATATGTGCATAAATGATTCACTTTTATTAATTCTTTTTAGGTTATTCTTGTAGTAGGTGGTCAAGCTCCAAAAGCCATTCGTAGTGTTGAATGGTATGATCTAGAAAACAACCGATGGCAATCTGGACCTGAAATGAGTACACGGCGTTGTAGAGCTGGTCTTGCAGTAATGAAAGATCGTCGTGTGTATGCTGTAGGAGGATTCAATGGTTCATTACGAGTCCGTACTGTTGATATGTTAGATTTATCTTCACAATCACCTTGTTGGGTCCCTTCTGTTGCTATGTTAACTAGAAGAGGCACATTAGGGGTAGCTGTTTTAGAAAATTGTATTTATGCAGTAAGTTTTTTTTTTATAGTTTACACAGAGATATACAATATGATTTATTAAAAATGCTACCCACAGTTATTTTCTTAAACAATGTTATGTTTATAAAAATGTTCTAAATAAAATCTAATTTATTTTTATGATCCATTGAATATATCAAGTTTATTGCAAAATAACCATGCCTAGAGATAATTTTTAGGGGTAACTTTTGAAAGTTAAATTAAAACCTATTATAATTAGTTTAATATTAAATGGAGAACGAGTCTAAATAAACTTTTGGTATAGGTTGGTGGCTTTGATGGAACTAATGGATTAAGTAGTGCTGAAGTATTTGATTGTAATACACAAGAATGGCGAATGATATCGAGTATGTCAACACGAAGAAGTAGCGTTGGGGTTGGAGTATTAAACAATTTATTATATGCGGTAAATAAATATATATTACTTTTTGTCAAGTATCAATAAATAAATATTTTTAAATAAAAACATTATATATTATATTCTTTGATAGTGATTTAAATGATTATCATAAAACACAATGAAAATTTGTATGTAGATAATTTAAATCATTTTTCGTAGCTGTAAATAATTTTAGGATAAATCAAAATTATTTTCTATTAACACTAAATTGTTTACAAAAAAAGAAAAATCACAGTAGAAATATTTTTAATCTATCAAAAAACAAATTTTTCCCATTCAAGGAAATTGAGCTAAAATGTCCAAATTATAATATTTTAATTGTGTCATACCAGATACAGTTAATGATCTTTTAATGTATTTTAAAGAAGTTTAGATAGGTCTAAGATCAGTAAAAACTGAAATATCATTGTAATGGATATAAAATAAAGATATATTACTGTTAAATAATTACCTTCTCCGATTCGTATTAAAGTTATAATAACTATCTTTCCTAGTACTTTTTATTACTCAGACATAAATTTAACTTAATACTGTTTTTCTCACTAATTACTTCTTTAAAATAAATTTCTTACTTTATTCTTACTTAATAGTAAAAAATGTAATAATTTTTATTAAATATTTCTTAGACATTAGTTATATCTTTCAGGTTGGTGGTTATGATGGACTATCTCGTCAATGTTTAAAATCAGTTGAATGCTATCATCCTAGTACTGATACATGGACACCAGTTGCTGAAATGAGTGTTCGTCGTAGTGGTGCTGGTGTTGGAGTTTTAGATGGTGTTATGTATGCTGTTGGTGGACATGATGGACCTGAAGTTCGTAACAGTGTTGAAGCATATAGACCAAGTACTGGAGTATGGACACCAATAGCAGATATGCATTTGTGTAGAAGAAACGCTGGTAAATAAATATTTTAAATGATTTTTTTATTTCAATGGTATTTACCATTTTATTTTATTTTAGGGGTAATAGCATTAGCTGGGTTACTTTATGTAGTTGGTGGTGATGATGGAGCTTGTAACTTATCTTCTGTCGAAGTTTATAACCCAAATACAAACACTTGGTCTATGTTATCAACTTCTATGAATATTGGCCGTAGTTATGCTGGAGTAGCAGTTATTGAAAAACCTCCTCATTTTAATAGCTGAACTTATAACTTTCAATTTGTTAAATTTCTGTTATATTCCTGCATGTTTAATTTAAGTTTTCTACTTAAAATTTCAATTGTTGTATATTTGTAAATAGTTTAGTGTAATTATTTATTATTAACGAACATTTGTTGTAATATTGAATAAAATTTAAAAATCTCAATGCTATATAATATATTCAAAATATTGTTATTAAAAAAAAAAATTTGGAGAAATTTTAAATTTGATAAAATATTTTAAGTTTTTTAGTTCAGGATATTGGATATTATCTTTCTCAGCTCTTTTTTTGATTTGGCAGTATTGAAATATCTTTTTCTAAGATTTGTCTGATTTTTGTAATTGTAAGGTTTTATTATGTGTGGAACCTTATTTAAGGCACACTTAATAAATCTCTTGCATTGGCCTTATTTGCAAATTTAATTTTTCATGGAATGCCTATTTTTTTACAATAATAAAAAATATACAATATTAAAGATTTACATATAGTTTACCTCTTAAAATTTTAACTTAATTATCATAAGAAGTTCTATCAATGATTCAATTTATATATCTGGATATTGAGACTAAACATAGTTTTGTATATTGGATTTTTTTTTAAGCATTATTTACCAAAGAAAAAATGGGGTTTTATTATGAATGAAGTTATCTGATAGCAGTATAATAATAGTTAACTTATTTGTTATATTAACTCAGAATAAAATTAATCATAGAACAAAATAGTAAAAAATTATACATGATTTTTTAAAAGGATAAAATTTAATTAAAAATGGGCAATAAAAAAAAAATTGGCATGTAATATTTAAAATTATATATTATTTTAACTGAATTATTTTTGACTAGATACAATATAACAATATTCTTAATATAAATATACATAATTATAATAATAACATGTTTAATAAATAAATATCACATTGATGATTGATCATTGAAAGAAAAATTGTTTTTTAGGCTTTTAAATAATAAGTATTAACTGAGGAGATGTTGACATCAACCAATAGATATGGTATTCACAACCATTTTTATAAAAAGCAATTATTCAGTTTTTGGCAGCATTAAAATAAAGCTTTAAATTTTAATGGCACATAAATAAAACAAATTAAATTGAATAATTATGGTGCTTATTATCATTAATGTTTATACATAGCAAAAAATGAATTTTTATCCATCCAATTTGTTGTACACAAGAATACATCAATTATTTCTATAAATAGCAAATAAATGTATTAATGAGTGTCAGTAGGATTTGATACAAAAGCTGGTTTTTGAACTTGTCCATTTGGCATAACTTGACGAGAAGTTTTTGACCTGAAAATAAGTTAAAAAATCAGTGAGAAATGAAAAAAAAAAATTATATACCTGATTTGGCCAGCTAAAAGAGGGTTGATAGCATAGAGCCACTCATAAACTTCTTTATCCAACAAGGTTTGCATTAAATATCCTCTATGTTTTGTTACGACACTGTATGTAAATTACAAATTATTATTATTGTTATTAGATTATAATTGATAAAAAAAATAAAATAATAAGCAATATTAAAATATCTTTGAATCAACATAAAATTGAATTTTACATCCATAGTTACAACAACTAATTTAAATATATTTGGCTGAAATTTTTGTATTAATGAAACCTAATAATTAGGAAAAGTTATTTATATTGTTTTTTACATTTAAAACAAAGAGACTAAACCATAATTTAAAATAGATAAACAGTAGTTTTGTATGTGCTGAAATGATCACAAAAAAAGTCCAGTCATTAAATATGAAATTTATTTATATTAAATCAGTAATAATAGTTATACAATACCAATAATATTTTAATGAGATTTTATTAAAAGGCAAATTTAGAAATTTATAGTAAGGCGGGAGCGATAACAAAAGGTTCAACTAAAAATATGTCATAATAACTTTTGCGAGTATGTTTTACTAATTTTGAGCCAAAAACATTTTTATATTAGCACACTATTGTAGATGGAGGTGGGCACATAATGTGTTGTCTATGAATACGCGATTTTTACTAGATTCATTTAATTAAATTTCAAAATAAAAATATAACAATGAAATAAATGTAAAATTAAAACATAATTTAATTGAACACTATTATTTGATTCTTTATTATTATATACGTGTGCAATATACAGAGTGCTCAAAAAATAAGGAAAACCTTATTCCTTACTTACTGAACACTCTACATAGTATTTATATTCAATTAAATTTTTAAGGATAAATAATTTAACATATTTTATTTAAACTGTCAAGTTAAATTGAAATAGAGAAAGATTAGCTAAGTTTAAGACTAACTAATATATCATTTAATACCGATAAGTGAAAATTTCCTGGAAAAATAGTCTACTTAATTTTATAATAAAAGGTTGTTTAGAAAAGGCACAATTTATTCTGCTCATTGTACTTTTCTTGTTTTCTATGATTGCATTGATACCTTAAAAATAAAAAAAACCAGCACAGTGCGGTTACAGTAGAGACGTGACATAGTTGGGACCAGTTTAGATTTAATCACAGTGATTAAAATCACTATCATAAAAAACGCTTCGATGCAAATCTGTACATAGTGTTTAATTTAAAAAAATCTGAAATCATAAATTTTAACACCAAAATTGTATGTATTTTAACTACGGCAACCATTTGCACATAAAAGATAAATTGTCGGGACAAATTTTTTTTTTTTAATTTATAGTGAATAACATTATCTTTAATTTAACATATATTTAAAATACTCAGTATTACCGAAACATTCTCAAAAGTTAAGTTGAAAAATTAAAATTTTTGTGCAAAAGTTGCTATTTTGAATCCCCACTGTGAGCAAATAAAAGGTCAGATTTTCAAAAAAATGATATCATAATGAAAGGAAAATTACTAAGGTTTAAATATGAAAAAAAAAACTATTTTGATTTGTTCAATTTTCAATAAGTTATGGCAATTTTTAGAAAAAAAGAATAGGTGCTTGGAATGTTGGAACATTAACTTGTAGAAGTAGAAATATTGAAGAGGGAAAGTGAACATTTGTTGTGTGCAGGAAACTAAGTGGAAGGGATAGAAAGCAAGTGAAATAGGTGAGGGTTATAAAATCATATACTCAGATAAGTCTAATACAAAGAATGGTGTAGGGATAATAATGGATCAGAATATGAAAAGTAAAGTAGTAGCTAGGAAAAGTGACAAGATTATAGTCGTAAAATTAATTTTCGAGGAAAAAGTGTTGAATGTAATAAGTGACTATGCACCACAAGTAGGATATAATGAAAAAGACAAGGAAGTGTTTTAAGAGAGATTGATAAGGTGATGCAAAGATTACCTGGTAATGAGGAAGTGGTGATAAGTGAATATATGAATGGACATGTAAACAATGAGAGGAGAGAATATGAAAGAGTACATAGAGGGTATGGTTTTAGTGAGAAGAATGAGGCTGGAGAAAGAATCCTGAATTTCGCAGTATTGTATGATCTTACGTATTTTAGAAATAAAAAACATTATATAACTTATGAGAGTGGGAATAATAGATCACAGAATGATTACTTTATGTGGAAGAGAGAGAGCGTAAAACGAGTAAAAGATTGTAAAGTTCTACCAAGTGAGAGTTATGTTGTGTAGTTACACACAATATAGACTGATGATAATGAAGTTTGACACGGTACCGTATATTTTGTGATACGTTTAATACACAGTCACCTCGTCTCATCCATCAGTCGCCTTATACATCGCGAGCTCAGCCTGATTAGAGTACCCCCGCTATCTATCTAGGGTACAAAGTCTATCTACTGGAGCGCGATCGACCACCGAGCGCCGGCGGTGAACGCTCTATCTTGTCTTCAACGTCCTACGTGAACTAACGCTACCCGCCTTTTTCTCGCGACGTACTTCTAAGTTCCTTTTTATATATATTTCTATTGCACTAGTATATTCATTCTCAGTTTTTATTTTGCTGTTTAATTTTAAATAAATATATATTCATAGATATATATTTCTTATTTAAAATTTTTTTTTTTTCTCTCTCGGCTAGTGTAGCGACATTATTTGTTTAAACGTATTTTTTTTTTGTTTCCTAAAAGGAAAAAGTTTATTGACCCCTTTAACAATTCCGTGTCAAGTTGTGGTGTAGTGGGATGAGAATATGCAAAAACATAATGAATACAGGAGAAAAATCGAGGATCCGGTGGTGGAAATTGAAAGGGGAAAATTAAAAAGTTTATAAAGACGGCAAATGAGAGGGCGGCGTGGAATGTCGAGGGAGACATAAATGATGTGTGGAATAGATTTGCTAGTTGTGTAAAGAATACTGCAAAGGAGATTGTTGGTGAGAGTAGAAGTAGAATTCCAGGAAACAAGAAAACATGGTAGTGGGATGAGGACATTAAAAAAAACACAGAAAATAAGAAAAAGCAATTAAAAGTATGGTAAAAGAGCAAAATGAGAGAAGATTTGCATAAGTAAGAGAAAAAAGGTCTAAAGATTATCATTATGTAAGGTGTATAAAAAGTGTTCATAATAGGGTACTATCTAGTGATGATTTGAAAAAAAGTCGAAAGAGTATTTTAAAAAATTACTGAATGAGGAGTATCCAAAAGAGACTCAGAGGATATCTCGTGGAACGAGAAACTGGTAGATTTAATTAGTGAGAAAGAGGTTTGGGAGGCTGTAGAATCAATGAAAAAGATTAAACAGTAGGACCAGATGAAGTGCCAGTAGAAGTATGGAAAATATTAGGTGGTGTAAGGATCTTTTAAATAAAATCTTATTAGAAGGGAAAATTCCAAATAAATGGAGGAATAGTATTGTGGTGCCGATTTTTAAAGGTAAAAGAGATATACTGGAGTGTGGAAATTATAGAGGCATAAAGCTTATGAGTCATAGTATGAATATTTGGGAAAAGGTAATAGATGAGAGAATAAAAAATGAGACATTGGTATTTAAAAACCAGTTTGGATTAATGCATGGTAAGTCAACAATGGTAGGCCATAGTTAAGTATGGCCATAAATAAGCCATTATTTTGTGTGAGGCAACTAATAGAAAAGTTTAGGGAAAAGAAAAAAAAACTGTGTATGGTATTTATAGATTTGGAGAAAGTATATGACAGAGTACCGAGAGAGGTTTTAAAGTGGGCATTAATGAGAAAGGAGTCCCGAAAACTACATTAATATAATAGAAGATATGTATGATGGCACTTGTACCAGGGTAAAAAGTGTAGGAGGAGTAACAGAAGGTTTTAGGGTAAAAGTAGAAGTGCACCAAGGTTCTGCTTTAAGCCTTCACTTATTTTCTATAGTTATGGATGAAATTACTAAAGAAATGCAAGAAGAGGTACCGTGGTTCATGTTGTTCGTTGACAATAGTGTTAATAGGAGAAAATAGGGAGGAAATTAATCAAAGACTAGAGGTGTGGAGATCAGCTCTTGAAGAAAAGGGTTTAAGAATAAGTAAGAGTAAGACAGAGTATATAGAGTACGAGTTTGACAAAGGAGAACACGAAGTAGGTGAAATGAGGAGATCGGTGACAAAGGCGAGGACTTTATTGGAGAGGTGGAAAGTTTTAAGTATTTAGGGTCACTATAGAAGAAGAAGAACCGTTTAAAGCTCTTAAAATTACTCTATTAAATAATTATTATATTTTTTCCTATTTTTAAAATGTTAAGCCGAGAAGCTATTTATTTTACTATATTATGATATTTGGAGGTCAAAAATTTTATTTTTAACAATTTAAAAGTAAATTTAAAATACTATTCATATAAATAAAATCAGAAATTTTTTTATTTATTTTTTACTTTGCAACAAAAGTTCCAAGTATCAGTAAATATAATTTGGGATCAACTCTATGTGTGGAGATACAACTTGACCTTAATAGGTGTGTTAATTAAACCGTGTGTAAAAATGTGTCTTAAAAGTAAGGGCTTTGATTAATGAGATTTCATATGTAAAGTAATAATTTCCAAAAAACTTGTATGACAAAAATTATTTCATAGGCTACTCTTTGACAATTTTAACAAATTGACAATTGAAAATGGCAATTTAGATTAAAACTAAATGAATTGTTTCTTAACATAGAAATTAACTTAACCCACTTAAAAAATTATGAGAGTAAAATGTATTAATAAATTCTAGTTTAAATAAAAATGCTAACATTTAAATGTATAAATAATTTCAACAAAAGACATTTTAATTTTTATAGCTTTATTTTATTATTAATATATTTCAATTTATTTTTGTTAATTTGCAGAGCAGCCATTTGCAAATCTAGAGCAAACATTCTTAAGTAATTAAAATTTTTTTTTTTAATTTTATCGCCTAAAGATATTCTTTTTACTAAGAGATGAAAGTACTATAAGGAGGTGGTAAAATGTATCAAAATTTAAATTTCAAATTCTTCTACTGGGTATAACTTAAAAATATTTATAATAAATACATATAAATCTATTTCCTAGTTATAACTAAATTACCTAAACGAGTTGGGTACTTTGACCATGGCAAGCTGATCTTCCGAATATTCAACTTGAGCTGTAGTCAAATTGATTAAAGCTCTTTCAACTGGATCTTTTTCATCTCTGAATATAAACACATAAGGGCGTCTAACTGTCTGAAAAGTAATGTTTGAAATAGAATATTGAATGAACATTGAATTTTAAATTAATTAATTTAACTAAAATTTAACCTAAATTTATAAACTTACCACCCATCGTTTTTTCCAGCCATTAGTTTTATGTTCTAGTATATTTAAATAACCCTTTCTCGAGACCACTGGACTGATTCTTATTTCTTCAACTTCTGGTACATACAAAACAAGTTGTGGTTCAGATGAAATTTGAGACAAATTTATTATATCTTGAATATGGAAAGTTGACTCTCCAATTAGTGAATTTCGCAATGAACTACGATCAGGAGAGAACAATCTTAAATAAAAGCATAAAAGTTTTTTAAATATTTATATTTAAAATAATTAATTATGTTATTGTAAATATATATTATGTAACACCTGAGGTTAAAAATATGAAATAAAAAAACAAAAAATTAGCTTACTCGTGATTTGATATATTAATAGTGTTGCTTGAATTACTATTATGCAAATTAATTATTTTTTCATCACTTGGTGAGAGAATTTCACTGTATTGATTTTGAGTATTCTCCTAAGAAAAAATTAAATTTAAATTCATATAAATATATTTATATTAAACATGTATATTTATTAAAGTAGACATCATTTTTTGCGAAAGAAAAAACATTTTTTCAGTAATTTTAATTGATAATAACTTTTTTTCTATTTAATAAATACACTTTGTTATATATTACGCAAAAGTTAACTTTTAAATTACAATGAATTACATTTAATTTATTTATTTAGTTATTCATTAATAATATTAAATTTGAAGGAAACGTAAAAAAATCGAGATAAAAAAGTAAGAACAAAAAATTTAAGTCTTCAAAAAATAAAATATGAGTATAAAAATAATTATTTCCAAGTATGAGTCTATATATTTTTAAATACATTTAAAATATCATGAAAAGGGTTTTTGATACAAAAAATATTATTGAAGGTTTGGAAAATATTCAATTGTAAGTAATATTTATAAAAAACATTTGATTGTATAATGAAAGATTGAAAAGTAAAAAAAATTAATTACTTATAAATTGCCACAAATATGTAATTAACAATATAAAAAAGAAAAATGTCTGAATTTATTTTTTATTTGTAAGTAATTGAGTAGATTTTGATAGTATTATCACTCTTTATAGAAAGTAAGGTAAAGTATTAATTATTTAATATAGTTATATAACTTATAATAAGATAGTAAAATTACTTTAGAAGGTATTCTCCCTTGAATTAATTTAATACACTTGGTTGCTAAATACCGCTCTCTCTCAGTCATTTCCCAAGGTTCATAAACACTTGGGTCAATATTTCTTATTGCAACTGGACTAGGAGGTCTCATAATATCTTTGATAGAACTTGAAGCTTTTGCCATTATATTACAAACTTCCTACAGTAATTATTTAATTAAATTATTATTTATAGTAACTTATAATAATTTAAAGAATTAAAATAAATGGTTGTGTTTTAAAAAATTTTTAATAACCTTTTCTGATTTTGTAATTGGTACTTTATCAAGACCAAGGCGTTCTCTAAGAAGAATCATGTGTCTAGTACGTCCAACTTCTTCAAGTCTAGTTAGCTTTTCTAATTCCCATTGGTGATCAAATATTAAGCTGTCACCTCGTGGCTTCCAACCTTCAAGATTTTCTTCACCTCGTACATAAGTAGAACTAGTATCTAATACACGTCTCTGTCGCCTTTGAACACCTAAAAAGTGTCATATATTAAAATATAAATTCATTTAAATAAATATTACTAAATTACTACTTCTACAACACAAGCTGGCAAATATTTTCTACTGCTTTTTTTTTTTTTTTTTTTTTTTTTTTTTTTTTTNTTTTTTATATTTTTTTTTTTTTTTTTTTTTTTTTTTTTTTTGTCACGAAAACTACCTGGACTACCTGCTTCTGAAGCTCTCTTAAGCACAAGTTCATAAATTCCAGAAAGACGATGCGCTTCATTGTTTTTATAGACACTGCTGAAGAGATGTTTTAATGATCTGGGACCTGTGCGGGAATCCCGGCCATAGATTACCATGCTCAAATCTTTAGTAATAATAGCTGGACATCCACAATTCTCCAACTGAAAAAAATTATTAATAAAATATGAATGATTTTAAGTCTATGTATGTATAGTATATTGCAAATTAAAGCAATAATAAAATATTTACCTCCAAATAAGCTGATATAGTCATAAATATGTGTTCTCCACCTGTAGAAATTCTATTAAGTAAGGCTGAATTATGTAAAGAACTATCCCAGGCAGCTTCAAATCGAAACATGCAACGATCTTCACCAGGTATCTCTAAATATTCACCCGGAAATAGACCTAATGAAAGTACTGAATTATCAGTATCTTCATCTTCAGACTGGGGTACATTCCGAATGCGACCAACTACTAATTCTCGTATTTCTTTCCAACGTATTTCAGGAGCAATTTCGTGTACTACAGTAATGCGTATTCTTCTTTGCAAACCTTGATGAAGCACAAACAAACCACGACATGGCAATTCCTCACTGTGATCAACAGCACATGGTGCATAATCTCCATCAGGCCCTAAAAAAGGTCTCTTGTTTAAAATAAATATATTATAAGGATTAAAATTAAAAATATTACCTAATTCACATATTTCAAACCAAACTAATAAATCATGTTTTGCATGAATATGTGATGTACACAAGGAAGGCATTACACCAAATTTAGGTGAACGTACTGGTAGGCTTATAGGTATAGATGGTGGTAACATTCGTCTAGGAGGTTGCCTAATACTAAAAAAATTAATAAAAGTAAACAATTTCTTTAATAAAATATACTTTATAATCTAACTAGTTAACTTACAAACTACTTTCTTGTTTTGCATCGTTATGTAATGGATGTTTTTGATAGTGACCAAATACTTCAAATACAATTGGTTGAGTTTTGATGTATTCAAGAAACGATTTTGTAACAGAGACTGTTATCTTTAAATTAGAAATAAAAATAAATTTATACAAAATCAAATATTGGCGAAGAAATGAAAAAAATATTATCTATAAAAAACTTACATTTTGAACATGATAAAATCCAACAGGAGTACCTTTTCCAACATTTTTTACGGGTTCAGTTGAAAATGCATCATCATGTCTATGAAGAAAACTGAAAAAGCATATAAAATTTTTTTAATAGCCATGATAAAAATAATTATGTAAGATGAAAAACTTGAAGATTTGATATATTTTTTAAACTTGTTGGGTTATATATATTTTTTAAATAAAAAATTCTCTTAATTTTCATACTATAATTACATTGATTTATTATACGCTTTTTAATTGAAATTTATAAATTTAATCATTTTTAAATATTAAATATAATAAGCAATTAAATCTATTTTATTAGAATTAAAACAATTAAAATGCAGGCCATATTAGAATAAATATTATACATGTTGAGTTTGATTTGGTTTATATTATTATTTTATATCATTATATTTAAAATTAGGACTGGATCAATATCACTTTTTTTATATTACATAGTTTAATATTTACTTCTGATATTAAAACCGATAATAGATCTACTAAAACACTTTAAAAATTCAGAACTCTAGCATGTTGGTAGGACTGTGACATAGACATAAAAATATATACACAAATTAAATTAACACTTTAAACGTCAAACTTGTCGTTTAGCTCTTTTCGAATTCTTCTGTTTAAAATTGTTTTATAAGCTTATGATCTATCTGTCAAAGCTCTATCTAAAAAAAAAAAGTAATATAAATATATATACATAATTGTTTCTTACTTAAATTGACAAAAAATATCAGCGTATTCACTAGGAACTCCAACAGCTTGTAATAAGGTAACTCTGAATGTAAATTCTTTGTTAATTATTAAATGACTGGGTAGCTCTTCATCTTTTATATCCGATGATACAGAGCTGTCTCCATGCCCACTGTCATTATCTCCTTCATTCTCTAACATCAGATAATTAAAATTTAAACTTATAATTTAGTTATTTTGAATTATTATGATCAAAGAGCAGAATAATAGAGATTAATAAAATTTTACTTTTCTGTTTAATATAATGTCGCAAATATTATTAAAGTATCAAAATATACTTTTTGAATTTATGTGTATTTTTTATAGAATAAAACTAATTTAAACCAGAAGTATATTAACTAAAAACTGGTAATTACTAGTGTTTAGGAGCCCTGAATATTATTTTATAATAGAGTAGAGTATAGAATACATGGTCGTCCGACTATCGTCGGACACAAAAATGTGCTGACCAAGGGTTTTAGGGTAACCATGGGCAAAGGATTCCCGCTGTAGGTACCCTACAGTCAGTCGTGGTTTAGTATGCGCTAGTTACACTCATTCTACATCATTTTATTTCATTTGTATTAATATTAATAATTAACGTTCTATTGTATTATTTACTGTTCAATCAAATTATATATTCTACATTTTTATTGAAAAGTGAGTGTTTTCGTTTTTTTTATTTAGTTTAATTCCTTTACCACGTGGGCCTACACAACACTAGTTTGAATTATAAATTTATTATAAATTAAATACTATCATTAAACTTTTAATTAATTTAAAAAATGTATAATACATGAATATATTATTATTATTGGCTTTGTTTATTATCCTAATGTAAATGCATACTTCATTTTTTAATAATATTGACTATCTGTAGGTTAATTAATATAAGTGATACAGTTTTCAATCTTTTTTTTATGCTAAAAACACAAAATGGATACTTCTAATCAAACAAATTTTAACAATTTTGCAAATGTCACTAACACCAATAAGCTTACATACAATTGAAATTTTTACACCCATACTTAAGTATTTTATAACAATAAAATTTCCAATTCTCCTTAATAATTTAAAAATTATGTACCTTCATCTTTGAAACTACATCTTCCAACAATAATTCTTTCATTCAAAATTGAATTTTTCTTTAATGATAAGCGACCTAATAATTCTTTATCATTAAAAGAAATCTTAGCAAATTGTCGAACACCACATGAATTATCACCAGTTTCATCTTCTGTTAAATTAAAAATAATGATAGTATTTTAAAATGAATTAATATTTTTTTTATAGTTTATTCCCCATACCAGAAACAGCTTGAATTGCAACACGAAGGTATCCCTTAACATCACCTTTTTCATTAACCACTGCTACTTTATGAATCAATGGAACTGGATACATAAGATTACTCAAGTATATAAATGCTCTGCCAATTAATCTAAACCATGGAAATCGATCATAAAATGGATCACCTCCTGTGATTGCTTCAATATTGAAGTCTGGTGATGTTGGTGATGTTTCTGCTTCATTTTGATACATTTCACGCATTAGTTCTAATCTTTGTCTGTCAAACAAAAATATATACATAACTTCAAATATAAGTCATATAATTAAGTCACTTAATACACTTAAAATCAGTTAACTGTTCTCATAATACCATGAATGTTTAATATTACTCATAATAAAATTTATACATTTTATTTTAATGAAACTTTATTTTTTTTAATAGTTAACAATCATAAACAGATATTATTTTTCTAATTTAATAAAATCATATTTTATAAAAGTATCAAGTCAAAACTGAAAAACATTCATTCAATAAATTACAACTATACTTGAAATAAAGATGATTTTCATTGTGAGAATCATGAACCAACTACTTACTTAATCAAAACATAAAAATACTATTTATAATTTTTTCTTTTAGTTTCATGTTTTTCTCAATTTAACAATCATGATGTTTTTTTATGTTCATTTTAATACTTAAAAAAGATGGTAATTTTTTGTTTTTAAATGACAACATACATAATTAACTAGCTTATATAATAGATTATAATCTAATTGAGAACTGGTTGATAACAACTTTGGAACAGTATTTCAGAAATTAACAGTTCAAAATTCTGACTGAAGGTGAAAAGAGGGAAGTGCTACTATTTCACTAGACTTTTTTCAGCCTCACTCCTCCTCCCACATATGTATAAAAATAACTCTTAAAACACTGGTCCAATAGTTGTTATTAACCAGTCATTTTCTTAATTAGATCATAATTTAATAAATAATTTAAAATAAATATATCATAATAAAATTATGTATAGTTCATACCCTTATAATATATAGGAGATGAATATACAGATACTTTATAATTTATAAATCGAAAAAAACATGAAACTAAAAAAAAATGATTAATAATATTTTTATTTATCAATTAAATCATATTGTTCATGATAAAAGAATTACTTTGAATACTTTATTTTAAACTTAAAAATAAATATGTGTAAAACATAAAATTAAAAAGCATGAATAGTTTATATATGTGTACTGCTTTATCAATGTGAAACACTTTAGTATAGTATAACACTACACTAATTATTGATGACAAGGGATTAATGTTTACAATGTTCATATAATATTGACACTTAGCTATTTTTAAAAATACTGTTATCAAATAGTATTTAAAAATTTAAATAACTTCATATATCATTAAAGTAAGGTTTTTAGATAATAAGTTTATAATTTTTAAACCTTGATTAATGATTACCAAAATTTTTTATATCATTTTAGCACTAATAAGGTTATTATTAATCAACTAATTGTTTTGTAAACCTTATACTTTTATACAGGTCTATAGATCTTGATCTTGGTATTAACATTTTCAAGAATTCATCTTCTTCTTCTTTTTCTTTGCCTTTCTACAAACTACTTGGGTTCGGTCACCCTTATCCTAAACTTCCACTTGATACAATCTCCCACATCAGCCGTCCTTATATTGTATTCAATAACATCGCTTCATCTCTTTTTTGTCTTCCAAATAATACCTCCATACCTCTTCTTCTTTTAAAATTCATTTCCATAACTGTTCTCACAGTTTCTGTTCCTCTCTCCTCATACCATGACCAAACGACCTAAGTCTATTTTCTTTCATTTTATTCACGATTGACACTAAACCTATAATCATTCTTAATTATTCATTCTTTATCCTATCTTCTTTAGTCAATTTTCATTAATACATCATTAACAAATTTATTTTAAAACAAATTCTAGTTTTTAAAAAATAAGAACTTAATTTAAAAGTAGCTGAATCCTTAATCACATGATGATATTTCATTTTCATTTATAAAGATGAACTTTAAATTTATAACAATCAAAGTTATTCATTCTAAGGTCTGATATATTGTACAACTTATTGTACATACAACCATCGATTATAATGAAAAATTTATTACAAATATTTATTATAGGTGATAGGATGAAGCTTAACTAAATTGACTTTGACACCGCCTTAAAAAATATATTTATAAAATAATAAATATAATTCTTTAAATTTTTTTTGTGAAAGGTGTGGAGTTTTTTTTGAACATGTGAGTTAGTCTCTACTATTGCATTAATGTTGCACATAAATTAAGAAATCAAAAAGAAAAAATGTTACATTTTATAATTTTAGTCCTCAAACTGATTTAAAAAGTAGATTGATTTTTTTAACTGAATTAAGTTTATAATTTTTATCAATTTAATATTTAATTCATCGACATTGTTCTTATTTAACCTAACTTAACATGAGTTAATTATTTTAAGAATTATTTTCATTAATTATCCTTTTTTTTGTAAATAATTGTACAAATTCTTTAATAATAATGATATTATAATAATATATTGATATTTTTAGATGACTTATAAAGAACAACAGTCTTTTTATTACATCATTTTAATAAAATTGTCAGTTATTACATTTAACTTTGACAGGGTAATATAGTAGAAGTTATTCATAATGAAATAAATAATTAATTATAACTTTAAAGGTGGTTTTAAGTATTTTGAAATAAAATTATAAATTTATTCTTAAAATACTAATTAATGTTTGCATTTTAAAATATTTAATAGTTATAAATAGGGTAGAAGAGAACTTATAGCATTACATAATGACTATACATAATAATATACTTGCATTTAAAAACTCTATGAAAGACCTCTTATGTATATCCTCAATATTAATTTATGGTCCTAGTTAATAAATTTTATTAAAATAAATAATATAATTTTTAATTTATTTTATAATACAATGTATTTATTACTATGAACAAGTTGCAAAATATTTTAAGCTTTAATAAACCTTATTTATTAAAAAAAGCTATTAATGAAATAAATGTATAAAAAAGTCAAATAATTATGATTTTAATATTCAAAAAAAATAAAAGGACTAAAAATATGAAGTATAATATTTTTTAAATTGAAATTGTTGTAATATAAAATTAATTTTTTTTCAAGGTAACTTATTATTTATGTAAGTGTGAATAAAATATGGAAATTTTCTATCTTGAAGTTGTTTACCACAGGTAAAAGAAATTTTTTTTGGTTATGAATTATTAGGTTTATTATTAGAAATTGAGTTCTCTATATCAGAATTTTCTTGATTTTATTTATGTAACATTTTATATTACAACAGATAATAGAATTATCACTTTTTTTTTTACATATCTGTATAAAGTTAAAGTTAAAAAAAAATTTATCGTTAATTTAAGTGCAATCAAACATTTATGAACAAACCTAACACAAGGGTCACTAACCTTGAAGGTATTAAATAGGAGAAAGACTTGTTAAGGGTGCAAGTAGTAAAACATTGCAAGAAATCATCCTTGAACTTGCAAGGCGAATTCTGGGGACTTTCAATCTCCCAATTATATATTTGTTGCATTAGATCCAGTCTAGTTCTAACACAAAGAAAAGCGTTAGAAACTCTCTCCCGAATTATTTAAAAATTTATTACATAATTATTACCTTAATTTTTCCAATGTCCAATAATGTGTAGCCCCATTTTTTGTATCTAATACTTCAATGGCAACATATGTTCTTGGAAATGGTCGATCTACCTCATCTTCTTCAGTAATGAAATCAACGGGTAATGGTGAGTACAATGTATCAGTCAATAAAGTAAACTGAAATTGGACCTTAAAAGTTTTTAATTATATTAAATTAGACGTCATATTAAATACAAGAACTGAATTAATTAATTATTTAAAGAAAAATTAAGCAGTTGATATTACATCAACTATTTAGTATAATATTTAAATTTCATAAATAATTGTATTATTTTTTTAGCTAATTTAGTAAGAAATTATTTAAATAAAAATATATACTTGAAGTTTGGGGTATCTTATATAGCTAGATTGATAATAATTTACTTCTTGATTAGCAAGTAACAAAATTAGATACTAGATAGATAGTGATGAATTTTAAAGCATGATCGGTTTATCATAAACCACTAGTTTATCAGCTAATAATTACAATTTAGAGTCGTCCCTTGTAATTTATAGAGGTGTCAACTTTTATTTTTCAAATGAATACATTTATAAACAACTAGCTTAATTAAAAGATAATGCATGTAATTAAGAAAATAACGGGTCGATAAAAATTTAATTATATTTATATACATATCAACAACAATATTTTTCTCTGTCACAATAAATATTTTGCACAAAAATGTTTTATATATTGTACATTAAAATTTTTGATAAAACTTTACAAAAACCTCTAGTTTTTTACTTTTCAACTATTACTAATTGAAGCTATGAAAGGAATAACATGCTATTTAAATATTTTTAAACAAATTTTTATGGAACATTTTTTTCCTGAAAATTATCAATAGTTTTAAAACCAGAAAAATTTCAGAATTATCTTACCTCTTATAATAATTGTTTTTACATAGAACCTAACAATTGTTCAATTAGACAAAAGATTAATTTTTTTATTATTTGTCTATAAAAATAATAAATAATTTTTTTTTTTTTTAAGTTGAAAATAGCCATTTTTTAGCACTAATTTTACAATAAATGTTGATGAATCAATAACTACTTTAGGATAAGTAATTATTGAGTTACAAACATTTTAATACATAGAATACAAGTACATAAGTTTTTACCCTAAAATTGATGGGAAATATCAAATAATAACTCAAACTATGCAACAGTCATTTAATAACTATTCGATAGTCTATTCAAATAGTGTCAAAATTACTTGATAGTCTGAATAATATTAAAACTATTTAGTTGCATAAAAAATTCAATAATTACATAACTTACCTTTTTTTTTAATTCTACAGATATAGCATTAGCTTCTTTTAAAAATACAGCATTTCCCCACAAATCATCTCTTAATGATGTAAATTGATGGTACTTCCATTTGCGGCATGTTGTTAAAACTAACTGATATTCTTTATCTGACCAATTGCACTCAGCATCAAATAATGGATTTACTAAAAATATAAATTAAATTAATATAATTTTAAAAATAAAATAAAACAAAATACCAAATATGTCTTCTTCTTGCACTAAGTCATCTGGAGTATATGAACTATACATTGACATAGTCATACTTTGTTCATCAACTTGTTTTTGAAGGGCATCTATTCGAGCTTCATAGTTCTACAATAAATTATTTCTATGATATACTAAATAAATGTATACATTAATCACAATACTTTTCGTTGTTCCTCAAAAATTTGGTCAGCTGTTTCCTTGTCTCTTCTAAATTGTTCTTCAAGTGCATTTAATTTTTGTTTCATATCTTGTTTAAGATCAATTCCTTGTTTTTCTAATAACTCAATTTGCGCAAAATTCCAATCAACATTTTCATTACCAATAGGAGTTTCTACAGGAGAGGATTTTTCTGGTTTTGATATTACTAAATTTAATAAATGATCAATTTTAGACTATGTCAAAATTATATTTTTTATTATTTGTCTATAAAAATAATAAATAAAATTTTTTTTTTTTTAATCTGAAAAAAGCAATTTTTTAGCACTATTTTTACAAAAAATGTTCATGAATCAAGAACTACTTTAGGATAAGTACTTATTAAATTACAAACATTATAATATATAGAATACAAGTACATTAGTTTTTATCCTAAAATTGTTAATTTTTTTGAAAAAAAAAAAAAAATTAAAAAATTTCTATTTTTTGTTTTTAACGATGGCCTTTGTTGCTACGGCCTTTATTAAAAAAAAAAAAAAATTGAGTTCAAAAATTTGTTTTATAATTTATTTACTTTCTTTAATATTTTCCACTGTGGATTCTGGTTTAGTTTTATATCCCCTGTGTTCTCTTACTAAAAAAAATTAATTTAATTATTGAATATAATAAAGTAATTTTTATATGTATAATTTCTTCACCTTGTTCAGGATGATTAAAACGGAAAACATGATTTTTCCCTAAAATTACTCTAGAACCTGTTTTAAGTATTATAGGTTCAGTTAGTTCTCTTCCATTGACATAACATAATGCACCATTCATTGGGGTTAAAGTGACAATGCCATTAGTATTTTCAAATCTACAATGTTCTCTTTGGATATAAGATCCACATAATCGTATATCTTGTGTAACATTAGATTCAGCAGAACCAACACGAGTTACTCCAAGTTTAATATAATAAATTAGACATTCTGACATGAATGGATCTTCATTTAAATTAACCAAATGTGGAGTCTTAAAATAGTAACAAAAATTAAAATAGAATTAAAATAAAACCATTAATAAGAGTTACTTTTTGAGGAGAAAAAACCCCAACTGTGTCTCCATCTTCTTTAACAGCTACTCCCATTTCAGCAAAAACAGCTTCTCTTTGAATTCTGATTTCTTCTGTTCGCTTTAACTTTTCTTCCCAAGTTTCATTCAGTTCTTAAAAAAAAAAGATTTCATTCAGATTATTTATAAAACAAATTTTACTGAACTTAAAAATATTTATTTCATACCAGCAATTAGTTTTTCACTAGCTTGCAGTTGTTCAACAGCTTCTTCGGCAATCATTGATGATGGAATATTTGGTTTTTGTTCCCCATCTTTCAACATCTTAACTCCATCATCTCCTAAAAATAAAAATAACAATTAAAATTTATTAAAACTGTATCTTAAATTATGTTAGGCAAGCAAGTTTTTTATTTTTTATTTATTAAAAAAAAAAATACATCATTGATTAAGCCAGGCAATCTTATAAAAAAAAAATCAGGATGAAAGCAGATCCCTACTTACGGCTTTCTTTAATTTTTCCATAAACCACTTTACCATCTATTATTCATAAAAAGAAATACCATTGTAACCAAATTACTAGGATTAAAAACCTAAGCCTAAAGACGTCAACAGAAGTTACTTATTTTTTATTTACCTTCTTGAACTTCAATTCCTTCAGCTTTTAATAAATCTCGTAGTCTTTGGATTTCTTCTTTGAGTTCCCGAATAAGTTTAGCATTAGCATCTTCATTAACAATAGCTTTACAAACAATTTGTTTAGCTCGGTCAGCATATCTTAGAAAATAAATTAATAACTTTAAAAATATATATTAAACATTATTATGTAAATGATAAAAAAAGCTAAATTTATAAAATATATAGTGTCCCAACGGTTTTACATCTTTGATAAATTTTGATCCAGCAAATAGTTTACATTACTTTTTTCTAAATTAATTTTTACAGTTTTGTACTAAATTAAAAGCATATTTGTTATTTTTTATCTCTGTTAAAAAATAAATAAAATACAATTTTTTTTAAAATGTCAAAATAATCATTTTTAGTTTTTTTATTACAAACAATTTTGGAGGGATGATAACAACTTTAGGATAAGTATTAAATTACAAGCATTTAAATATAAAGTTGATATGAAACGTTGGCAGAGTATACATATACTATTACGAGATGTATCCACTCATGCTACTTATCCGTTCTATGTTTTTAAATGCTTGTAACTCAACAAATATTTATCCTAAAGTAATTATTTATAAAAATTTTTTGCAAGAAAAAAAAACAAAAAATGATTTTTTAAAGTGTTGAAAAAACAAAAAGAATATTTGTTCTTATTTTAAAAACAAATAATAAAAATTATTTTTTTAAAAAAGTTGTGCGAATAATTTTCTATAATAAAACTTAAAAAAGATGTCCAAACCAAATGGAACGTTCTGTATAGTTCAAACAAAAAATAATTTATAAAATATGTTTATGGTTATTTGTCAAAATTAAGAAAGAAAATGATGCCAAATTTTGATAATATATAAATGTATAGATAAATATGTTGGAAAGGATAAAAGAAAACTATAATGAGAAACTTTTGTAAATCAATATTAAAAATTAAAAAATTATATTCAATATCAAAATGGGTTTGAACTAAAAATACTTCTATATAAATAATTATTATTACAAAATCAAATATACCAACCTTAGTGTTGAAAGGGTTTCATCATAATTTATGTCTGCTGGACTAATAGCTGCAATCATAGCAGTTTTAGAGTTTCCTCCAAGATTTTCCCTTAAGAGCCACGTTAATACAGAATCACGATAAGGAATAAAGTCTCCTTTTTTTTTTTTCTTAGATGCCTAATAAGTAAATATATTTCATCAAATTTAACATAAAAAAATATTGAACTGATAAAAAATAATTAACTTTTTTTTTTTTAATTTAAAATTTGCAATTTTTATAATAATTTAAGATAAAATAAAAATGTATACTTACTGACTATTTTTCCATGCATGATAAAAAAAGAATGAAAAATAATTACCAATTCATTGCAATAATTTCTCCTCAAACTGAGAACTTTAATTAAATAATTATAATGCTGAATAATTTAACATATTTTGACAAGTGAAATAACTTATGACTTATCAATTATTTTATATATGATTGTTATATTAACAATTTATAGTTTTAAGATTCTGTTACCAAAAGTTATTTGACTAATCCAAATATACAATTAAATTTAATTCTATGTATTAAAAGGTGCTATTAAATTGAAAAAATATTTACCATTTCAGCTAATCCAGAAATAACTTTCCCCAAAGTAGTTAAACTTTTATTAATGTTGGCCCCTTCTTTTAGTCTAGTTCCTTTAGCACCTGTTGAATCTGCACGTTCTGAACCAGCTAAATCAACTAATGATATTTTACTGACTTTTTCAGTAGTTAGTTGTGTCATTTGATCTAATCGTTTTTGGGTGAAAAATATAGTGAAAACAGCATGAGAGCGACTGGATGTTTCATTCATATTAGTAGCAGCAACAGTTCTATTAAAAAAAAATGATTTATTAAAAATTTATCTTTCACTAAATTATATTATATGGAAAAAAAAATTATCAGTTTTACATCTTTTTCTTTCCTGAACTTAACATGCTACAGAGGGTGATGGCCTCTTTTACATGTTAGGGAGTCAAAGTTGGTTATAGGCTAAGTCAATGATGGATGGAACGGTTATTATGGACGGCTTGCATCAGAGACTTGATACCACCAATCAGAAAAAAAATAGAATATTTATAAATATTCTAAATTATATAATATATATATATCATGGTTATATTTATATATTAAAGATTTCTTCATTGAAAGATACTTATAATTACCTAGCTTTATTGCCTTCGTCTATAAGGTTATGAATATTTTGATAAGTTGTAACAGCAAGCTTTGATAAATCTTCTACATAAGGTCCTAATAGCGGATGTTCCCTAACTCGAAGATTACCTTTATTTTTTGGATTCAACAAATCACGAACTCTTTCACAATATATTTCCATATAACTGACCTATTTAATAATTAAAAAAACGTAGCTCCAATAAAATAATATCATTATATTTCAATAAACATAAAAATTTATATTGTACCTCAACAGAATACTGTAATTCTTCACTTGTAGTTGACTTAATTCTATGAAATAAATCTTTACAAATTAAAGGAATAATACCTTCTTGGCCTTCTTCTTCTTGTCTTCCCATCATAGTGTATGATTTTCCAGCTCCCGTTTGACCATAAGCAAATATACAAACATTATAACCTAAAATTACTCATTGTAATGTATTTCTGACTGAAAAAAGGAAAATACTACCTTCAAAGGCATGTTGCAACATTTCTTCACCAATATCTCTATACACCATAGTTTGAGATGCGAAATTGGGATCAGATGGCTAGTAAATAAAACAATTATTTTTATATGATTTTATTTATTTAAGGATTATTTTAGCACTTACATTTTGAGACCAATACGAGTAATCAAAATTAAAGCTTTTGGTAGCATCTTTAACGTTGGGCGGAAGTTTTGGGTTAGTAATAGCTATAATCGAAAAAAAATCTATTATGTTGTATATCATTTGAAATCTATAAAAGTCTTGAGAAATTACATATGCTTTATCCAAACACACTGTTACTTACAAGTAGTATATCCAGCCATTTCTATGATACATTTACAGTCTCTTGATATTTCACGGTTATTAAATGGCCGTACTCGGACAGCAACTTTTACGGATGACATGGTTTTACGTTTATTTTACTTTGAAATGGGCAAATTTTTTAAATTTGTTTAGTTCTACCCTGTAGATATATGAAACATTAAAACGATTTCATTTTTTAATGAATATATAGTTAAATAAAGTGTCATTTATGTATCACCGCATAGTGAAATATTCCTATTAAGAATGACTCTTTACTCATGAGAATCGAATAGTAGACTAATTGTATTATTCTTTGGGTGGCGCTTTTGCAGGGCAAATAAAACCAAGGGTGAAAATCAATAGATTAGGCGACAAGCGAGGAATAGAAGGTGACGTCATTTTAAGAATTCCACCCACTGTTGTAGTATAGGACTAGGACAATGGATTAATGTTAAATCTTTTAATTAATATTATTATTAATTTTTTAACACTTTAATACATACATTAGGCAATTAAATAAAATATTTATAAATAAATATGATGAAATTATAACATATAATTTTAACATCAGTTTGCAATTAGTACAAAATCATAATTTTTATATTTAACAGAAAGTTTTTAAAATTGTCAAGGAAAGATTTGAGAAATGATAATAAAATAATCTTAGAAAAAATCAGTAACAATCCTTTACGAATTTTTAAAATACAATTTATATTTATAATAATCACATACATAGTTTAAAGACATTCTTTGTTTCTTAAATTTAAAATTATATTTATAATTGAATATAAAAATTTAAGAAGAGGGATGTATTCATTTCAATTTCTTTCAACATTTAGTTGAAATAATGTTGATCTAGTACTCATTTTCAAAGCTATTCATTCTTTAGAAAGTTAATTAATCTCAAATTCATTATTTCAAGATTATGTGTTTTTGAGTAGCTAAAGTATTTTAAATTATAAAGTTTAAAGTATTTAAAAGAATATTCCAAACTTAACTACTTAAATAAAACTTAATGGATTTTAAATATGAAATATTTGTAGTCTTGACCAAGGGTAGACCGAAACTAAACATTGACCCAACCACTAATCATTAACAATCATCTATCCATAGTAAAAGTTTATATAATTTACAGAGACAATTTTTTTAAATAGTAAAAGAAAGATGTAACTGTTACTCTTTCTTATTATTTTGGACTCATTTTTTTTTGGAATTTTATGATCAGGGAAAATTATTCATTTTAGTGAATCAATTTGTCTCATCAGTGGCATAGCTAATAGGCTGAATCTTTCCTCCATTGGCCAATAATTAAAGCCTGTTTGTGTTTTCTTCTTTTCTCTCGCCTTTATCTTAACTACTTGGGTTCGGGCCACCCGTATCCTAAAACCTTTAGTCGACATAATCATTCTAACTGCTTCCGATTTCTCTCTCTTCATAATATAATCAAATCATCTAAGCTGACATTTTTTCTTATCTTATCTACAATCAACGTTATTTTTATTACATTTCATTCTTTATCCTACAGTCTTTCGTCACTCTACTTATTCATCTCAGCATTCTCATCTCTGCTCTACTTTCTTGTCACTTTGACATATAAAACATAGTTGATTTCACTATAGTTTTGTAGAACTTACTTTTTAATCTCATTGGAATTTTCTTATTGCACAAAACAATAGACGATTTTCTCCATTTGATCCACCAGCATTTAATCATATGTATCACATCCTCATCAATGCCACCATTCTTTTGTACAAATAATCCTAAATATTCAAAACTTTCCACCTCCCCTATCGCGTCTTCGTTTATTGTCATTACTATCCTCGTTCCATTGCCTATGCGTTCGCTTTCGTCAAACTTATACTTTATAGAATGATTTTTTTTAATACTAGCCATTAGATATCTTTTAAAATAATAAGTTTTTTGAAAATGTATTATTGAATCTTGTTAGTTACATATGTAATTCTATTTATCCGTTATAAAATAATTTTATATTACTAAAAATTTCTTTTGTACCTCGGTGGGAGGAGTGAATTTTATTAGATATTTATGCTAGAACAGTACATGACTAGAGTGTTAGCACATAATAAATAAGATTTTTTCTATTCTATGGGTCTAGTAAGAGTATGTGATATTTAAAAAAAAAGTCCTCGGTCCCAACTATAGTTTTAGTTACCTCATTGCGTCCATTCATAGTTCAGCGATTTATTCATGAAATAAATTGTTCACTTAACATACCATTCAAAATGAATGTATAGTGCAAAACTGTAAATATGAAGGATTGAATAATTCGCTCAATAGTTAAATAAAAGAATTTATGATAAACAATTCACCGCTATTGCAATTATGATTTGCAAATTTTTTGGTGCATTATTTGAAAATAATAATGTATCTAAAAAAATATTGGTTCTTAAGCGAAATATAAATCAACAGTTTAAAATTATTACACTTTATTATTTTATGGTTTTGTCGTTTTTACTAAAATATTGGAGTGTTCTCAGAATTTTTTCTTGTAGGGATATATACAAGAATTTTTTTAGTTCCTCCAAAATACATCTTTATATGTATTAGATTAAACTCACAATATCTAGCCAAACACAGATTATGGTCAAGTAAATTATTACGAGATTTTAAAAATTAATTAAGAAAGAGGTTTTACATTAAAAAAGAAATAAAATAATTACTGTTTAATAGTTCTTATAACAAATTATATTTTTATCGCAAAATTTTAAATGCATATTTTTATTATAGAATAATGATAATTCTGAATCAATATTTTTAACAACTTAATATTTAAGAGTTAAAAACATTAATATTACAAAAAAAAGTAACAGAAGAAATTAGCGTTTTCCCCTGCAGTTCATAGTAAAATAAACAAGGACGCCAAAAATGATAATTACCAAGAGGGAGATAAATAATTTTTGTTTCTTCATGATCTTTTTTTATTTTTGTTGAACAAATATAGAGAATTATTTGAATCTGTAATTCAAGAAATTCTATAAGTCTAAAAGAAAATTTAACAGGAGAAATATAAAACTTCCTATACTTACATAGAAAGGACGAAGTGTCATAAGATACATAAATACATTAAAGTATCTTAAAATAAAACTGTTAACATAATCAAAAAAGTTTTTACTTGTATTAAAAATACAATTTGTTGGATCATTGGAGATTCTCAAATAAATCAAGTTGGTTATTTAAGTATGTGTGAAAACCATATGCGTAACTATAAATTTGAGTTTACAGGAGCTAAATTATCATTTTTTGCGATATATTTAATATCACAAATAGTCCTAATTATGCAATGTTAAACAAGAAAGGATGTTATTTGTTTTTTTCTCAAATAAGAACCCCGATTTTTATTGCAGAGTACAGAATTTTAAGAATTTGTATTTTTTTTGTGCATACATAAAAATAGGCCACCTAGACAGAATTTGCTCTATATTAAAACAAATTTAAATTGGACATTGTGTATTGAATAATTGTATATGTTGAGGTATTTTTTAAACTTTTTAAAGCATGTTTAACATATTTTATAGCTTTAAACATATTTTTTGATTAAATAATATTTTATTAAGACATTCATGAACTAATATGTGTGTATTTAAAGTTACTTATTTACTTTAGTAAATACAATTAAATTGACTAATCACGACTTATTCAATTAATAAAGTGAAAATATCTGGATATTATATTCTAACTAATTATAATTCGTTGATCAATTTAAAAAAAAAATTATGACTAGATTCTAAATTTATTACTTTTGATTATGCATTTAAAAAGTTTAACCCAAATTTGTAAACATTTATTGTTGAAGTAGACAGTAGTGTAGAAATATTTTACATTTTAGGGGGAATAATGCTCCTTCTATTCTGCCCAAACACTATAGTACCATTTAGAACAAAGAACTAAGTTTTCATGTCTATTAATTTAAATGTATACTAGCTGACAATGTGTTTGGAATAACTTAACAAAATTTATAAATACATATAAATCTAGACTCTAATTATGATAATAACAAAACAATAAGAAATAAGAATTTTCAAAACTGTTACTGAATCATTATATTAATTTAACTATAAAGTTTAAAATCTAATATCAAAAATATTTCTCCTCATACTTTTTGACAAAAATTTTATACCGGCTGTTGATCTGACACAATCTCATTAGTCGCCTCTTACGACTGGCAGAGGGGCCGTGGAAGTATTCTTATCCCCTATCCACAGGGAGAATCAAAAATATCTCTAAAAATTATGCTTTAAATTAATATAATATGATTTTATTATTTGCACACATAAAAACATATATATTAGTACAAATAAGTAGTTATTTAGATGTAGGATATGGAGGAATGAATGTGCTCTCTTTATTGGAGAAACAAGGCTAATATGAATATTTTTTGGTCAAAATTTGAAAAAATAATAATTAAATAAACAAACATTTTCATGAGGATTGTCCAAAGAAATTTTTTTTGTCTTCACATTATACAATTTTAAGTCACTATTCATATAAATTTAATTTTATGAAATTTGAGAATGTCTTTATCTGTTTACAAGAGATAAGTTATAAAATATTAAAACTATGTCCCATAATTTAACTCTACATTTTTATATGTTAATAGCTTCATCTAACATTAATTTTTTTTTAAATAAAATATTAACTTTAGAGATCTTAGGTAATTTTGGGAAAATTAAAAGTTTTATTAGATTTATTAAAATTTGTTTGAAAATATGCTCGACTTAAGAACGTTTTAATTTTGCAATTCTAGTATGTAATATTAAACTAACTTTGATTGTGAAATTCAACATTGAATTAACTATTTTTAACTAAACAAAGTTTCTAGACAACTTTGGTGATCAGTATTCCAAGTTAAACGTTTGTTTTCTCTAAAGAAAAATACATATTATTTTTAACTGTAACTAAATTTGTATACTAATTTATATAAAAAAAATACTATTTTTAAAATTTCATTAATTAAAACATAATAAATATTCACAACACTGTTAATATTATATTAACTTAAATAATAATATAAAAAAATAGTAGTATAAATAAATATTTGATCATAAGCATAACAATTTTTTCTTGGACTATTTTCCAAATTAGCAATTGGAAAGGATTTTTATGTTTATAGAAGTGGTATGGTATACTTAATAAAAATAAAAAAAACAATATTTGAAAACTATTTATTAAATTTAAAATTCACAACAATAAAAATAAAAACGGAAAATCACAACAATCCGTCATATAAAAGAGACCAACTTCTATCAATTATTTCAATAAAATGTATTATCTTACCTAAGTATGTCTAAGATAGAATACGATGTACAATTAACAATAGACACATAATCGTGGACCTAATAAAATCTACAAACACTTATCATAAATATTATTCAAATGTAGTTCTTTAATAGTATCGCTTAAAACAAAGTCAAAAATAAATAAAATCATTTTATAATTATGTCAAAAAATATTTAATGAAAATAAACAGAATATTTTCAAATTGTAAAATGATAATACATAATAATAAAAGTGTTAAATGAAAGAAAAGATATCGTAGGCAACAATGTTAATAACCATGGTTGTTTAAAATAACTTTTATAACAGTGTTGCCAGATAGAGGGAAATTTCCCGTTTAGAGGGAAAATATGGGACCGTAATCAATTGGAGGGAAAAAGGGAAGAAATTTTAAAATTGTACTAAAAAAGGGAAACTTAGGAATTTCAGTTATTAATCGATATTTTTACTTTTATAAAAAAAATTATTTAAAAGTATACATGTTATTTTTTCACAAAAAAATGATCAATTTTTATTTTTGCATAGATAAATTAATTTTTATATTAACAAATCCTATTGATAATACTGTCTAAGAATATCACAATCGGTCCTTGGATCCTATCTACAAGCGTTGAAATAATTATGAACATTAGGAATAAATCGATTTTACTTATCAATGTTGCAGTACCTGATATGATCACTATTGTCCTTCAGCAAAAAAAAATGTATTAACGTTTTATTCTTAAGTCACAACTAGTTTTAACTTTTAAGTTATAAGTTATTATTATTTTCATAGATGTTTTATACTTAACATTTTCCATTATTTTAACCATGGATAATTTTGAAGAAAATGATGTATTTAATAGTACTCCACCAAAAAAAAAATTAAAGGACCAAAATGTTTTAATAATAATTGGCTTAATTGCTCTGAATTTAAGGAATGGTTGGAATGTATTCCTAAAAATATTTTCAAAGCTCGTTGTTCTGCTTGCCAGGTAAATAAAAACAATGATATTCCTTATTTTATATAATTAAGAGGAGTGAGGACTGTAGTCTTCAATCTAACTATTTTTAACACGCTTATATTAGTTTCACCTGTATGTATGTATGTATGTATGTATGTATGTTTGTAACTCCAAACGCCACGCGTTATCGCATATTCCGTCGTCTAAACTAGACTGTCATAACGCATTCACCCCTCCTCACGCCTCGCTCAACACACGACGGCACACTATTCCTATAAAAATTTATTTTTAGTTATCGTACCCGTACACGCGTGCTTGTCATCAATATTATATATATATAAACAAATTTTTATTTTGACTGACCAATACCGCCCGCGTCTAATGCGCCTTACGTATATATATTTATATATTCCTACCATCGTTTATACCTCAGGTATAACGTTAGTCCGACCCGCCCGCCCACAAAATACGGTTATACCTAGTGCATGATACGTTTACGTACTTAAGTTGCAATATTTGTATATATATTCTAATTACTATTAAAATTTATATATTAACACGATTTATTCTAATTAAGAGATATAAAGTATTCATTCCGATTACGAGGGATGATTCCCGTATCGTCATTTTTCGTCACTACCTCCATGTTCCGGGAGTGGGTAANAATTTTTATTACTTTGAATATTTACATTCAAAGAGGCTACAATGGTATAATATGCAAAAAATAGCGATTTATTTAAAAAATGTATTTTGAAACGATATGCTTATGAATTCTATAACATATTTTGTTTTTAAATATTATTAATTATGGGAATAACAATCGACAAAACCAATATTATTTAAGGATTTCATATTATAATGGTCAACTTACAATAGTCAATATACAAGAAATAAAAGAAAATTGAATTTACATTTATTTGAAATAAAAAATTTAAGGAGGGAATTTTTTTTAAAAACCGGAAAATTTTACAAGTTTGAGAGGGAATTAAGCTTTTTTTGGTCTGGCAACACTGACTTTACAATAAACTATTATTTAAGTTCACATTGTTTGCTGTTTTGTGCCACATGTTGATTTTACTATCATATTTTCATATTTGTAAATATCACCAAAAGAATAATTTTGATAAAAAGTTTAATGCTATGTTCGAAAAAAAAAACTATATTCGTAAATTGCATACTTCATATTATTATGAATTAAATTGTTTAAGTTTGTCCTTTTAATCGTGTACTCAACCATAAAAGTGTTACGACCATATGTTATTATTTTTGATAATTAATGGTTTTAAAAACCAAATTTATGCAATAAGTTTTTCTCTTGAGTGCCAAAGTATTAAAAACTATTAGTCACAAACATAATTTAAGATCAAATATATTAAATTACTAAACCAAATAGAAAGGTAATATAAAATAAAAATGTTATTCATATTTATAGGTTTTAGCACTCTGAGCAGGTATCAAACATTATTTTGAATAATAATTCCAACTTGTTATATGGGGTACTTTTTTTTATATTTTAGATTTTTATAAATATCTGATGGTAAACATATTTTCATGTGAAATTATCTAATGACTCATATTGTCTAGACTTTTTAATAAAAATTAAATGAAATAAAACAAACTTAATAAAATAAAAATGATTTCATTCAAACCATATGTACTGATAAAAAATATTCATATTAGAAAAATTAAAGCCATTTTTGTTTCTAGTTTTGATGAAATAATTTATTTTTCTTATAGTTTTCAATATACAATTAAGAAGATATCAGTTCAAAATGAATAAATTTATGAGTATGCAAATTATCCTTTTATTTATTGTAACTTGTGTAAGTTCTATTCGCTGGTATATGCAACCTAACACACAAAAATGTTTGCGTGAAGAACTTAAGCAAAATGTATTAGTAAAAGGTGATTATGAAACTCAGTCCATTGAAGGACAATACATGGATTATATTGTTCGAGATTCTAAAGGCCATATATTAGCCAATAAGCAAGACATAACTAAGGGAAAATTCACATTTAGTACTGAAAATTATGATATGTTTGAAATTTGTTTTACATCACGTGTACCAGGTTATCAAAGAGGAGTATTGCATGAAGTATCATTAGATATTAAAACTGGAATAGAAGCTAAACAATATGAAGGACTTGGTGAAGTTGCAAAACTTAAGCCTTTGGAATTAGACTTAAAGATATTAGAAGATTTGTCATCATCAATTGTGAATGATTTTTCCGATATGAAGCATCGCGTTGAAGAAATGAGAAATACAAATGAATCTACCAGTAAAAGAGTTCATTGGTTTAGTATGTTTAGTATTTTCTGTTTAATTGGACTTAGTGTCTGGCAAATATTGTATTTAAGAAGATATTTTAAGGCAAAGAAACTTATTGAATAAAAATGATCATTAATGACTTGATACATTTTTGTGCTGTAATTAGTTTATATAACAGTAACAAAAATTTAATTAATGTTTAAACAAAATAATTCAAGTATATTTTTAATATATTAATACTTAATTTTTAAATTCTATAATTTCATTATTTTTTTGTAGTGAATAAAATTCAGTGACTTAAATCTCACACTTTTAAACAGTTGTCCCAATTTAAGATTAGAATTTTAGCTTTTTTTTTTATTTATAGAAAAAAAATGTGTGTGAATATATATGAAAAGTTTGTTTATGTCTTAAATTCCCTTTGGAATATAGTGTAATATACTGTATTCTCAAGTTTTTTTTTGTTTAGTAAAATGTTTTATTCTAATTGATTGTTGATTTTACATTGTAACTATATCTCAAATTTTAAAGAAAAAATCTTTCATAAATACAAAAAAAAAAAACCCCAGCACAGGGGGGTCGCGGCATAGTTGGATCAAGTATAATGATATCTGACAGTGATTAAAATCACTATAAAAAAAAACGCTTTGATGCAAATCTTTAGATAGTGTTTAATTTTAAAAAATTAGTGGATTATTCCAAAAGCTACATGATCTGTTAGTTCCTTATTAATATCCTAATTAAGATAAAGTATGTTGAATGAAAAAGGGATTATTAAAAAATAGTATTTCCCAAAAAAAAATTATATTGATCAATACACTTTTCAATAAGTTATAGCATTATAAAGTTAAAAATGTAAAAAATAAAATTGAGAATTTTCACACAATAATAGCATTTGGTAGCCATTTTCACCGTGAAGACAAAATAAAGTCCGAAATTTTTTTTTTCACGATAAAGTATATTACATTAGCTTTAATTTAAGATATATATAAAAGTGTCAGACTTTCCGGAACACTTTCAAAAGTTAAGTTGAAAAAATTAATTTTTTGTAAAAAAGTTGTCATTTTAAATTCCCCCCTGTGGGCAGAAAAAAGGTCAAATTTACAAAAAAAATATACCAAATGATAAGTAAAGACATCAAGCATCTATAAAAAAAAAAATTATATTGATATGTTCATTTTTGAAAAAGTTACGGCAGTTTTTAGTAAAAAAAATTTCGAAAATTAGTTTTTTAAATTTGTAATTTTTTTGGAGGATTCCCCCATTTACGGGGAACGAGGGTTGGGTTTTTTTTCAATTTTTGAGGGTAATGTCTTCGACTAGATACGATTTGTGATCTTTTGATGTATCATTGAAAGAAATCGGTTTGGTGAGAGCTAAGAAAAAGTGGTAACAGACACAAAAAAAAATAAACACATCTTAGTAAAACCAATACCTTCTCAGCTTCTCATCAAAGCTAAAAATGTAGAAAATAATCATAACACTATAAGTAAATTTTTTAAACAAATTAACAATATTTTTATTTAAATAAAATTTTGATTTTATAGTAAGTGGTACAACTCTTAATTAAATCAAAACATTCCTTTTTGTTGTTTACTTCTAGCTGCATTTCTTCTATTATGATTACCATGAAATGCTTTGTTCTCATTTTTTCTTTGTCTGTCCAATTCTGTTCGAGAATCTGATATGCTACTTGTAGGTACTTTTGTTTTATCTGGAAGAATTTATGATTTTCACTATTTTTAAGCATATAAATTTTATTATAAAATCTGAAATTATTTAGATTTAAGAATATTTTAAATTAAATAGCAGAGAATTATTGTATTAGGTAGATTTATATTTCATATTACTTAAACATTTTAACATTAGCTTTACAAATATTAACTAAAAAGAAAAAAGTAGAATAAGACTTGGGGTATCTATTTTACTAGAAGTGCAAAATGATAATTTTGTAACTAGTTTTATAGACCTTTGTTGACTACTAACTAGTAATGTCACAACAAATCCCGATTTTTTTAAGGTCAAATTGAACACAAAATAAATAATCTAAGTATTGTATAAAACATTAATTTGATTAATTTTTAAGCAAAACATTGTTAAAAAAATTTAGCATGTTATTTGTTGTTTACACCAATGTAAATTAAGGAAAAAAGTTTATTGAACCAAACCAAACAATCGGAATTTGATTCAAACATCATATTACTCAATAAGCAAGCTTTGAAAAAGTGTCATACTTCTTAAGCCCTTACAATTAAAGTTTTTTACTGCTCTAACAAATATTATTTTAAATAATTAATGGTTAAGGAGAAAAACAATTAGGCTATTACTTCGATTTGCTCGGTTATTTTGTTTAGCATCATATTTTCTTGCTTGTCTCTCTCTTAAATCTTCTGGATTTTCACAGAATGGTTGGAAATTTAGAATTGGTTGTTCTTGTTGATTATCATCTGATAAATATTCTTCAAAACATTCTAAAGTTTTTTTTTCTAACAATACCCTAGGTATAACATTAGGTCTTCTTTTCTCATTTTCATCAAGTGGTTCAGGTATAATATATTCTACTTCATCATATGTGTCATCATATTCATCATCATAATATGATTCTAATTCAGCACTTGTAACTTCAGTGAAGTTATACTGTTCATAAAAAGGCCTCATTTCATTACGAAATGATTTATCGTCTAACACTTTTTTAAGTTTTTTAATTTTTTTATTCCTAAAATTATAAGAACATTTAAATTAAAACATTATATAAGTATAAAATACTTACAATTTAACTGATGTATTACTGTCAATTTCATTTTCTTCCAAAGAAAGTGATGATAATGAAAAATCATACTTAGTAAGTTCTGGAGGGAGGCTATTTTCTAAAACCATGCTTATTACTTTTTCAGAATTCATATCATAATATTCTAAACACAACTAATAGAAAAATCACAAAGATAAAATCAACTGACAAATATAATGACTAACCTGTATAAAACCTTCTCCCAAATGTGGTAATAAATCTTTTACATCACTAATAAGTGACTGTAGCTTTGCATTTTCGAAGCTATTATTTGTAAGTTTCTAAAATTTAAAAATATTGAAATAAATATATATTTTTAAAGTAATATTTGAAATAAACTACCTCAACTTGACTTTCAGATAATTTTTCTTTGTAATCTTCATTAGAGACTTTAAGCAAAAGTAGAGAATTTTCTAAATATGTATATCGAGTTATGTCCCTAAATAAGTTTAGCAATGGAAAATATGATTAATGTATAAGATACAGGTACCAATACATTTAAAAAAATAATATAATGAGAGTATTATTGATATTATCTCACTTGTTTTTGGTCATTTTTTTACATTTTTGTAAGTCCTCAGTTAAGTTGTATAAATAATTGTAATCAATTATAAATTCATTGTAAGTTAATAGTTCTTGTATGACTTCTAAGTATTCTTCAACAGCTAATTCAGGTTCTCTAAAAAAATATTTGTAGCCATATATAAGATAAACTCAAATCGCAAAGTAAATGAATAATAATTTTTCTTTATAATAATAATAATAGTTACTTTTTATTGTTTATTCCTTCTATTAAATTATTTAAACACTGGTGGACACATTTCAATAATAGCAAGCGCGATGCATGCAGTTTATCATTAAACTGTTCTAATTTATTCATCATAATTAGTTTTTTATAAACAATTGGTTTTATGCTATGATAAAATGACGCAATGCTAGAAAGGAAATTATTTTGAGAAATTTAAAAAGTGTAGAGTTTAATAGTTACACTTACTTAGTATAAAACTTTTCTTTATAAAATAAAGTTGAAGAAATAGGATAAATTTCTATAAATGAATTTATACTATAAGAAATATCCAAAAGGAAATCTATAATATCATCAATTATCATGAGATTATCTTTATCTTTGATAGCTGAACTTTTAACAGAAAGGTTTTGATTAGATTGATTATCAAAAGCAAGATCAAATTCAATTTTTATTTGAAATTGATTAAAACACTACAATCAGACATAAATTTGATAAATTTATTGTAACTATTCAATATAAGTAAATTTAATTTACTTTATTCATGTACTGTATAGTGCTTTTTAAATTATCACTAAATACATTTTCATTTGAAAAAAGAATGTTTATTAATGTCTTTAGCTCTTCAGTATGTTCTTGTCCATAAAGTACACATACATCAAATAATATAGGTATATTTAAAATATTATTTTCACATAATAGTTTCAATAAATTATTTACTGGAATTTTCTGTAAAAAATAAAATTTTTAATTATTATTAGAAAAAAAATAAATAAGAATACTACAATTTATAAATTAAAATTATTTAAACTAGTTTTATACAGCTAAACAATATAATTTAGTGAGATTATACTATAACATTGAGCATAAAACAGTTAATAGAAATGAATTTGAATAGCTCAGGCAAGAATACTTTGTTTCTAAGATCATAAAGTCTAACTACTATATAAAATGAATGTACAAAGATAACATTAAATTAATATTTTGGTAGGAATATTCTTTAATACAAGGAAATGTTACATAGTATGCTTTGGATTAAAATAGCAAATGATTGAATGATTATTAACTCAAAGAAATATATTTAAATAGGTCAGTGCAGTCTTGTAGATAATATAAAATTCAAATTTAATTACTATACACAAATACCTCATTTTCTAAAGGAGTTGTTAAACGCTTAAATAAACAATATGCTAATTCTTCTATCTCATTATAAATTGTTATCATATCAACATCTTCAGAAAAATGATCCAATAAGTATGACGGAGTTGCTTCCTGAATAAATGTATGAAAACCAACAATAGAGCTTTTATTAAATAAAATAGTTGACCAAAATCTATTAAAATTGTATAAAAAATTTTAATATTGTTAAGCTACAATTGGATAATAGTTTTTATGAAAAAAAATAATTTACTCCATATGAGGTAAGTTGAGAAGTATTTTAAAATCATCAACTAAGTATTTCATCTGATGAAGCCAACATTTCTTTTGTTCAAGAAAATCAACAATAGATTTTAATGGATGTATATATTTTACAAACCGTCTATTTAATGATAATTTTTTGTTCTGCAATAAAAAAATTACTTATATAATATAAATTTAGTTTATCTAATAAAATCTGAAATTATTCTACAGTACACAATTATTCAAAAATAATAATACGTTAATATAATTAAATCATACATACCATATTTTCGATTTATTATAAGAAACTGTAGTTACGTACAAATTTAAATGTGACTATTAACTTTGAAAAATTGATGAGTGCGACTACATTTGAAAATTTTAATATTCTATTATCAATGTATTATTATAATAATTGATAAGGTAATTTCACAAGGCGGTCTAAATAGTTTTTTTTTTTTTAATTGATTTCAAAGTATTATTTTTGCAGTTTATTATAAAAAAACTTTAAAGTATTTCAGTTAACTAATAAAAAAAAATTATAATTTGAGCCTAAACAAATTTATTTATAGATCCACTAGAGGAGGTAACTTCATCTAAAATAAATTTAACGTTGAATTTAAAATAATTTTACATAGGATTTATTATTTTCTGATTGAATTTACATGGATTCCAAAAGAAACCTTTTAAATATAAGAATTAAAGGTTAAATTTGATACTTATGAATACATTTGACACTAGTAATTTAATATCTAATATTACATGTTTGTATCATTTGCGTGGACACATACTCACTGTATATTGTTACTATATCATTATTTAAGTTAACGTTGGTAGTATTGGTTTTCTGAGTTGGAAAGAAGTACAGCGATCGGTGTTTTCTTGTTCGTCACCGTGAGATGGAAATCTACCTAATCGACTGATAATTTTTCCGAATGGACTATCGCCGAAAATAACGATCGCGCTTTTTGAGTTTAGTACGACCTGTGTTATTTATTTCAGTAGTTTGTGCTTATTGGCTATTATAACTTGATTATCTGACATATTAAGTCACATTTGATAATTATTTTTCGTGCCATGTAAAATATATATAAACGACAGTAAAATCTTAAAAAACACGTTTCATTATTCTATTATTTATTAGTCAAATTTATTATTACTCAGAACGATTGCTAAGTAAGTTATAGTATTTTGATTGTCAAGTTTAATTGAATCAAATATTTTTTTCCCTCCAATTTTATTATTTGCTAGTTGGTTAAAATGCTTTCTTTCTAATTTTTGATGAAGAGTGCTACTTTTTCCTATCGAATTTGGCAATAAAATGTGTTGTGTTTAACGTTATCGCCTTATAATATACCTTACTATTTTAAACTTTGGAAGTGAAATTGTTTCTTAATTTTTTTTTGCTTGCATGTTTTTTGTTTAAATTAATTAGAAATTTAGAGCTATATTTTAGGGCTCATTTATCTATTTTTTTCTTGTTTTATTCTTTTTTGTGAATAAATATCTTTTCTGTTTTACAAATTTGTTTATGTCACTTGATTTTTATCGAATTTGAATGATATTTACACATTTGTTTTTTGATTTATCTAACAAATTATTTATTGACATTTACATTAGTGAAAAGTATTTTGACTCCATGATATATTTAGAATTAATTAATAAAGCATTTTTAGAATTTTACTTTTTTAACTATTTCAGTAATAAATTTTGGATGTATTTGAAATTGAAACTTTATTTAAAATATTAATTTAAAAATATAAATATTTATCTATTTAAATATTAAACTTAAAGAAAATGTATTAAAACTTAATTTTGCTAAATAATATTAAAAAAAAATATATTCATGTTTAAATTTTCTAACTATTAATATAGTTGTACTTCCTATATAGAGTTCTCTAATTATATATACTGGGAAAATAAATTTAAAATTTTTAACATAATATATAGAATAATATGTAATAAAATTAATGTAATACATATTATATTTAATATAATAGTAAAAGTTCTGTGGTACTCAAGTGATAGGGTAAGTTGAAAATTAATCATATAATAGCTCTTTTTACAATTAAAAAGAGTATTTCATTTTAAATATTATGATGTTTATATCTTCATTAAGCAATTTTTGTACTTAAACCTTTTTTCTTGAGCACCACAGAATTCTGAGGAGGTCTGAAAATATGTTATGCTTAAATATCTATGAGGGCAGAGCTACCATACCATAGAGTAAAATTTCTTAAATTATAACTTACCAAGGTTATAGTAAACAAATAAAAAAATAATTTTCATTTTTATTAATAAACTATTAAGTCTTTTTGATTTGCCTTATTATCAATATGACCACAAAGACGTTTCAATTTATATTAAAAAAACTGATTGCTATGCATGTTTATTATCAACTACTCTTAGTAAAAATCCTTCAATTGATAAAATATTGTTTAAGTTATTTAAACTTAAAATGTAAAGTATCAAAAAAGGTTATGTTATTTTTGATTTAGTGTAGAAATTGAATGAAAATCAAATCTTATAACTGTTTTTAATAAAAATATGTGTTCATCACATTAATTTCAATTACATGTATGACAGATTTGAATTTATATTTTGTTTAATGTTCAAAATTGATTTATCTTTTTTAAAATAGTTGCCTTAAAGAAGAAAATTTATATACAATTTTCTGAGGATAACTTATTTTTAATATTAATAGCTTTTATTATAATTTTTTTATTCTAAATTTAATTTTATTAAGTATAAACTTGTATAATCATTTATTATACATGTTGAGAGGTTATTAATAGGTTTTATAAGTTCGATGTTATTACAATAGCTGTTGTAGTAATAAAATTAAATGGTTATATTGAAAATTCTTAAATCATCTTATTCATTGATTAGTTCATTATGTAAATATGTATAGCTTCTAAAATAGACATTTTAAATTTACAGTAAAACTTTTAAACAAGAAACTAAGATAAATAATGATTGATGTTGTTAAAAAACTGAAACATTTTCATTTCCTTATTAATATTATTTTTTAATTATTTTAATGCTACTGTATGATTATAAATTTTATATGATGATCAAATTTATTGGATTAAGGCTTAGTTTAATGTATATACTATACATATATTCGTTATTTGAGTTATTCTTATTTATACTTGATCATTTCATTAGTTGCAAATCTTCTGCAGATTCAGTAAAATTAATGTTTGGCATTATAACCCCGACTGGTCATTCAGTTAGTGTTATTGAAATAAACGTATGAATCCACAATCTTGTACATGGCCACAAAAATCGATGAGAACCCGATAAAACGGTACAAACCTTCCAGTCCGACACCTCAGTTGAGATAGTAAGTTGTAAACAACCTAATTTCTTTACCTACAATTATACAAAACCAAATAGGTATCAATTATACATAGGTAAACCATTATGTACAGTTTTAGCTTCTCTGATTTAAGGAAATTTAATTACTAAATTAAAACGGTTTACTTTTATTTGATGTTGTTGTTAGTTATGTATGAATTGCATAATTTACTCTTAGCTTCTTGTTTGTGTTTTAAATTATTCTATTCTACCATAGTTTTATATTTTTTAAACACTAATCAAATGAAGATGAATTAAGTTATATTATTAAAAAATAAAAAATTTTAAATTAATATTTATGTGCATTTATAATTAATAAGAAAAAAAAAATTAAAATGTTTTAGTAATCAAGAAAACGGCAGTAAGATAATGGGTCCTGTTATGGAAATTTCTTCTGAAAATAATATTGTATCTGAAAAAGTAATTATACTTGATGCTGGTGCTCAATATGGAAAAGTAATTGATCGTAAAGTTAGAGAATTATGTGTTGAAAGTGATATCTTACCATTACAAACTTCTGCATTAACAATTAAAGAAAAAGGATACAAGTAAGTTTTAAAATATATCATTTAATACAATAGTTTTTAAAAATAAATCCTATACTATTTTCTTATGAACTTCTTATTTTATTTTTATAATTTTTTTATTTAAAAATTAATTGAACTTAGAAATTATTATTCTTATTTTATATTACTGCTTTGGAAAATTAATCTATTGTTTTAACTTAATAATGTTGGGTTTGGTATTATAATTATTTGTTGTAATCATCTTTTTCTATCATTTTGTAATTAGAATTTTATTTTAAATACTTTTAATTAAATATTCATTACAGAGCTATCATTATATCTGGCGGGCCAAATTCAGTTAATGACTCAGATGCACCTAATTATGATCCAGATATATTTAGAATAGGATTACCCGTTTTAGGTAATTAGAAAATTAGAGCTGTTTTTATTTTACTGAAGTTTCTCTCTACTTCATAGGAATTTGCTATGGTATGCAAATGATGAATAAAGAATTTGGTGGGCAGGTTGCTCCTACTGTAGGTCGGGAAGATGGAATTTACAATGTTGATATTGACCCTCAGTGTTTACTGTTTAAGTGAGTTTTTATTTTTTAATGTTTCTTGTAATTTAAATTTTAAAATTTGAAATTTTATAGATCATTATCAAAAACACAAAGTGTCCTTTTAACTCATGGAGATCATGTAGTAAAAGTAGCTGATACTTTCAAAGTGATAGCTACATCTAACAATATGATAGCTGCAATAGGCAACGATAGTAAAAAATTATATGGACTTCAATTTCATCCAGAGGTATTGAAAATATTTTATTATTTATCTTTTTGCATGACAAAAAATTAAATATTAACAATATAAATAAATATTTATAGCAAAATATAAGACTTAAAAATATTTTAATTACAATTTATACAAATGGACAGTTTCTATGAAAAGAGGATTAAGATATATACTATTTTCAGTGAATAAAAAAAAAACATATGTTGTACATAAAAAAAAAAAAAATGATTTATACCAAACTTTTTTAATAATAATTCAATATTTAATGTTTCTTATTCACTTTACAATTGCTACTGATTGATGAGGTCATTACAAAGTTAATATAAGTTCTATAACATTAATAAACATTAATATTCATCTATTTTTTTTTTTGTGATTTTGTAAAAAAAAATATTGAAAGGTTATTACATATTTATGTTATTTTTCATGTTAAAAGTAATATGTAGACTTATATCATATTTTAGTGTTTTTGATTAATTTTAAACTAATTGTAATCTTAAATAATATTATTATAATAAAGAAAAACTGTTTTACCAATAATAAGATAACTGTTAATATCAAAATTAAATATTAATTTATTCTATAGTTTTTATTTAATCTAACAATAAAACCAGTTAGTTTGTTTTATCATTTTATGTTTCATGACATACTTAATGTCTATCAATAACAACAAACAAATATAAAATATATTTATCTATAAGTAAACATCAATTGTTCATATTAATGTAATAATACAAAATTATTATTGATTGATATTACTAAGCATTTATTAAATAATCTTATAGTTAATTTTATAATTTTTAAGTTAGCTTTTCTTCGCCATATACTGTGAAAAATCATTTAAAATACTTGCGTGTTACTTATTATGGTTTTTCAACATTATTGATTATTCTAGATAATCAACATAAATATTAATTTATATATTGTATCACAATAATAATAAAAAAAAAAATACGGTTGAAAGCTCAGTTAATACATTTTTAGTTAGTTAAACTAGGCTTTGTTCAGTGTTATCAGATAATCATAACAATTTTGTGTTAAATCAATATATATTTTTGGTACTGAAAGGTATTAAAAAATTTCAAGTTAGATAAGAGAAAAATGTATATTTATTGATACATAATACATTTTCAAATAAAGATAATTTTTTATTATAATTATTATTATTAAAGAAATTATTTATATTTTTTTGTGTTAATTAACCCATAGAATACTAAAATTTAATACTAGAATACTAGAGTATCAAAATTAAAATTTTAATGTAATTTGTTGTATTATATTCTTAATATTTTTAACTTAGTAAATTTAATAATTGAACAAACAAATGTGTTTTAATGAAATACTTAAGGTTATAAAGAAGTAGATTAAACAATATATATTTCCAAAAGAATATTTTTAGAACTACTTATTTTGTCCAACAGATTACAGAATAACATAATAAAATTCACATGAAATATGAATTAAATACATTGTTATAGTTACATACATATAGTTTTATTCTATACTGTAATCTATTGATGACTTTTAGTCATCATAGTGTATATTTTAAATTTATAATGTGAACATTTGGTTTAAAATTTATATGATGTATTAGGTTAATCTAACTGAACATGGTACTCAAATGTTAAAAACATTTTTGTATGAAGTGGCTAGTTTAAATGGAGTCTATACAGTTAAAAGTCGTGAAGAAGAATGTATTCAATATATCAAAGAGAGTGTTGGACAAAATAAAGTTTTGGTTCTTTTAAGTGGGGGTGTTGATTCTACAGTTTGTGCTGCACTTTTGCATAAAGCTTTAAATCCTCAACAAGTAATAGCTGTTCATATAGATAATGGTTTTATGAGAAAATACGAGAGTGAAAAAGTTATGCAATCTCTAACAGCTATAGGACTTGATGTTAAAGGTAACAATAATTCAAATTAAGATAATGTAATTAAATTATAAATATTTTATATTTACAGCTGTTAATGCTATGTATGATTTTAAGTATGGAACTACAATTTTACCAGATTTACATGTAGCCAATCGTACTAGAATTTCATTACCATTATGTCAAGTTAATAATCCAGAAGAGAAAAGAAAAATAATTGGTGATGTTTTTGTTAAGGTAAATATTCTATATTTTAGAAATATCAAATTTATTTAACATGAATAAGTTTCTGTTTAATTACAGTTAGTTTCTTTGTTTTTAAATATTTTTAGACTGCAGACAAGTTCCTGAAATCATTAAATTTATCCTCTGATGATGTACTTTTGGCCCAAGGTACTCTTCGGCCCGATTTAATTGAATCAGCTTCACGACTGGCTAGTAATCATGCTGATACTATAAAAACACATCATAATGATAGTAAACTTATAAGGGAATTGCGAGATAAAGGACGTGTTATTGAACCTTTACAAGATTTCCACAAAGATGAGGTGAGTTTAATCAACATTTGTAGCAAACCTAGTTTTATCAGAGTCTTTCAAATTTGAATATAGTATGCATTCTTCTTATATTATAATATTTACAGGTTAGAAGATTAGGAATAGATTTAGGGCTTAGTGAAAGTATTGTATATCGGCATCCATTTCCAGGGCCAGGCTTAGCTATACGTGTGATTTGTGGTGAAGAACCATATATTGAAAAAGATTTTTCTGAAACCCAAGTTTTAGTAAAAATTGTAGTAGAATATGATGACATGGTTTTAAAGGTATATTTAATCTGTTTTCATATCACTTTCTACAACATATAATGCTATTTTTTTGTTTTAATCTCAATCTTAAATAGAAAATTATGCTATTATTTTTATGTTTATAAAATGATTAAAAATTTCTTTGTTAATATTGAAAGGAAGAAGTTAAAAATAATATTTAACTACTGTTTAAACAAAAGTATTTGTTTAATAATTAATTTCAGTAAAAGTAAAATAGACAAAAATTATAATATAAGACAGTAATTATGATGCAACAACAATGATAATATCACTGACCGCCGCAAAAAAAAAAAAAATTCACATAGTTGCCTGCTATTTTGTAATACTACAATAGCATAAATTATAAATGTTCTATTTAATAGTAAAATAAATGATAACACTGAATTTTATTTTATTTTCAACATTTCCTCTAGAATTACAATTTATAACATTTGTTTTATTTTAACAATATTAATTCAATTTATTTATTCTCACTTGTGACCTGAGGTATTGAAAATAAATCCTTGACAATGGCTTTGTCATGATATCTGTCAGCTGTTTTTTACTGCATATATACTCTAACACAAACAAACCTTCATTGTGTGTAATGATATTTTACATCTATGTGTTTAGTCCTCTAATGGAACTCTGGGTTCTTTACTAACCCTGTTGAGTTTTGGTTATCCACATATATAATTGGTGTACTCTCCTGTGTTTTCAACAGGTCACTTATTAGTAGCGACAATCATGAAATTTCTTGTACTGCCTGACTAAGAAACTATATATTCTGACTCATTTGTTGATAGTGGCACTGAATTTTGCCTTTGTGAACCCCAAGCAATTATTCCATTGCCCATCATAAATATAGCACCTGATGTTGATTTCTCGTGACTGTTTATGGTGCACTTGTTTGATGTTGAATACCTAATTTTTCTATGTGTTATATCGGGATTCATGTACTCTAAACATTGTCATTTTGTAAAATTTTACTGATATAACTTTGATTTTTAATCAAATTTAGATTAATTTTTAATTTTTCTTTTACTTCTGATTTATTTTTCAAGAAATACACATAACAATAATTTGTATAATCAAAAAATAAGTTATCTTTGAATAATACAAAATAACGTTTACCATCTAATGAATTTCACTCCATTTGCCCACATACATTGCTATGTATAATTTCACTTGGTGCTGTTGTTTTTATTTTTCTCAATGAAAACTATTTTGAATGTTGTTTTCTATAAATGGATGCTTCACAAAATTTGTCCTTTGTAGTCATTCAAAATGTAAAAAAAAAAAAAAAAGAAGGATAATAATATTATAAGAAAGGGGCTGGATTGCGCGATAGAGCATGAGTGAATTACTATGTTTAATATTTTATCGGGGTCATGGTTCGAGAGTTTAAAATAATAAGGTTATTAATATAAATTAATGTATAAAGTTATTTTGATAATATGTTAGATTGTAAAAATTAATCACTGTTATATTAATGAATTTGACTATTCATTAAACCTTATTAAAAAACAATTAACATTCTTCTAGTCAATAAAACAATGGATTAATACAATTGACTCACCTTTTGTTGTTCTTATTTAATCTCTTAAAATAGATTGTAGTTATATAGGTATAATTTGAACACCAAAGTATGATTTGTAAGTGTCAGGAAGCATCCAGAAGTCAAGATTGTTTCTTACTCATTTTTCCACCATGTGCTAAATAGTTGACTAACTCCACTACTATGTTCCATGCTGTACCCTATTATGTTCTACTCAGTAATCACTGCACTACTTCAGTGATGCTCTTAGCCCTTTTACTTTATATAGTTGATAGTCCCTATCTCTTATTTTTTTTTTGGTAATCTTGAATACCATATTGTCTTTTTAGATTGTTTTATTACTATCATTTTATAATTCATTACACGGTAATCATGACTTGGATAATTATTACGTGAAAATATATATATTTAAATTACAAATTATTTTATGATATCAATTTGGTAAGTAATACAATTTTTTGTGTCATTGTACTTATTATAATTTATATTCAAATATTTTATGAATTATTTAAAAGTAATATAATATGCATGGATATTACAACACTTTGCCCGTTTCTTTAAATGGTAATTGCATACGAGTTAAATAATTTTTTAGATGTTGAAAATTTTGAAGTTCTAGTTGCTGATGCTACTGATGCAATGTTTCAACCACTTTTACTAAATTGGCCAGTATGATTTTCTGTTCTAATAGCATTTTTAATAAATTTACGCATTTAACATCGGACATAATTTTTATTCTTTTGTCGAAACACGTATCAGGCTAGATTAAATTTTATTTCTGGAATGTATAGAACGTCTTACAAATATTTATATATTAAATAAAATACTTTTATATTACCTTTGCTGTAACCTGTAATTGTAGTTCCATTTCCAGTATGTACTTCCCCATTAGTTTTAAATTGTTTGTAATCTACAAACCATTCAATATGTCTGGATATATGGTCACTGGCGCCCGAATCCACATATCATTTATTGATTTACTTTTATTGCTCAATAACTATTTAACATCCTATCAACGTGTTACTCATTAAATGTTGTAATTCACCATTTTTATCTTATTGTGCCTTTTTATAAACAAGACAGTTACGTTTATAGGAATTGCAGTTTCCAAGTCATTTATTTTTGTTAAAATTCTCACGCTTAATGTTTGAAAATTGTTTTTGCTGTACTCTTTCTACTGCAAGTGCATAATTTTCAGTTGTTTATTTGGAGAACTAGTTTTTTGAGTTAATCTAGCATCTTCAATCATGAGTCACAGTATCAAATTCTCAAATGTTTGTTTACATCTAGCATTGAATTCTAAAATTTAATTAAAAATCTTGATCATCAGCATTAACTGATTTTGGTTCACCTGTCTGTTTCAATTGTCTGCTCTAATTTTACAGTTTTGATATATGATGAGCCATGCTATCTGCTGGATCCATAACATATTTGTCGAATCTTTCTTGCAACAAAGAAATGTTGGTTGCTGACTTCTGCTCTTATACTAAGCAATTAATCCTACATATCTCTGGCCGTATCACAATTTATTATATACAGTAACAGCTGCTTATCCACCGACATTACAATGTATTTCTAAGCCTAATTGTCTGTCTTTTTCCATACTGAACAATCTACATATTTTTTTCAAACATCATCTTTAGTCCCATCACTTCATCTTGCTAAACTCAGTTTCTTTACTTAACCAGTAGTTACATTAAATATTTTACATGAAGTCATTATGACTCTCATCTGAAATTTCCATTATTACTAATTGCGCCAATTAGTTTATTTTTATTGTTTCATCCATTATAGATAACTAATTTTCTGTACACTATGTATTTTAAAATAAACAAACTGTTGCAGTAAAAAATTTAAATGTTCACGTTAAACAATATTTGCACTCAAACACAAATTTTTTTTTTATTTTTTATAAATAATAAAAAAAAAAGTGTATATAACTCCCCTTTATAACTATTTTTTTATTTTAAACGGTACTATTAAAAGTGTTACGCAAGTTATTATGATTGTTAAAATTTTTTTTTAATTTTATTACATAGACCCCCTAAAAATAAATGTTGGTCTTAAATTAAGGTGTAGTAAGCATACATAAGATAAATAGTAATATATATATATATATAGACAATATATTTAAAAAAAATGTATCAATTGAATTAACAAGTTCTAGATTTAACTGGTAATTGTTTTATTATGATTTTATTATTATTAAATAAATATAATAAAAAAAAGTATTTTGGACTTTCAAAAAATTAAAACCTATTTAATATATAGATATTAAACACACAAATAAAAAATGACTAAAACTTAGAAGTGAATTTAAAAATTAAAGATTTTTATAATGATCACTTGAAAAAACCAAAGCTTCACTGTCTCTGAATTAAGATCACCTCTCTTTAAAAGGTCATACAGCATTCCTGAAATATTCAATATTAAATAGTTTTAATTTTATAGACCAGACTCTGGTTGTAAAAAAGGAGCTGATGTGTGTGATGTGGTGTATGTGTATTAAGAGAATCGTTAAATACCATGTGATATCCTCATAACATTTTCTATATGTTAGTTAAACCTCTGAGACTGTATGTTTATTATTAAAAAAGTTATAGTGAAATGCTCAGATTTTTATTTTTAATATAACTATTTTACTCAATTTAAGAGACTGAGGCACATGTTGATTTTGTCATGTTGGTCTCTAAAGTTTCACTTCTAAAATGTAAAAAAAAAAAAACCTAAGTCTTAATAATAAAATTTTAAAAATCAATTTTTAATGGCCACTGTAAAAAGTTATCCTTTTTTAAAGATATTCCATTTAAATTATAAAAATGCCATATAATAGTTTTTGTCACAATAATACAGAATTAAATCTTAACTATGTTATCAACTTAAAAATGATAAATGTTTCAAATAATTTTTATATTTTGACTTATTAATTGGTTTTGTGTAATAGAATTGATTTTATATTAGTATTACATATTTTTAGAGTCATGCACTCTTAAATCGTATAGAAAATGCTACATCTGAAAATGAGAGAAATATGTTAGTAGAAATATCAAAAAAACAAAAAATGACTGCAACATTACTACCTATTAAAAGTGTTGGAGTGCAAGTAATAACTTAATTAGGTTTTTTATTTTTATTACATTTGTAGAGGTAATTAATTAAACTTTAATTAGGGTGACAAACGTACTTATAGCTATGTGGTAGCTATTTCTTGTACTGATCCTGAACCTATCTGGGAAGATTTATTTTATCTAGCCAGAATTATACCTAGAGTGTGTCACAATGTCAATAGAGTGTGTTATGTGTCTGGTCCACCAGTTAATTATCAAGTATTAGATATCACAAGCACATATTTAAATAGCAGTGTTGTTAATTTACTTAAAGAAGCTGATCATGTTGTTAATAAGGTATTTATATTTGATATTGATTAAATTATTGTTGTTTCAAATAATTTAATTTTTATTATCTTAGGTGTTAGCAGAATGTCCTATAAGTATGCGTAAAATTAGTCAAATGCCTGTAATTTTGATTCCTGTTCATTTTGATCGGGATATAGCTTATCGTCATCCTTCTTGCCAGCGTTCAATTGTTATTAGGCCTTTCATTACAGAAGATTTTATGACTGGTATTCCTGCATTACCCGGCAAACATATACCAGCTGCAGTATGTATAATTTATTAATATATTTTGGGACTTATGTACAGAACATATTTTTTTTAGTAAACATAAAATTGAATAAAAATAATTTTTTATAACAGTGATTGTAAAAAATGTTCTCTTCATCTCTAAAAGCCATACCTTTGTCTTTGCAAATCTGTATCTCCCTTTTCCCCCTGTTAATGTCTACGTATTGATTACAGCTGGCTTGTCTTATCATTTATTTTAAATATGTCTTTATTGATATTCCTTTACTTTTATGATCGTTTATGTCTTTCGAATATATTTGTTAGATCAGGTTTTGTCTCAATAAATTACCGAACATAATTCTGTTCTTTTCTTATATGATGCTTAATAGAATTCTTTTTCATTTATTAGGTTTAATACATATTTATGTTCATTCATTGTCCATGTTTTATAATTTTATAGAATACATTTAGCATTTTGCAAAATTATTTCTTACCTTAATAAGTTTTTCTTTATAATTAGTTGACTTTTTTTACATATATGTTCTTTTGCTATAGTTATTTGTTTGGTAATCTTTGCTGCGCATCTATCTTTGTTAGTTATTGTACACCCTAGGTACTTGAATTACTTAGTTTGTTCAATTAGATAATTAAATTAAAAATAAATAAATAAATTATCTATTCTTAAATTTACTAAAGGACTAACTTTTATTTTTATGTTTTATTTGCATTTATTTTCATCTGTTATTTCTGCAATATTTAGTTATAAATAAAATGAATAGGTAAGGTGACAACTAACAGCCTTATTTAACTCTTTTTAACTTAAGTTAATTGTGTTAAATGATTTCTTCAAATTAATGAAGGTTATAAATATGTTAACATTTACCCCTTTTCACGTTAACACTTTTTGGGCGAGAATTGCTTCTATTGTATTGATTCCTTATCTAAAACCAAATTAGTATATATAAAATTCCTCTTCGATTTTTTTCTTTATCATGTTTTTCATAATAATGAGAAATATCTTTAATTCATGTGTTAAGAGAATTATTGTTCTATAATTTTTGTATTCAGTGTTAATTCATAATCATATCATTTTCTTCTATCGATCCTTCATTAAGGTCTTCTATATATTCTTTTCATTTCTTCATTATCTTCTATACAAAATTAGTATTCCTTTTCATCCTTAACAATTTTTCTTTGTGGTTTTAGGACGCTTGTTAGTTCTATAATTATTCTATATGCTTCATCCATTCTATTTGTAGTCTTATTTGTTTTAATGCTTTTATGTGTTGTATCCATCCATTTTTTCCTTCTCTACACTTTTGGGTAGTATGATTCTTTACTATTCTATACATCTCACTATCAGTTTTCATTAGTTTATTGTGATATTTTATTGAAACTATTATCACATTTGTTATCCATGGATTCTTTGGATTTAATTTCCTGAATCTAAAAGATTTCTTAGAAGATTGTTGATTTTTGCTAGCCAGTTCTTCCCACAAAAGATTACTAAAGTAACTAGCGGTTATCATTTTATTGTGAGCTTTGATTTGAAAATTCCACCTTGTATCTTCATTTCTAAGTTTCTCTTCATTCCATATTTTATGTTTGGTTTGTTTTGCAAAACATTCATATGCTATTTTGTATTAAGTTGTGATCGCTATAAATTTTCGTTCCATACAAAAAAATGTACTAATTAATGAGATAACTTTTATTTTTGCAATAAAATAAAAATAAAATTAGTTTTGCTATAAATTTCTTTAATTAATTTATATTTGGCAATATTTCAGTTGGTTCTAAAAATGATGGCTGCTGCTCAAGAAATATCTGGTATATCTCGAGTACTGTATGATTTGACGTCAAAACCTCCTGGCACAACGGAATGGGAATAATTTTTCTTTTGATAATTGTTTGATAACATACTTATATAATGTATGTTTTAAAGATACCAAATTATATAAAAAAAAAATCTTAAGATAATACTTGCTCACTGGTGATTTCAATCAGTTAACATCTCTATTACTGTTACTACTTTCTGTACTGGTTTCCCAATAAATTTAATATTTATACTAGTGTACTATCTTCTGGTTTTAAATTAAACTATTGTTTATTTGTAACGAGACATGAAAAGTCTTGGTTGTTATTTTTTATATTTGTGTTTATTAACATGTCGATCCTTAAAAATATTTGTTTCATTTTACATAAAGTAATATATTTAATACCATATTGCTTAACCTTTAAGTAAGAGCCTATTGTACAAAATAAATTCTCCCTTATAAATTTATAGCATATATATATATATATACTGTTTAAATTATTTCTTTACAATTTAATACGTTAAAAATAATGTATTTAAAGGATATTACATAATATATACACATTTATATGCAAAATATGTATAGTAAAGGTGTTTTATGTTTATTAATTCATTTTAATTAACTATGTATTGTTTTAGATGACATTAACATTAATTTGATCTTTTTAATGGAGGTTCGGTTAGGTTTGGAAAGCTTCTTTATTATATATAATAGAATTGAAATAACAAAAATTAGAAATGTTAACAACGCCACTTATTATTTAATTAATAGTTTATATGAACTAAAAACTTTTTTCTTGTGAGATCACAACATTTTCTCTTAAATAAAAAAATAAGAACCTAGAGCACTTAAAATTTAAAAAATACCTTCTAAATATGACACTGAAAAACTAATATTTAAGATTTAGGAAGAATCTATTATATTTAATAAGAGTAGCTAAATTCCATACTACAAAATAAAACTAGAAATTTCAAAAAATAATGCAAAATTTAAGTAGGAATGAATTAAAGATATCATTCGAAAAATATTAAATTACATCATTTTAAAACCTTTATAATCAAAATTAATATTAAGCCAGAAAACAATACACTGTCAGATATATTACTAAATCAATTTAATGATAACTTTCAAAATGTCGCTTCTAATTTAGTTCAACAATTAAAAGAACAAAATAAATCTAATTTTTACACCACTATACTTACTTACATCATTAAAAATAAATAAGTGAAAGTAAATTTGAAAGTATTATATCATAATATTAAAATAATATAAATCCATTACTTCTGTTGTGGTAGTGTACTGAATTCAACTATGTTGAATTGAAATAATAATTATATTGCAAGATATAAATTCTACTAGTTGATACATTTTTGTTACCAGATGATGGTATATTTAATTTACATGTAAGTTTTGTAAAATAAACTCGTTTGGATAAGAAAAATTTTTTTTTTAAATAATACAATTACGTTGAAACAACTTAAAAACTTGAAGCATATTAAAATTACTTTAGAAAAAAAAACAAAATAATTAACTGTGCTATCAATATTGTATTTTAAATAATGAAAATTACCATCCTTTATATTCAATAAATTAAAAATTAAATTATATAAAATTATTCTCATTAGAATACAGTCTCTACTTTCAATTTTGCATTATACAATTTTAGCATTATTTCTTGCATATTTTTTACAATAAAAAAATAACTCTGTTTCCACAAATATTGATCTTTTATTTTCACTAATCTAAATGAAAAACAGTTATTTAAGGAAATATAAAACTCATATTAAGTAATTATAAGTATTTACCTATACAATCTTCTTAGTAATTCATATGCATCTTCCATTCGATTATCTTTTATTAAACAACAAAGATATTCTGTAACCATTTTATTATCACAATCTTTTGGTTCAAGTTCTGTTAATATCCATTCATCCATAAATTCTTTCATTTGATCTATGTTAACTTGTTGGTATAATTTTGAACTATCTTCAAAAATATTATTTGTGTTTAAGTTATTATTGCCATTAAATAATTCATTTTTTTTATAAATTCTTAGATCATTTTCTAACTCTAAACGTATGTCTTCTGGTAAAGCTTCAAGAAATGATTGATCCACTTGAGATACATTTATATTATTTAATGACTGATAAGTGTTAGAATGTAAGAGCGGAGAAGAGTTTTTATTTGATTTTGATTCTATGGATTTAAACATTTTGACAATGGGTTTAGATTTTTCACTTGAAATTGAGCTAGTTGATTTATTAAACTTGTATGACAATTTATCAAAGTCATTTAAATCTGCACTTTTTGGAGGCTTAAATTCTATTTGTATATTATTTAAAGGATTGTGATCTTGTCTGATTTTCATATTGGTGATAAAATGTTCGATCTGACCACCTTTTTTTATTGTACGCCTTTCTAGCCTATTAATTTGAATTCCTATGCCACGTAGTTCTTTTGGATCAATATTTAATTTGTCAATTATTTTCATAATAGTTCTATAAATTAATAATAAAAATTAAATAGCTTTAAAAAGAAAAAAACTAGCATTTATGTTAAGTGTTAATTTATTAAACATTCAAGTACTGAAACATACTAATATATAAGTGGGAATCTAGAGGGAGTTTTATTTAACTTCAAAATTTCCATTTTCAATTATTATTTCAATGAACAAATAAAAAAGAAACCACGATTTTATATTTCTTATTTTATAATCTATTTTATAATAAATTGGGCGTTCAGGATTATAGAAAAAAATTAGAAACAATTCAAGATTTTTTCATAAAGGTAGTTAAAAATAAGAACATTTTTTATTATCCATTTCGTTTAAGGTAAAAATATATTTTTAAAATGTAATAACTGTTAAAGTATAAAGTCTCTTACTCAACACTTTGGTAATTAATAGTACTTTAAAGCAAAGGTACTGGAGTTTAATTTTGACAGAAAAATAAGTACTATCTTTTATGAGAATGAAAAGAAATGTAAATAAATAAAGAAAAATTTGATCAAGGTGTTGAAATTAAACTATGGTTAAAGTTAGTAGAATTTTTATTAAGTTTTTTTATAAATTTTCAACACTTTATTATTGTTTGCTTGTTAGTTTCTTTAATAAACAAACTTACTGAAATATTACATTAGAATTTGATGTTAGCTTCATCAACGAACTTGATTTAGTAATATGATCGCAAAAACCATGACCAAGGAATTTTGCAGACTCTTTTGGAGCTTCAGCATTACGAATCTATAAAATAAGTAATAAAATAGTAAAAACATATTTTTTCCAGATAACTCTAAAGGATAAATTAAGTTTTATTCTTATTAGAATATTTTCATACAAGTGTAGTCACTAATAAGATAATTATAATAACAATAAGCAAAAAAACAATTTTTTTTTCATAAAAATTACACATTAAACATAGAAAAGAAGTCTTCAAGATAAATTTTTTTTTTTGATATTAAGTACAATATTTAAACTTTGATTTAATTAAAGTAAAATTTCAGCTTAGCATCGAGATTAAATAAACAAATTAAATATAAAAAATTTTTATTATTATTAGATTGAATTTGATTCAATGGACAATCCATTACCATTAGTTTCAGTGTCACTGTTTTTCCAACCATTTCAACATCATCCAAGCGTTTTTCAACTTCTTCACATAGCTGTTTGATAAAATTTTGAGATTCTTCTTTATTTTGAAATCTAATTCCATAATTAACTTCTGCAGACACAGATTTTGGTCGATAATCATAGTTGAGATTTCGGTCATCTTCTCCACGAGAATGCCTATGTAAGTTAAATTTAATTAAATGTCTAATATAACTGACATGTACATATTTATTAATCATATATAAATTTAATTGATTTTGGACTGAATGGTTTAGCCTAGCCTAGTGGGTAGAAACCTAGGTTTTAATGTAGAGGGTCTTGGGTTTGATCCCAGGGTTCCAATGAGATTTTTCATATTAGTGGTGTCTGGTCTCTAGTGTAAGTCAGCCATAATACCATCATTTGTCTATTCAAAATCCATCTTTGATTCCCTAACATGTGAAATAGAGCCATTAAATAGAAGGTTGTAAAACTGATCATTACTAAATAATTTTGGATTTGGAAAATTTTTTTAATTATACAAAGGCTTTAATAACACAAGTTATTAGTGTACTCTACTACCTACTCTATCTATAAATATATTTTTATGAGTTGTATTCAAATAGTATTGAAAGAATTTTGAGTATTGAACATTTGTCTTAATATTCAGGGCACTAAAGTATAGTATGTTTAATTAACAGATGAATCTAATATAAATTCTTAATTGGTTTCTGTTTCTCATTTACAAGTAAGGAATCAGTTTAAGTAGAAATTTCCTATTTGCAAGTGTTGTAATAAGTGTCTTCCTTTACATTTTGTGCTGGACTTTAATTTGTGCACGTTATTTAAAATTTTTTTTTAAATTGTTTAAAAGAACAAGACTAAGATTGCCAATATTCTACTACTTTTATACTACATGTTAAGATGACGTGGATAAGATAACTGTGTTCACAGGTATATAGTTTTTTTTATACAAGGTACTTCTGACATATGAGAGAACCCACATGCAAGTTGTCAGTTAGTTTTAGCTGAATGTGTATTATTGAACATGTTGGATTAATTCATTTATCAGAAAGGGGTTTAATAATGACAAAAGAGTACAGAGAAAATCACTTATAATAATGTGTACTGTAAGTAATTCCAAAGCTATTTTTTTTTCTTACAATGTAAGATAATAATGCTTCGTATAATGTGTATATTTCAACAGTACGTGGAAGAATTGTGTAGTATAGTAAAGTATAATTTGTATTATTAAGGTATCAGCGTATTTTGCTTAAAGACATTGCATAGCAAAGTTAGCAATCTCCTGTTTTTTTTTAAATTTTATAAATTTAAAATACAAAAATAATAATTTAAATACTCAAAAAAAGTTGATTTTTATGTGAATGTATTATTTTTCTTAAAAATTCACTAGAATAATTTGCTAAGTAATATATTTTATCTATATCAAATTATTTAAAAGAAATTAAAGTGGCAATCAATTTCAAACATACGTAATTCAAAAATTAATTATTTGTCAGTAAAAATACTAAAGCCACAGATGACAAGTTAAAAAACTTTTTATAATTACATATCATAAAAATTTAGAAATAATTTACACTTCAATTACTTAAATAATGATTGTCCAACTTTTTTTCCAAATTCTGTTTGAAGCGTTTCTAGAGATAATGATCTTAATTCAGAACATGTGTTTACTCCAAGTAATGATAATTTGTGACTGGTATTTCTTCCTACTCCTAAAAAAAGTATTTTAAATTCAAGACAATAATCAACACATTATACTTATAAATATGGGTAGAAATAATAACATGCATAAAAACAAAGAATACAAATATCTTGGATATAGTATTAAAATAATGTTTTTATAAGCTAAACGCCAAAACACTTTGTTTGAACTCGACCTATGGAAATGATAATTACTGTGATTTATCAATATATGGTTGATTTATCATTGTCAATAATTTATCATTGACCACTAAATTTCTCTTAAAATAATAAGAAATTTAAGAATTTTTTTTTGTATAGTATTAGTAGTATTTTTAATAATATTCTTTTTAAATACTAAAATCTTAATTAAAAGTTAGCATAATTTCTTTATATTATTTTTAAGTAAAGATTTTAAACTGATAACATACCAGGTAAATCAGAAATGTTTATGTTAGCCAAAAAATCCATAACATCATTTATTCCTAAATAGAATTGACCATTAGGTTTTGCTTTTTTTGTAGCTAATCTGGCTAAAAGACAATTAGGACCTATTCCAACAGAACAAGGACAATTGGTTTTTTCCTAAAAAATATACTCATTTAGTATGTAATAAAGAACTAGCTATCAAGTATTTATACAGTTTTGAAAAAAGTTTACTGGTTTGAATGCTTTATTCTTTAACATTAATTTAGAGAATTATTATATTTTCATGCTATTATTTGAATTTTAAGAAATTTATTCCCCAATATATTCCTTTAATTTTCAATATTTGATATTTGTAATCCATAAATAGTAAAATTTATTTTTCATGGTATTAATAAATAAAATTTATAGTTAACAAATTTTATTATAGTAACTAAACTTATAAAAATAATTTTGTTGAAAAATCATATTAATTAAAATCATATTAATCATATTAAAAATATAATTAATGTTCACCAGTAAAGAACCTTAAAACTAAGGCATAATTAATATTACTATTAAATATTATGGTTAAGAAACATTAGATTAATTTTAAATAAATTACTTTTGTAATTTATTTAACCACCCGTCCCAGAGTATCTATGGTTAAGAAATCTTATATTTTGGGGGAGCCCACTATGGCTCTTAATGAGCACAAAAAAGCAAAAAAAAAAAATTTATCCTATATTTTATTTAATCAACAATAAAGGTTTTTTTAATTTAATCCATTTCGAATTACAAATACTTTTTATAACTATAAATTATAAAATAATTAACATTTGAAAATATTAATAAGTAGAATACCTTTATTTCATTTCGAAGTACATGAGCAAGTTGAAGAGGTGAAATTTTCGTAGTTTCTAAAATTTCAGTACAATCTAAGTATAATTCATCACAGCTTACAGCTTCAACATCTAAAGTATAACTAAGAAAAAAAGAAAATATTAAAAAAAAACTCTAATAACAGATATATCAGTGAAAAAAATAAGTTTAGATTGGTATATATTTTTTATTTTTCATTATTAATTAGTGTGGTTAATAATTTAATAAAATTTATTTTTGTAAAGCTAAAAAATATAATTTTTCTGAGACATAATTATTTTATTCTCTTCAGCATCAATGAGATTATATCATTTATCTGTATATAACAATTTTATTAGTGTTCTAAAAATACATTACAAATTAAAAGAAAAAAGATGTTTTTTCCGAAATTTTTTAATTTTCTCATCTAAGTAATAAATAAAATATTGGTAAATACAAAAAATGTCTAATTTTCACAAACATAATTAAATATTTATTTTTAAAATACTTACATAGATTAAATTTAATTTGTATCCTTTAAAAAAAAAGAAAGGAATTTTAAATAAAATTTTAGAGAAACAATCTAATATTATTATGGTGGACCATAATCTTTATTTTATTTTCATATTTTTCAACTGTATCTTTACAGTTGGTTCATACAAGTACAAAAATACCAACTTAAAAACTTAAATTTTCGAAAAATATTTACCCTCACTTTGTAAGTTATAATTTCAGGGAAAAATCATGTGTTCTCACATTTTATGTAAAAAATATGTACCGCATGGTGATGGGCCATGGTCATTATTGACAAAACTCTATTGTCAAGCCGCACCTACTACCGAAATTTTTTTCCAGGATATCACCAATTCAACTGGTTTTAACGAACCTAACAGTTCCAAAAAGAAAAAAAGCCTTTTTTTTTATAAAAAAAAATACATTAATATTGAAAGTTATAATTATTTAAAAAATAAAATGAAAATAAAAAGTTTACTAATAGTTAAAAAGTTATAAAAACTTTTCTTTTTTATATTATTTTAGAAGAAATTTAAACATAAATATAATTTTAACCTTTTTTATTTACAAAGTTATAATTTTTTTTATAATAAATTATAAAGTATTTGATAAAAATCATAAAAATCTTACTATAATTATTATTTAACTTATGTGAATTAATAAGTATTTTATTTGATTAGTTTAGAGAAAAGGTAATTTTTAAAAAATAACAATTTTAGAACAATGTAGAATGAAAATAAATAATATAATTTTTTTTAAGGTAGCATATAATGTCGGAGATTTTTTTTTTTAAGACATATTAACTTGAAAATAATACCAAATTATTTTTCTAATACACAAAATATACTAAAAAGATACCATTATCAGTTGCAATTAATTGTTTCTAATATTTTTGTAGATATTAACAATGGTGTGGCTTGAGCAAAATTAGTGAAAGTCAATTTTTCTCACTTTTCAGAAGTATCATTTGAATGTAATAAACTCTTAATTTAAATTTAATTATTAATTTGGATTTAGAATTTAAAAATGCAATAATATTGCATTATAGCATAATTTTATGGCTATTGTTGATACCAAAGAAAGTTTTAAGTTTGTTATATTGATTTCCAAGTCATAACAGGGCTGAATATAGGAATTATGCCATTCGAGGTATTCAATAATGCCACTATAAATCTTCTTATTTTTCTTATCAAACAATTTTTTTTTTTTTAATTTGAAAAAAAAATTAGGTCTTCATCTCTTGATTGCCTTTTAGTTTTTTATTTGCTATTAAATTCAATAATAGTATAATATACTTTAAAATAAAATGTTGATACTAATTTTATTATCGTAGTTCTATTTACATACTTAGATTTAATGTATAGAAAATAACTTTTTCATTGTTTTAAAAATATCAATTGTATACATAAATGCAACTAAACCAAAATATCAGAGGATTGCATGAAAATACTAAGTTGACTCCTTACAATGCATAAAAGATGAACTTAAAAAGTATTACTTAGCTAATAATTCTAGAATAATTTGTAATTAAATAAAAAAATGTTTATATTAATTTTATTCTGTAAGTAATTGTCAAGTGGAAGTTTAGGGTAAGGGTGGCTAACCCCAAGTAGTTGGTATTAAGGCAAGGAAAAAGAAGAAGAAAAGATTCTATAAGTAATTGAGTGGATTATAATAAAAAAATCACTCTATATATTTTGAATTCATTGTTTGGTTAATAATTTTGGTAATATTTGGCTACTAAGTATCATTTTGGTAAAATTCACAGTATTAGAGAATTGAATATTTTTGGGTAAGATTTAATTTGATATTTTACTTTTATAAAAATATTTCTATTACATAGTATGTATAATTTTTTAATTTTTAAAGAGGCTATGATAGAATTGGGAGAACCCTCACCTACCACCGATTTAAAATAACATATTTTAATTTAGTTTGTTTAACATTCTACTTACTCATTCATTATGTGCGTATATAGAATATGAGCAACTTTTTTATACTGATCAAAATTGTAGGGTATAAGTTTTAATTCAGGACAAATTTTCATAGCTTGACCTACTAGCATACCATTTTTAATGCCAGCTCTTCTTGCTTCATAACTACAACAAGCTATTTCAGCCATCGAATCAGTAGTATTAATACCATCTAATTTATTGGTTATTTTAGAACTTTTAGTTTTAAAATGGTCGTCCTCAATTTGATCTGTATCATTTATATTCCAACGTTTATAGTATAACCCTATCTCTGCTTCACGATTAACCCCATCTCTTTTTAATGATGAGTTTGTTTTAGCATGAGTAACAGCTATAGGCATTCCTTGAAGCTCTGGTCTTTCTAATAATCCAACAGATACAAAGAAACAATCCATATCTATGTGCATAATTATTTTGTTAGTTATTTCTATTTTGTTTTGTGAAAAAGAATTAAATTCTTCATGGTTTAATGAATTTTTTAACCGTAATCTCCCAGGAAAGAGTGTGTTATTATTTTTTCTAGTTTCATTCACCAATTTTTTAAACGTAGTAGCCATAGTAGATATTAAATGTAATCGAGAATTATTATAAAATTCTGACAAAAATGAAGGTTCAGAAGAATTTTTAACTTGTAAAGGAAAATCCAATTTTGGTTGGTCAGGCTTATCAATAAAAAGCAAGTATTCACTATAGTTTAAAAGTTTTCCTTTTTTAAGACTGTCTGATATCCATTCTGGTTTTACTATTTTATACTGTTTAAGTAATTTAAGTTTTGCATTGGGTAGGTTACTTGCAATAATATGAGTGGTAAGACCAGGTCTATGATAATGATGGTAAACGCCACCATTTTCCATCATAATGTGTTTAAGTTCATCAGCAGAAGGTGCTAAAATTAAAAAAAAAAAATTATATACAGAGTGATATTTTTATCATAACCCACTCAATTGCTTACAGAATAAATATATTTACACTTTTTTTTTTTTTAGTTATCTTTAGTTACACATTATTCTTGAATTATTAAGTATGTAATACTTTTAAAGTTCATCCCTTATGCCTTGTAAGGGTGTCCACTTTGTTTTTTGAAATGGAAACACATATTTTTAATTTAATAAAATGTTTGAGTTTTTTATTTAATAGTAAATGGCATTTGAATTTTTAATATAACTTTATTCGTTTATTAGATATAAACATTTAAAGTTTCAAATTTTGGAGTTAATATACATTTATAATACACAAGGATTTACAAATACAGATAGCTAATTGATTTTTTATGACATTGATATTAGCAGGTACACAGCAATGTTATTATCAATGGTAGTAAGGGACATTGTTGCGAGTTTATAAATACACTAACTGACAATACAGAAAGTATATCTATTGATAGTCATAATTGATAATAAACAATCCTTAACTTTGACAGCAATGTCATAAAAATCTAATTAGCTACCTGTATTTATAATCCCTTGTGTATAATACCTGTATATTAACTTAAAAATTTAAAACTTTAAATGTTTATATCTAAAATTTTCAAATTTGACAACCTGTACTTTATCATACAGTAATATAAATACTGGTTATCAACGTGTTTAAAATTTTATATAGACCATTTTCCATTTAATAATAATAAAAAATTAGGTTCTTGTATAACTTTAAAAAGTTAATAGAATAATATAAAATCCAGGAATAATTGTTTCTTTCAATAAACTTGAAATTTAGAGTATAGTACATTTAAATAATAGTTGATAAAAACTAAAAATCTCATATATTTCATTACTAAACATTCTGCTTAAGTAATGAAAGATCAAATCACCTATTAGTTATATAAGATCAACAACTTAAACATAAAACATACATGTATAACCATTCACAAATATAGAGATGCCCCTAAATATTTGACTTATTACATTGTTTTCATCACTATTAACTTTACTTAAAAACTGTTCTTCTAGTTTTGATTTCTTAGATTCCATGTAACCACCCTATTAACAATAAATAGTTTAAAAAATATAAGGCAATAAATATTCAAAAGTTATTACTATATAAATACTCACCCATTCTTCAAAGCCATTAGATTCAGTTATTTGCCTTTTTTTCATATTAAATTACTCAAATTTAAATATTATACATAATTTAACTATTTAACTTGTAAAATATAAATTTGTAAATTAAATCTGGTGCTTTAGGTTTTTATTTTAATTTTAAATGATTATAGTTTAAATTTCAGAAATAATTTAGATTAAACTTTTCACACAATATGAAGCATATAATAATATTAAAAATTAACCTTTGTTTTAAATAAGATGAATTTGAATGTCACATTTTAATGATGCTACGGACATGTTATCATTAATAAAAATTGTTGAAAATGACCACTGATAAATTATCAGTAAATAAGTAATGTGATAATTTTTTACTTATACTAATATTAGTTATTATTATGAATTTTGCATTAAGTATTTTTATTCATTTTAGTTTAAATTATAATAAGATTTAATAATTTTGCAATGAAAATGTGTACATTATTTTAGTATAGAAATTTTTTTTTAATTATTTCTGTGATGTATTAAACTCAAGTGATAAAAATATTACGTATAATTTTATTTTTAAATATTTAACTTAAAAAATTTTGAAATACATAAAATTTATTTGAAAAGCAAATTAAATGGAGCAATTTTTTATTTTTTCATTTATATCAAATATATGAATTATTGACATTTATAAGTCTTAAAAATTTATTGAGCAGAAAATTGTTTTAATCTAACAAAATGCTAACATATTTTCTTTAATGGTTGGCCTATTTTAATTAAATTTATCAGTAATTATACATTTTTTAATTCAAATTTATTGCTCAAATTTTTTATATGTATTTCATTAAACTTGAATATTCTTTCTATTAATAATTTTAGTTTTCTATGATTTAAATGTCATAAAAGCTTTAATTGATTGTTAAACTATTCATTATATGGAATTATATTATTTATATTACTGACAACATTAATTTAAATTATTAGTAAATAATAAAATTAAAAAGGATCTAAGATGGTAATAATCTAACAAAAGTATACTAATGTTTTAACTGGGATGTTTCAATTTATCATAACAAAATCTAGAACATTCTCATAAGGCATATTTTATACCTTTTTTTTGTAATTGTAATTATGATATTTTTGGAATTTTATTGAAAATACTAAGCTTCATATTCTAATGTCACAGTGAAAAATGTTCAACTTACAATATGAAAAAAGAAATAAAATTTGACCTCAGGCATACAAATTAATTTTTTTTATATAGTAAGACAAAATTATAATATAATTTTAAATAATGTAGTCAAAATTAATAAATTAATTGTTTTTTTTTTTAACATGTACATGTATATTTATTTATTTTTGTTTCTAGATCAGCAGTAAATCAAATAAATCTATTTAATAAGAATAATTTACAAGAAGTTATCTTATGTATTTTGAAGTCAATAAATCAAAAACTGTTAATAAATAAAAAAATGGCATCTAACATAATACATTTTGAAAAAGATATAGAGTTCTCAAAAAAAGTGGTATTAAATACCTCAAAAAAATTCCCTGATCCAAAATTTATCTTTTCTGAAACTTCCTGGAAGTTAGATCAATTCCAAAATTTGAAAACAAAGTTGAACTTTGTTAAACATAAGTTAAATGATTTTATTCTAGAAGAATGGCATGAGCACACATCAAAAATGAATCCATCTGGATTAGTTGTAAATCATGTTAGAAAACATATACACCCTGATTTTTTGACTCAAGCATGGTGTAAATTTTATGAAATAATGTGTAATTCTTCATTAGTTTCACAAAAATCATTATTGACAGGTAATATGTGTTCTGTTCATTTATGTGAAGCTCCTGGAGCCTTCATTTCAGCACTTAATCATTTCATGGCTCTAAATCATCAATCTATAAAATTTGATTGGTTAGCAATGACATTAAATCCTTATCACGAGTCAAATGGCCATCCTGATACTGTAAGTGATGATCGATTAATATTTAGTACAATTGACAAATGGGAATTTGGGCCAGACTATACAGGAGATATTTTTCAGCCTAGGTATCATGAACACTTATATGAAACAATTTCAAAAAAATTTGATAATGGTGCAAGTTTAGTAACTGCTGATGGTAGTATAGATTGCTCAGATGATCCAGGAGAACAGGAAAATATTGTTATGAGTTTGCATAATTATGAAATGATGGTAGCTTTAAATATTATACAAAATGGAGGGTCATTTGTCCTTAAAATGTTCACAATTTTTGAGTGCAATACTATTTGTAGAATTTATTTATTGTGTTGTTTATTTCAATCAGTAGAGATCCAAAAACCAGCTACTAGTAAATCTGGTAATTCAGAAGTTTATGTAGTTTGTAAAGGTTATATGGGTAGATCACTAGCAACACCTTACATCCAAATGTTTTTTAAAAGTAAAAATCATGACAATGCATTGTTACCCCTTAGTCAAATACCTAATAATTTTATTGACGAACTATATAACTGTTCTAGTTATTTCTGTGATTTACAAATAAAGACTATAGAAAAAAATATTATTACATGGAACAATAAAAATGAATCATATAAAGAAATAAATGAAATTCAAAGGATTATATGTCAAGAATATGTAAACAGGTACAAATTAAAACCAATTCGTTGGGATCAAGATGTTATTTCATCGAGTAATTGGTCAAGAGCTCGTAATAATAAAAGGAAAATTAATATATCATATTCAGAAAAATTGCGTCGTCGTGATTTATGTTTACAAGAAGAAGCTGTTTTATTATACCAAGAAATAGTGAACTTCAGTAATAGTAAAACCAATGAGTGTCATGAAATTTTATGGGGACGATGTGATCAAGTAAGTTTAAATATTTCAAATGTAAAATATTGCTTGGGAAAACCAGTAATTCAAGTGAGAAGCTCAAAATTTTGTAATGACTCATTACTTCAGTACCGCATTAAGATAATTAACAAATTCCCATGTATTGATAGTTTGAGTAATTCAGAATCACGAATATTATACTTTAAAACCAAACTAAATTATTCAAAGAATGGTATAAATATTTGTGATCTCACAGACACATATGCTAAAAATCGCAATAATAATGTTATCCTACAATACAGCTGTTTATTTAATATTCTTGAAACATTACAACAAAAATCAGAAGATTTTTTACTTATTGGTTATCCATTATACACCCAAATAGCTGTGGCATGTTTTTTTGTAATTGCTAGTATGTTTGATACATTTGCAATAATAAAGCCTGATCGAAACTTTGGTCATGCATTTGCATTTTTTGGATTTAAAAATCTTGAAAATTGGCTTAATATATTAAGTGAAGTGTTAAAATATATTTTACCTAGAAATGATTCTTATACAAGATCAAAATTAGCCTTAGTTTCTTGGCTGCCAATTCAGCAACTTGTGAAACAAAGATCACATCTTGATATTGTACTTCTTAATAACTTATGTATTGCATATGAAGTTGAACCTATTTTACTATCATTTATTCAATCTTAACTTATTGTGAGACATTGTACTTAATAAAAAGTATAATTAACAATTATAAAATATTTTTACAATTTATTTCTAGTTTTAGAAAAAATACTTTCATGTTAACCTATTTAAATTATAAGAAATTATCTAGCTTCTACTAATTAACTTTTTAATAAAAAATAAATATTTATAAAATAAATTGAATATTTTGTAAATAATTATATAAAATTATATAATCATAATAAGATAGTAATTACCACTGCCAGTATAAAATAAATAAAATGTATTATATTATAATTTATTTTATTAAAGTTTTTTAAATTTTGCTATTAATTTTAAAAGAAAAATTTATTATGATGAATTAGTTCATACGTTAAATAACCTTTATTGAACTAGTTAATTTTTAGAAGCACTTTCTTTAAAAGGAAAATAGTAAAAATGGTATAAGTTTTTAAATGAATTATATTTTAGTGTTAGGTATTGAATTTTGAAGTAGTATTTTTTATAGATAATCTAATTTCTTTTTAAATTAAAATACTAATTGCAGATGTATATGGAATGGAACTTAGCCATCTCTGAAAAATTAAAAATTTTTTATTTTGTGTAAAGAGGTGACATTTTCTTTGAGATTTTCCAAAACGTAATTCTTACTACTTGCATGATTAAAGTATACTTTTTTTATAAATTAAAAAAAAAAATGTTTAATAGTTATAATTTCTTTTCATAATTATTTTAGATGTATTTAAATCACTATAAGCTCTCCCCGCTTGAAGACTAAAAAAGCATTCTAATAAGTCTATATTATGTGATTAATCGAAAAATGATTTTAGTGATTATCAATCATATTTTTTATAATAAATTATTATTTTTAATAATCGCATTATTAAATTTTTTGTTGAATTTTACTTTATTTTGTGACTTCTCAATTTCTGTTCATTTTAAACTGCAAGACTACATAAAATGCATTGTTTTTTTAGCTTCGATGCGAAGCTAAGAAGGTATTAATTTTACCATGATGTGTTTATTTATTTATTTTTTTTTTTTTGTGTCTGTTACTACTTTTTCTCAGCTCTCACTGGACCGATTTCTTTTAACAATACGTCAAAAGATCACAAATTGTATATAGTTGAAGACATTACCCTTAAAAATTAATAAATTTTCCCTCGTTCCCCGCAAATGGGGGAAATATCCAAAAAAAATACAAATTTAAAAATCGACAAATTTTGTCATTTTTTTCACTTTTTTTTCTTAAAACTTCCATAACTTTTTCAAAAATCAACAAATCAACATAATTTTTTTTTTAACTAAAACCTTAGATATTTTCCTTTCATTTGATATAATTTTTTTGAAAATTTAACACTTAACCTGCTCATGGGGGGGGGATTTAAAATTGCAACTTTTTTACAAAAACTAACTTTTTCAACTTAATTTTTGAAAATGTTCCGGAAATACTGCGTCCTTTAAACATATATCAAATTAAAGCTTTTTTTATGTACTATAAAATGAAAAAAAAAAATTTGTCCCGACACCTTATCTTCTATGTGCAAATGGCAGTCGAAATTATAAAAAAAATGTAATATTTACGATAAAAATCACCTCCTATCGGAATGTTTTTTGTACTTAAAACTCCCTTAATTTTTTCAAATATTAACTAATCAAAATAATATTTCTTTATATTGAAACCTTAGGTAATTTTCTTTCATTTGATATCATTTTTTTTTGAAAATCTAACACTTATTCTGCTCACAGGGGGGATTTAAAATAGCAACTTTTTTACAAAAACTAACTTTTTCAACTTAATTTTTGAAAATGTTCCGGAAATACTGCGTCCTTTAAACATATATCAAATTAAAGCTTATTTTATGTACTACTAAATGAAAAAAAAAAATTTGTCCCGACGACCTATCTTCTATGCGCAAAAGGCTACCGTATTTAAAAATATGCTATTTTTTTATTAAAATTCTGGGTTTTGTATTTTATTTTATTTTAAAATATCTTATTAGGGGAATAAACTAACTTTCATGAATATTATATAATTCATTGACATAGAATAAAGTTCATAAGACATATGAAATTATACTTATTAAAATTTTTTTACTTTTTTAAAGTTGAAAAAGTAATTTTAAATTTGAGTTAGCTTAAATAGCCAATTTTATCATGCAACAATAAGCAACGAATAGTTGCCGAATGGGTAACACCTTGATCTTTCACGCCTAGGGTACGAGGTTCACATCCGTCTGTGGCTTCCAAAACTTTGAATTTTTTTTTTTAGTTAGAATAGAATTTTCAAATCATTTGATTTTTATCTCATTTAGATTCAATAAATATAAGGGATCTTATCACTATAGTCTCCCCTCGTGAGAAGAAATTGATATTCATGTTAATATTATTTTACTATGTGGTTCTTTTTGTGGCTACAATTTATTTTGCCAAACCTCACTAGACCTACTTTTTTCAACGATACGTCAAATGATTCATTTAAGTTTATGATATTTAAGTTAATGATTAGTTTAAGTTATTACTCTTAAAAATCAAAAAAATATTCCTTATTCAAATAAAAAGTAGCTTAACTAGATTTTTCCATACAAACAATTAAAATCATTAATTTTTAATATTCTTAAAGTATTTATTGTCGAATTAGATTTGATATGATAAAAGTATTCAACTACAAAAGTAAATAATTTTACTTTATAATTTATTAATTTTTTAACTCTATTTATGTGTGCTACTACCAGTCTATAATATGCCAAATTTTTTTGTAATATGTTGCTATATAAATCATAAATTTAAAAAAAAAATGATTTTTAGTTTCACCTGAAGTTAACGATGGAGTTTTACAATTATAATTATATTTTTGATAATATGCTCAATTGAGTAAATCTTTTTAACTACTTTGGTTTGATTGGTTCATTTAATTAAAGTAAATTATTAAAATTAATTAAGTTCTGAATATTTCAATTGCAGAATTTTTTTAAACACCAAAAGTTATTAGGATATGATTACTATTCTTTCTATTTCAGTTATCTATTACGATAAAAATGTAAAAAAATCGAATTTTTCTGACAAATGTACTGTAATTAGTAATTATAAAATTTCCAGATTGCATATTAATCTTAAAAATTTCATTTTTTTCAATTTAATAATGTCAATTTCAAACTTGCAAGTTGAACTATAAGTTATGGTAACAAATTAATTTTTTAGCTTTGATTCGAAGCTGAGAAGGTATTTTTCATTAAAACTTTCACTTTAAAAGACAATAAAAAATAGGTTCAAAATGATTACCTTTAACATATTAAAAATCAAAATCAGTATTAATTTAATACAATTTTTTTTGTTCTTAATTATTTTTTTTTATATGTAAATACTTATTTTTTAATAATAAGTAATAATATTAAAACTTAGAAGTAATAGAAAAAGTTTAATTGCACATTTGAAAACATCACGAAAAGTTTATTTAGAAAAGTATATTTTTTTTCTGATGAAAGTTCCTTTTGTTTAGTGTATTTATTCATAAGTAACAAAATTTTTTTATTAAAAAGTATTGCATAAATTCCTTTAAATTTGTATACGCATTAAAAGTATATGAATATACAACTCCTTTTTATTTTTATAATATCTCCGTAAAAATTACAATATTATATTATTGAATACCACTTTCATACTCAATTTAATTACTGTAATTATTATGTATTCATATATTATAGTTATAAATCGGGGTAAAATTAAGGGAATAAGTGTTATTGTTGTTTTTGAAATAATCTACCAATTTCATTTTTTTCTATTTAATAATATTTATTTCAAACTTGCAAGTTGAGTTAAAAGTTATGGTAATAAATTCATTTTTTTTTTATTAAAACTTTCACTTTAAAGAACAAAAAGAAGTAGGTTCAAAATGATTACTTTTAACATATTAAAAATCAATAATAATTTGAAAATAATTAATTATAAAAATTATATAATATATAATTAAACTAATTACTAATCTGGATATAATTAAGGAAATAGGAGTTGATGTTGGGTTGGGTTGGTTACATTTTTAACTTTATAATGCTATAACTCATTGAAAAGTGTATGAATCAACACAATTTTTTTATGAGAAATAATATTTTTTAATAATCCCTTTTTCATTCGACATTCTTTATCTTAATCAGGGTATTAATAAGGAACTAGCAGATCATGCAGCTTTTGTAATTATCCACCAATTTCTTAGAATTAAACACTATCTACTGATTTGCATCGAAGCGTTTCTTATGATAGTGATTTTAATCACTGTCAGATTAAATCTATACTGGACCCAACTATGCAACGTCCCCACTATGCCATAACGTCCCACTATGGGTTTTTTTTATTCTTAAGTTAGTTACTTTCAGTTTTGTATTATTGAAGAAGTATTTTTGCTTACAATTTTTCTGAGACTAGGGTAAAAACTTATATTTAAAATCTTAAGCATAGTTTTTGCGCTTAACATTTTCAAATTTCACTAATTTTTCGTTAATAAATAATTACTGATGAATAAACAATATAAATTTTAACATATCTGTAAACAAATCAATACATTTTTTTCTGAATCGTAAACGTAGAATATTAAGAAAGAAAAAAATTATACATAAGGGCAAAGTTGGCAGGTGCATAAAATGAAAATTAAGTTAAAAAATACACATGTTAATATTAATTATTATATGTATAATTATTTTTGTAAACAATGCAAATTTTCAATTTTTTTGTTATCTATACATCATTAACTTTATTTATATAAAATTATATTAACTTCATTATCGTAAAATTATTTATATCACAAAATAGATTTTTTAAACTAAAATAATTCAGACTTCAGGTAAATTTAGTAATTTTATATATCTTACTGAAATTTATTAATCTATATTTAAGTAATTCAAATTTTATTAAAAATGATAAATAGGGAGGATATTAAAATTTGTATTATGAAACGTTTAAAATGTTTTTTTAGTCTTCTTTTTCCATTATTTATTTTTTAACTAAGTAGAGGCTTTCGAGAAAATCCGATGGTTTTACTCATCTACAATTTAATTAATTTATTCACTACTTCTAATACAAAACATTAGTCGTCTTTTAGTAATTTCTTTTTTTATATATTATACAATGGTCATTTATTACCACTGATGCAAG